TGCGGGATTGCCCAGTGGCCAGCCCATCGAAAATTTCGTGCAGCGGTTCGGCTTGAATGTAGTTGCATGAACTCCGAGTGGGGCTTGGATCCGAGTCTTGACGTCCAAGACGAGAATTATTGTCATGCGGGCTGTTGTTGTTGTTGTTGTCGTCGTCAGCTCACCGGATTGGGCCTTTTTTTTTCCCCTCTTTCGTTTGTGCTGATTGTTTGTCTGCTCCGGACCGCGCTGCAACGGTATGAGATTCCGACGCATATACGATGACGATGACATTTGGCGAAGCGAAGGACCTAGCCCTGGTCGACTCCATTTACGTCCGCAAGGGAGGAAGCCTCTTGCGGCGTTACTTACCATGCCACGATACACACATAATTGCGCTATTCAGAAAGCATTGGACGGAAGCCGACAAGCGTTGGCGATGCTGCACAACGGCACGCACCGTTGGCATGCATCTTCGGTCTTTACGATAGGGTCCATCCGAGGCGACCGGGTCTGGGTACCGCGAGGGAATCGATTCCATTTTTCCTGCAGCATGGGTCGGCAGCTGTTCCTTGGAGCAGAAATCCCTCATTATACGGCGGCTCGTATTGCTCAGTTGTGATACAGCATTCGATAGTGTTGATCACAAGACCCAAAGGCGAGGCGATTCATCGCCATTGACATCCTCCTCGCGGTCCGCATATCCACATACCCACCCCCTGGTTGCAAGGTCAATGAGGGCTTGGATAGACTTTGAACTGCATTCAACGTCGCACAAAGAACTCATGGGACCAGGCTTCGTGCATCATCAGTCGTGAGTTGCGGCTGGGGTGCGCGATCAATGCCAAACCCCTGAACCGGGTCGCTAAGATTACACCCAGGATTAGCAGGACGCGCTGTTGACGACGAGCTGGCATTCAACTGTGCCCAACATGATGGTTCTCACCGAAGGAGAGCCGCATGCGAGTGCTCCATGGAGTCGGATAGGATCGACCCGACAGATGCGATGGCGAGGTAGCCGCTCGCCGGAGTAGGCGCGTGGGGAATCGGTTATGAACAGCGGTATGAAACCGGTGTCCCCCTGAGGATGCGATGCAGACCCCATATGCGCTCGACATCGACGAGGAATGAATGCAAGATAATGATGCAACCTGGACGAGGCGGCTCGATCCATGATGCGATAATATCGACGCGGCTAGATCAATTCCGTTTGGCACCAACACCGGCCTAGAAGTGTTGACGCGGATAAGACGACAAACGACCCTCTTTCAAGACTGGATCTCACTCCACTCTGCTCCCTGCAAATGCAAGCTGCGGTCTGACTGTCTCACTTGAGGGAATTGGGGGTGTCACTTGCGTCAGTGATGGGAGCATGACGAAACGAATTCCTGTTCTTTTCCCATGGAAGCTGAGTTGCGTCCAAGCAATTCGTTCTGCGCTGAAAAGGAGCAGAGACATTCCCTCGTGGGCCCCCAAGAATACAAGGTACGCGCGCGCGTGGTTGTTGGGCGTGTATCTCGCCAAAGGGCCCTGTACGCATGTTTAAGACCAGAGACATGGGGTAGAAGGCCTTGAAGACTGGAGCGAAAGACTGGGTCCAAAAAGACTGGGGGGGAAGGGGGGGCGGAAACGCGGGCCTCGATCCAAATCCCCGCAGACCGGCAAGGGGTGCGGAAGGGAGAGAAAAGGGAGGGGCGTGGCTGAGTGCAGAGATGGGAGAGAGATCTGTACAAGGCCAAGTTTTTTCTTTCCTTTCCCTCTGGGCTTCGACTGACGAGGATGTCGGGGGGTGTAGGGCGGCCGGGAATGCATGACATCCTGAGAACCACCGCCCGCTGGCATCTGGTACGGGTAGATGAGGGTGTGTGTGGGGTGCAAAAGTGTGTAAGTGTGGTGATCGCGCGGAGGTTCCGTTCTGTGTTCCACGAGGAGCACTCTCGCCGGGTGCTTCTTCTGTAGATCACTAAGGTCTGTTCCTGTGATCTTTACGAGGGCCCTGTCTCTAAAGTGCCGGCAAAGGGTCTTGCTTAGACGACGTCCCCTTCCTAGACAAGAAGCACTCTTCTCGATGGTACGCTAGAGGCATGGAGGGATGTGGTGTTCCGGCCGCGAAGAGCCAACAAGTCGGGGCCCCGTCTGCTATCCATAACGTCGCAATCGCATTCGTGTGCCTCTCTTGATCAAGTATTTTGCACCTCCGCCCCTCACGGAAAAGCTCGAGAGGTGTACGTTGAAGATGACAAGAGGCGTCTGGCAATAAGGGCGATCCGGACATTCCGGTTTCCAGCAGATTTGTTCATACCCTGCCTCCCTGCAGCATCCCCCGGCCTGCCGTCCGCGATCACGCATCGCGTTTCCTACCGCTGCTACTGCTGGCCGTGTCTGCTGCACTGCGTCTCGCGGGACAGATGGAAGAGCTCTAGAAGTGTTATGGGAGTTTCTTTTTTTTTCGTCTCCAAGCAGCAAGTTGCTTCCCTGTTCGTGAGCATACTCAACCCCACCGTATGTAGAATTGACTCGAACTGTATATTTTCCTTTGCAGGGGGGCCGGGCCGCTTGCCTCTTCTCTTGAGAGGGGAATGAGTGTCTCGCAGATGACAGAGACTGCTCAATCGGGAAGACTCACTGGCCTCCCCGAAGTCAAAGTTGCAGGGCCGAGGTCACATCGAACGCTTTCGAAATGATCCCGAAACTTGGTCATCGCGACGGCGAGGGGGGGCATCACGGCTGACATGGACAAGGCTGACATGGACGAGGCTGACATGGACGATCCCGCTTGGGATGTGCCCTGTCGAACCGACATCGTAATCGCGTCAATCTCCCGCTTCAGTCATGGGTGGGCCGCAATGACGTGCCGGTGAAGTATGAGGTTATTCGAAAACAGGAAGTAGGGCTGTGAGGATTACGACACCATCGATACGAGGTCGGTCGTGAGAGTCGGGGTTGGGGACAGCGCTCTGGACAGGAGACCGGGCGAGGTAATCGTGCCGGTCTAGATCAGGATTAGCTCTGGGAAAGATGGAAAGGGGACAGCCAGACGGCGAGGGGTCTATTGTTGTCGGGCTCATCACAACAGCCGGCGAGAGGGAAAGCTGGAGGGGCTGTGTCCGTGGGAACATTGGACGAGACTGCTTCGTGAGCCACCAACGGTGGAATACACAACAGGCAACGGAGGCAGGTGATCGCATGCTAGGCCGAGGGTAGCGGTATTGCTTGGCGAGATATCAACATTTGTGATGGTCGAAATAACGGACTGTTGCATGGGCTGCAAGGACTACTTGTTCGGGCTCTGTGACGTTATCAGGATAAGGCAGTTTGTGGCGTGATCAAGTCTTTGAAGACATAACGAGTGCAGTGGAAAACAAGTGTAGCACCCGTCTAGGTACAACAGAAGGCGTAAATTATGGGCGGTGATGGGCGTATCTGTCTGGTTCGATACCTAGAATAGACAGCCGCTGCAAGAACCAGTATTCGGATTCCAACATCACGATGTAGCCCGATGGACCGCCCAACCCTGGGGAAAACGCCGACAAACCCGCCGGGAGAGGTGAGGTATACATAAACGATGAGAGGAGAAGGCATTGGCCGGATCGGAATGGCGGCATACAGTCGTGGGCCGCCTCTTGTGCGATCAAGGCCACAAGGACGGTGAAGATCACGGGAGTCACGCTGTGAGCAATCAGTCAGCCGGTCAAGACTTCCGTACAAGGCACCAGACGATACGATGACGGGATGGGCACTACCGGACCAAGATCACAGAGGTGCTTGGCGAGGCCTTCCTGATCGCGTCGTATTCCTTGGGTCGAGACGGCCAGACTGGGGAGGATGTCGAAGCATCCCGGGAATGAGGTTGACGTGGGAGGGGCCGGACACACCCCAACAGCAAAAATACCTACCCACCAAGGCGGTGCGGTGCTCGCCATACGGTGGTGGAAGGGAGTGGTTATCCGCGGTGAGGCTGTGGCATTTCCACCATGGTAAAGCACCAAAAAGGGTAAGGACCCGGTGACGATTACAAGAATGGGGATGGAAGGATGACGGTGAGGTCGCAGACATGACGCCTGGGCAAACCGATTTGGTGTGATACGACAAGGGGGGGGAAGGGATGGGGCTGGTTATGCATAAGTATGTAGAACGATTGACAATAGCGTTCACGATCCGCGTTTGACGGGCCCTTGCGTGGAAAGGGGGAGGTGGTGGTGGTGAGGGGGGACAAGAACCAATTGCCCAGCATACGCTCAAAAGGCTCACCCCGCACCAAGTCGCAACTTTGTACGTGAAAGGGATACGAACGGATGGCCACATCGAGAAAGGCCCAGCGCATATCTACCGCGTGAGTCCCTGTAGACGTCGATACATTGACGAGTGAGATGAGATGAGACGAGACAGCAACTTGACAAGGCAGTATATTCAGCTCGAGACTTGAGACGAGGAAAAGCAACGACGAAGGGAGGGGGGTGGTGCTAGATCAAACAAGTTTGGGCCGGATTAGGAACATACATCGCCAGCGTCTCACGGCAGAGGAAAGGGGGGAAAGACCACGTAATTTTGACTTTGTGTATTGTAAACTCAAAGTACTGCTATCTTATAGGGGTACGGCTAGAGCGTACATTCTATGGACCGTTTCCAAAACCAAAGCACTAAAACACCGAAAGCCATGTTTGGTTTGTTGTAAGGAAAGACGAGAAAAAAGCAGATCATGACAGATAAGGAAAAAGAGACCATTATGAGACTGTTACGCCCCTCGTGTGAGTAGAACCCTCCTCCTACAGTATTCCCCCTTTCCCATCGACGTGAACAAGGAATGATTCGTGGATGTATACCGTCAAACTTGTACAGGGAGCGGATATCAAATGTTAAGACAGAAAAAAGAAAAAATGATGACAAGAAAGAAAATAGACAATGTAGTAAAAGGAAAAAGATAAAGCCAGTCTCATATCATGCTCGCGTGTCATGTAATGTCCTGTGTCCCCTTCTATACCCTGCAATGCGTGTGCTCATGTGCTTCGCTATGAAGTTCCTTACTCGCAAACCGCTTCACGAATGAACTGTCCAAGTTGTTTGGCCTGGATTGATGGTCAGCATCGAATGGAAACAGTAGATATCTCATCATGAAGACTTACATAATCGCCATGCATCATGGAGAAGTGGTTGCCAGGCATGTGCCTGGTCCTGAACTTGTTAACGTCCAGGTACTCGTCCCAGCGGTTAGGACCGAAGTCGGTCCTGTTGTCCAAGAGGAATAGAGCATGGCCCGTGGGATAGGGGTCTGGGCGAGGGTCGGAGGGAAGGTGGCAGACACCGTCCTCGCACCAGATGGCCATAACGTTGGGGCACTTCTCCTTGGGGATAGGCTCGGCAGTGTAGTTGCTGAGGGCAGTAACACTGGCGGCGAAGTGGGGAAGGAGCCAAGAGGGAATCTTCTTGTTGTCGTCGTCTCCCTCACCGAGGAGGCCGATGGAGGCGAACCAGGAGTGAAGGCTCTTGGGGAGAGGCTCGATGGTGATGGGGCAGGGGGCGTCAATGATGATGAGGTTCTCGACGCTCTCGCCGGCCTTGGTGAGCTGGTTGACAATCTCATAGGCGATGACACCGCCCGCGGACCAACCAGCCAAGGAGTAGGGACCTTTGGGCTGTCTCGCCTTCATAGCCTCAATGAACTTGGAAGCCATACCGTAGACACCGCACTTGTACTCCTCAGGGGTCTTCATGAAGGGGGAGAAGAGACCCCAGACCGCCCACTGGCTGGAGACCTGGCTGATCTCGGTGTAGGAGGTTGCGCAGCCACTGCCGTCGGGTACCATCCACAGGTTCTTGGTGGCGGTGCGGGTGCTTCCCTGGAGAAGGATCGAGGTGGCCTTGCGGTGAGGGTAATTGTCAATGATCTCTCTGGGTGGGGGCGGCTTGGTGATTGAGGCAGTGGTGTTGCCAGGGTGAGTGTTGATCTCCCTGGTTGGCTCAACCTTCTCGCGGCGAGGGGCCGAGGCAGCCTTTGCAGGCTTAGGCGCAGGCGCGGGCTTGGGCTTTGGGCCAATACCGAGGGCCTTCTCAACCTCCAACAAAGAGGGGTTGGTGACGAAGAGGTCGCTGGGAATGTCCATGCCCGACTTCTCGCGGAGGGTGCCGAGAATAGAGAGACTCATGAGAGAGTCCATGCCCAAAGCAGCCAGATCTGGAGCCGCAACAATCTCATCAACCTCAACGCCCATCTCCGTAGCGATAGTGTCACGAAGAATGTTCTGGAGGTCACCGCATTCGGTGTCGTCGCCGTCACCCTTGACGGAACGGTCACTCTCCTCGTAAGGGGTAGTGACGTTGGAGTCAGACTCCAGCTCGGGTGTCTCGGAAACGGAACCGCTGGAATCACCAGAGTCCTGGACGTAGCTGTCCTTGCGATCAGAGGTCTCGAACTGAGCAAGGAAAGCCTTGAATGCACCGATGGTCGGGTACTCGACAAAGGCATGAGAGTCGATGTCGATGTCAAGCTCCTCACGCATTCTGCCAGAGACGGTCAGAGCCATCAGGGAGTCACAGCCCAAATCAGTGAAGGCGATGTTGTCAGCAAGTTCATCTTGGGTGACACCAACTTCTTTGGCCAGGATGTCGAAAACGTCTTGGACAACGGAGCGCTTGGCGAGCTTGGCGTTGACAGCCTTGAGGTTGCTGGCGGTGACTTGCTTGGTAGCCTTCTCCTTGCCACTCTTCTCCTTGGCCGGGGCAGCCTTGGCGGGGGCAGCAGCCTTGGGGGCAGCGGCGGCAGGAGCAGAGCCGGCAGCGGCACGTCCACGAGGAGGCAAGACCATGTTGAGGACCTTGCGAGGGATGGACTGGAACTTGACGTCGCCAGCAACACCGATGATGCGGTCACCATCAAAGACGTAAGCATCACCAGCCATCATCTTGGTACCCTTGACAGGCTGCATACGAACGTAGGAGCGGTAAGTCTTGGAGGCATCGAGCTTCTCGGTGAATCTCATGGAGCCCCATCCGTGGGAGATGAAGACTTGCTCGCGCGAGTCGATGGCATCGGTACCGTTGATGACGAAACCAGAGAGATGGCAACAGCTGTCAATCCAGTACGGGTTGCAGAAAAAGCTGCCATCCTTCTCCGTGGTCTGGAAACTGATCTTGGCGGTAGCCTCGCAGGTCTTGCTGTCCAAGATGACCTCCTCCATACCCTGGTACTTCTTGTCATAGTCGACCAAAGCAGTGAAGAGCTTGTAGGTCAGTCCGCGACCAATCTTGGACGCCTTGCCCTGTCTCTCAGCCTCCTCGAGGGCGTCAATACGGCCCTTGATGAGGTAGCTAACACGCTCGAACTCGTCAGCCCACTGCTCAGTGCTGCCGTAGACGACCTTGCAGTGAGCGTGCTCGGTCTTCTTAGAGCCCTCGCCAGTGTGGAAGCTGACGTCGGCATAGCCCAGAGCGACGTTGGCAGTGACGGTGGTGCGGAGGACATGGGCATCAAGCTTCTCGTCAAAGATGAGAGTCTTGGGCACCTCGACGTTGGCAACGTTCAGGCCGACGGGCTCGGCGTCAGGGCGGAGCATCTTGTACGCGTAGTCGGCAACAGTCATAGCCATATCGGCGTAGAGGGTGGAAGGGCAGAGAGGAGCGCCGTTGCACAAGTGGCCCTCGACGAGAGGGCGGGTGTCGGGGCGCGAGAGGTTGGTCTCGGTCTCGACGAGGGCAATGTCACCATTGACATCCTCGTTAGTGACTGCGTGGATGGAGGTGGTGGACAGCTTAGGCCTGGCAGGCTCGATCTGGAGAGGAGCCTTGACCGCGGAAGGACCACGGTTCTTGGTAAGGCACCAATCGCCGGTGTACTGGAGCCAGTAGTTCTTCTCGTCGAAGGAGTAGGTCGGGAGGTCAAGGAGACGAGTGCACTCGCTGAAGTCGCGGTGGAACTCATCCCAGTCCAGGTTGATACCAGCAGTGTGAAGAGCACACAGAGTGTTGCTGAGAACCTTGTAAGTAGGCTCGTTGCGACGCAGAGTGGGAACAGCAACCGAGCTGATGCCAAACGAAGACTTGACGAAGTTGGCACAGACGGGGTGAGGTCCAACCTCGAGCCAAACGGTCTTCTCGTCAACGGCACCAGACTGCTGGGCGTGGACAAGGCCGCCAAGGAAGTTGACAGCGTCACGGGCGTGGTTGCGAAGGTACGCGGCATTGACCGGCTCGTTCTCAACCATCTTGCCAAGCAGAGGCGAGATGATGGGAACCTGAGGCCTCTCGAAGCTCACGGAACGAGCGAGAGTCTCAAAGTCGTCCAGGATGGGATCGACCTGAGCAGAGTGGAAGGCGAAAGGCACCTTGAGCTGGGTGCACTTGAAACCGGCAGTGCCAAGATGCGAGGAGATCTCACTGATCTTGGCAGCCGCACCGCTGAGAACAGTCTCCCGAGGGCCGTTGATGCAAGCAACGTTGACAGCCTCAGCCTCGGCGCCGAGGGCCTCCATGACCGCGTCAACGGGGCCGGTGACAGCGAGCATAGCATGGGTGCCAGCAGTGCACTTCTGGACGAGGAGCTGGGCGCGAGCTCCAACTAGGTAAATCGTGTCGCTGGCAGACAGGACACCAGCGGCATTGAGAGCAGCGTACTCGCCGAGGGAGTGGCCCATGACAGCGCTGGGCTTGATGCCCCAAGAGGCCCACAGACGAGCAAGCGCCATCTCGAAGCAGCACAGACCAAGCTGCACGATGACGGGCGAAAGCTTGGTCACATCGGCCTCGCTACCATCAATGAGAGGCAGGAAGCTAGGAAAGCCGTGGATTTGGGACAGCTGGTTAAACTCTTCGATGCTCTCACGGAAAACACGGTAGTGCGCGTAGAGATCCTTGCCGAGGCCGGCGTAGTGAGATCCCTGGCCAGTGAACATGAAGGCAACCTTGGGCTGCTGAGTGGAGATGGGAGTGAAGTTCTCCTTGAGCCTGTCCTTAATGAGGCGCTGGGCCTCAGGCAAGTCGGAGGCAGCGACGTTCATGCGCCAGTAGTGCTGAATGCGACGGGCAGTGGTCGTGTATGCCAAGTGAGAGAGAGGCGTCTGGGGGTTCTGCTCCATCCAGCCAACAAGTCTCTCGGCGTTGCGGATCATGGCAGCCTTGGACTTGCCAGTAACCGTGACGACCTGGACGCTACGAGGGTCGGACTCGGGCGCCTTGAGATGGGGCGCATCCTCCAACAGCAGGCCAGTGTTACCACCAGCGGCACTGAAGTTGTTGACGAAGATACGTCTAGGCTTGCCGTCTCTCCTCTTGAAGGGGGTGAGGTGGAAGGCGATGTTGACGTTGCGCTCCGACAAGTCCTTGGGGAACGTCTTGTTGATCTCCTTCTTGATACCGACGTGGGGAGGGATGGCGTTCTTCTGCATCATCATCAGGACCTTGGTAAGAGCAGTGACACCTGAAGCAGCCTCGCCGTGACCGACGTTGGACTTGACGGCACCAAGGTAAAGAGGGCGGTCGGCAGGTCTCTTGCGATCAGCAGGGGCGAAGACGTTGGTCACGGAGACCATCTCAGTGCCGTCACCAGCCTGGGTACCAGTGCCGTGCATCTCAACGTAGTCAACGTCGAGGGGGTCGACGCCAGCCTCGTCGAGAATGTGTCTCGACAGGATGGACTGGGTAGGGCCGTGGGGGTGAGTGATGGAAATGGCATCGGCAGAGTGGTTCGTCGCGGTGCCCAAGATCACGGCGAGGACGTTGTCCTTGTCGGCAATGGCGTCGTCGAGGCGCTTGACAATGACCGAGGCACAACCGTCAGCACGGCAGTAACCATCGGCACCGTTGTCGAAGGTGGCACAGGGGCCGGTCTTCGACAAGAACTGGCCACGAGACAGACCGGCGAAAATGTCCGGGTTCGTCATGCAGGAGAGACCACCAACAATGGCGGTGTCACAGTCTTTCACCCACAGAGAGTTGCAAGCGACGTTCAGCGCAGCGGCACTGGAAGAGCAGGCCGTGTCGATGTTCAAACTCGGGCCGCTGAAGCCGAAGTGGTAGTTGATACGACCAGGGCCGAAGGCTCGCACACCACCGGTGATGTAGTAGGTGTCGACCTCCTGGGCAGCGTTGATTTCACGCCAATCGTCAGAAGTCTGACCGTAGAATGTACCAATGCGGTCCAGTCTCGTCGAGGGCGTTCTGTTGGGGACATAACCGCACATCTCGAGCGCCTCGTAGGCAGTAGTCAAGGCCATACGCTGCATGGGGTCGGTCTGGAACGCCTCACGGGGAGACATGTTGAAGAACCTAGGGTCGAAGTAGCCAGGGTTCTCAATCCAGCAACCGTACTGGGAGTGACTCGTGTTGATAGCCTTGCCAGTGATGTCGTAGTGAGTTGCGACGGGGAAACGGTCAGCAGGAACGACCCTGTGAACGTCAAGACCCTTCGAGAGGAGCTCCCAAAGCTTCTCGTGGCTGGCGGCGTCAGGGAAACGACCGGCCATACCGACAATAGCCAGCTTGCACTTTCCGCTGGACCCGTGGTTTCCGATGGGAGAGTTGATGCTCTCTCTCTGGATCTTGGGTCCAGGACGAACCTGGACATCGAGCTGCGTGCGGTCCTTGATCAGCTTCGACAAAGTCTCGGCGTTGTGGGTGGGACCATAGGGGATGACGAGGCATGTCGATCCCTCGAAGTCGCGGGCCGTCTCGATGCATCCCTCAATACCCTTCTGGAACTGAAGAACGTCGACGAGGCACTCGTGGGCAACTGCCTTAAGGAGAGACTTGGTGTCGGTCTCGGCAAACCAGATTCCCTTGGTTCCGGACATGATGGCGGAGCGAGGCTTGCTCTTGGCGAAGATCTCGACGACCTTGGGGTCGTTGAGGCGAAGAATCTTCTCGATGTCGGCGGTGCCGTGAAGGTGAGCGGCGTGGTAGGGACCGTACACGGGGATAGCCGTAGGCTTGACGCCGAAGACATTCTGGTCCTCGAGCGCTCTGAGGGTAGCAGGCGGTCCTGAGATCGCCAGGCTGGATGACGACACAGCGCTAACGTATGCTTGGCTGGCGACGGGGATGTACTGCGACTAGTGTCAGAATATGGCCTTGTGTGGGAACTGGCATAGAAATCGCTTACATTAGATTCATGGAAATTAGTAAGTGCCTCTTTGGCGTCGGATTCCTTCAGGCCAGGAAGGATGTGTGTCCAGGGTTCAGATTGACCGACCGGCGGGCTGAGCCTCTCGGCCAGCGAACCGACGTGGGAGCCGGTTCGGAAGGCCATGAGGACTACCTGAACGGCAATGGGTATCAAGGTAGAGACTGAAGGGGTCGAGGCGATCGCGGCGGCGGCGAACAGCCCCGTGCAAAGACCCATGAAGAATGTGTGATCATGAGGAGCGCCATCTTGAGGCTCCTTCTCGGTGCGGCTAGGAGAGTGTTAGCAACTGGACGGGGAAGGTTCTGGGCGAAGGCGAAGATCACGTACTCGATGTAGTGGGCCAGCTGGGTGATGCAAAGCAGGGCACTGTCGATGCCCGGGTGCTTGATGCTCTGGGCGTGGTATCGCTCGTTGAGTTGGCGGAGTGACAGGAACGTAGGGAGTTTCGACCGTTCCAACTTCCCCAAACCATCGATCTCCTCCCTCAATGCCTGGCCAGCCTGGTCGAGGAACGTCTTCGCAAGGGTGCTCGGATTTCCTGAACGGTAGAACTCGGCGAGAAATCCATGGGTGTCAAGCGACTGATCTCCAAAGAGGAGATAAGACATCATATCGGCCATCTTGAAGGATCGTCGACATAGATTTCCTAGGTGATGAGGTTCCCGGTGCTCCAGCAAGAACAAGATGTCTGGATGGCGGGAGCGAGTCTTGAACTTATATGATTGAGATGGGCTCGACACAGGACGGGTGGAGGGTGTGCACACCAACGTAACAACGGACCATCTCCCGAATTACTCAACCCAGCTGTCAATGTCATGGCTGATGGATAGCGGAATCGTAACATGGAACACTTGCTAGGTAGAGGGAGTGGGTTGAAGGGGGTGCGTGGAAAACATCCCATGTAGCCGCACGCCCCCTGCACCCCTTCCCTTCCTTTCCACCTGGCTCATCCTTTTCTCGCCCGGATGGCTAGCGTGAGTCCGGCCCTGGGGGCTCTCGGTGACCGAAGGTCATGGGTGATTTTCAGTGTCTTGCCGAATCGGTCGAGACCCATTGGTTCAGGGCAGGCGATCGAGACCGCCGCCACACGGGCTTTCCTGCGCCAATCCACCTATGCTGACTTGAGAGAACGGACAGGCGGACAGACAGGAGGATAGACAAGAATAGGCCGCAGCGCGGCAACTCGAGCGGAACTCAAGCAAGGCAGAGCACACGCTCGCGCGCTCCTTGCGCCGATTTCTCTCACCCTCGATTCCACACACCCAGAATGGCACTGCAGTGCGAGGGATTCGTGGCGGGCAAGGTGGTGTACTCTGTACCCTTGCATCGGGCTTTCATACAAGCACGCATCTGGAACTGTACTTGGAAGCAAGTAGTGACCGATCTTGTACGCGGGGCATGTCAGGACCGCCTGGGCCAGGCATGACGTGATAGCACCAGTTTGTTGCCTCGGAATACCTGCCCAGAAGACGCAGTGCGACGCAGGATTGCTCCGGATGGGACAGTTGGGCAACGCTGGCCTGTACAACGAGCTACGGGGAGTGTTTGGAAGGGCCTAGTATGGCAGTCGAGGGGAGGGATGTTCCGATCCCTGATGCGTTGGCAGCCAGAAAGCGATCGATAGGTGTGAAACGGGTTTGAGAAGACGGCAGCCGGTGAGGGCAGCTTGCTGGTTTCCTCGTTAGGCGGCCTCGAGGATTTCCCAGAGGCGTCAACCTGGCAACAGGGGCGGCAGACAACGAGAGAGAGGGACCGGACGACCTCGGGCTTGCACGACGACCCGTAACCAGAGAGTGCTGAAGAAGGTAAGCAAAGCATGGATGCGAAACACGGCCACGCAGCCCAGGACCGTACCGCAGTGCGCCGCACCAGGAGGAAGTGTCTGGTGAAACTCCGCAATACGAGCGCGGGTAGGCTGTAGTGACAAGCCTCACACAGCTGTCGATGCGGATTTCCCACAAGGGAGAGGCATGGTGTCAGACAAGTCGGGGTAAACAGGCCTGTTTGATTCCTGAGCGTGGGTGATCAGTGGACGGAAGAGTAAACGGGGTGGAAGGGCGTTTGGTTGTGGGTTGCGGTTGTGGGGGTGGACGATGGACGACGCTTTGTCCGACGGACATCCCCAAGGACATTGCCAAAGCGAGACGAATCCAGAGATAGAAACCTAGCCGACACGCCCCACGCCCCCTCCTTTTTTTCTACGAGGGGAGCTTTAGGGCCAATGTTTGATGGCGACTACGGTGTTCGTAAAGAGAAAAGAAAATGTGAAGACTGGAAGGATTTGACATGCGGTTGCTGATGGGCGTCGATGGATTGCATAGCGACGTTATTCGGATCAATTGTCGTTGGAGGTCGTGATGAAAGCGGGGACACGAGGCGGCTGTTGTTGTTTGGTTGGAGATCGGAGGGCAAAAAAAAAAGAAAATAAAGGAATGGATTGACGTCGTCGGACTCGACGGGGGACGGAAGTGGGCGGCGGGCCTGCGGCTGCGGCTCTCGTGCTCACCCAGACATGCCACCCTATTGTCTTCTGTGCACCGCACCGGCCTCTTTCTCTCACCTTGCCATTGTTCCCCTTTGATACAAAAGTGGGTCTTAGGCCACGGCAAGCAAATGGGACAGGGGGGAAGGCATTACTGAGTCCTCTCCCTAAGCACCTCCAACGCCGAAGGTACGTACTCCCTGGTCGTTTGGACCGAAGAGGGTGTTGTCGTCAAATTCGTAGTGCTCTTCGATTTAGTTGTCAGTCCTGCCTATTCCCGCCCCACCGCCGACGAGTACGTACTGCAGCCTGACACGATCGACTCTGGCCCATCTACGTACCTAGGTATCTACCTGTCTCGTCGGGAAAGCGGGGACCTATATCGGGCGGTCACTATGGAGATGCATATGGACATGGGGATGCTTTTCCCCCCAACTTACAGTATCGATATCTCGGTTCTTCATGTGCATTTGCAATGCAAAGCATAGACTCCCCGCCCGCAACAACAACAAAAGAGACACACTTTAACTGTCCAAGACCGAGACAGATCCCGGGTAATGAGTGCACACACGGACGCCGTCTAGAAAAGTAACTATTCGTGCCCCTTTTGTGCTCTTTCGACGGTGCCTTACCTTAGTCCATACTAGTGACTGCAAGGCATCCGTCCTCGAGGTCAGTAGGTAGGCAAGGCAAGATCGTGGAAGGTCAGAGAGAAGGGAAAGTGCGGGTACGTGGTGCCGTGCGGGCGATGGATGTTCCGGCAAGACCCCTTTTCCGTCCATAACTCCTCGGCCGACAGCACCAACATCGAGACGCAGTCTAACGCAAGGCACTGTCTCCAAACCACGGGCTAGGTTGGCCGGCACGGAAACGCCCACGGCAGTACGTACCGTGCCCCAGGGCCCGCGACCCCCCCCCCCCCCCCCCCCCCCCCCCCCTTGATCCCGCTCTTTTAGGCAAGGCGTTGAGGCAAGGGGCCCCGGTTGGCTTCGTTTCTTGCTAGGTACGCTTATTTCTATTCTCTGGGGCCGTCTGGAGCTTCGACGCAGTACCTGCTGGTAGGGGTGGTCGAAGATTGTTCGATCCCCCCCTGTCTCTCGTTCCTCTTGCCACGCCGTCAGGTATTATGGACCACCTCACGAGCGTCGTCCTCGACCGCCAACATTGACATGGACCTTGCTCCTGGCCCCGCCGGTCAGAACTGGCTATGGTTCATTGTGGGGAAGGCTCCCTTCACCTAACCACTCCTTCAATGCATGATAATCCCCGACAGCGACGGCGGCGGCGGCGGCGGCAGAAGGAACACGGCTTGGAACAGACGTCTTCTCTCTTGGCCCCGCCATGTCGTCTCCTCGCAAAACATTCGATTACCAACCCAAGGCGACTAGCAAAACATCCAGCGCCAGCCCAGGTACCGGGCGCCTTAGCGGAAGTCATTTCGTCCGATGCAACGCTCGCTGATGCCAGCCAGAAACACCTCGGCGGCAAAGGCACGGTCACTGACAAAACATGCATACACACAAACACACATTCGGCGGCACGGTACACACGTATACGCCCACACACCACCTTGTCTATTTGCCTTTACCTCTCTCTTGGACCCTTTGCTCAGCTTGGCTGTAGTTCAGATGCGTTTTTCTCGAGCACCTTAATCAAGAAAAGAGATCTTCAGCACTGACACGCTTGTTTCTTTTCCAGAATGAGTCGGAAGCCGTAGGCGGGATCCAACCCAACGGTCCGACGGCAAACGGCCACAGCGGATGCCGCCAAAGCTTTCCTCGCCTGTGTGCGCACATGCTCTGGCCAGAGGACCAAGACCAGGACCAAGACCAGGACGCCGCCCGACATCAGGATCCAGCAACCCGCCGCTGAAAACTGCAGGCTACGGTCTACGCTGCTGCAAGGCACCAAGCAGCCCTGTGATTCGACATACGGTCTCATTCTCGCTCCCACTCGCAACAAAAGGTTTCGTGGCGTTGAGATGGTCCGGAAGATGCAACAGATTGTTTTCTTATCTCGCAAGAGAGTTTCTTCCTGTATGGGCGTTCAGATCGTCTCTGCCCCAAGCAGCCGCAGCATTCGCCCTGGCTGTGTTGTCATCGCTTCCCAAATTCGACGTGGCTGTGGGGGAAAAGACAGGGAATAGGGAGGGGGGGAGTGACTACCGATTGTTTGAGTGTGTGGGAGAAAGGGCGTACTCCTAGTCGGCTCCTACACCTTGTCCAACATCGTCCTCCTCTTACACACCAGGGCTGCGGTGTGCATACTTTGTCTGGTTATTCATCCCATCATCTAGCGCCTATCTCGCGGTAATAGTCAGTCAGAGAGATGAGTGCCTGCTGCTCTTGGACGAAGCATCTCGGAGCAGCAGGTTGGGACCCCATGGACGGGCGGCGAACACATAATGTGCGGCCCTGCGGACAATTTGGACGTCCATCGACCGCCACGGCGACGGCACAAGGCGGTTAGGAAGGCGCGGCAAAAATGGCAGAGAAACATTGGTATGAAGGGCAACGCTCACCTGAAGGTCGGCGGTTGTAAACGAACGGGCTTGGTGCACAGAGCCAAGCCCACTCGGACTACCGCTTCAAGCCTCTTCAGGCCATCTAGACACAACGGCGGCCGGCGCACGTTGATTTACGAAGACCAAGTGCGACTGGTGTCTGAATCGGTGATGTCGCCCTGTGGAGGCCCGTATTTGGGATGGGACACGACGACCCTTACACCATCTCGGCCGCGCAGGACTAGTTACGAAGATCCTCATGTTGTTGGGCTTTGAAGGATGAGAGGCGAACGTCTGAGCGGCCGTCGTCGACAACGATGCAAACGAGAGCGTAGGACGGCGGCCGATTCCTGCCTCCTGCAGACGGCCATCTCGATCTCGAGGGAGCTGGATCCATCTGCGACAAGCCAGCATGCACCCAGAAGAACACGCTGCTACAGGCCTTTCCCCTTGGTGTGCTGCCATTACAGTGAGCCGCAATAGACACCAACTACATGGTGTCACTCCCACAGTCTATACGACTCTTGGGGTTTGCACACCGCACGGATACGGCTAGCACAAAGGTTAGCGAATCAGGCCTTGATGACGCTTAATCAGATTGAGAGCCGCCGCCTCGCATGCCTGGCCTGCGGGCAGGGGATCGAGGAACCATAACAAGGATGGAAAGCCAAGACAAGACAAGAGGGGGAGGGGGGGAAACAAGGGAGAAAAACAAAAGGCTACGGTGGGGTTCTCTAGAGCGGCCCATTGTGTCTCGTGTCGCAGGTGAAGGAAGCAGCTCCAGTGGGCAAAGTCGCCAGTGAGTCGGCCTAACAGGTTTGGCCACTGGTCGGGGCGTCACTAAATCACGGGCACTTGGGTGCCTGCAATGTTGAACCAGGGCCAGCGCCTCACCACCACGCTTTAGCGGCCAGTATTGCCCGAGGGCGTCCCGCCGCCCCCTATGCGTGCGTTGGCCCCAGCGATTGAGCGTGGTTTCTTACCTCCCGCAGCCCGGGAATACAGGGAGGTGGGTGACGGGTTACAGCGCTGGTCTGTTTACTATGACCGCCTCCCGCCCGTTTTGGCGGCGGTTGTGGAAGGAGGAGGCGGAGGACGAGAATGGGGACTGAGCAAGCCCCGGAAACATGGACAATCCCGCCGTCGGCACCCACCTTGTCCTTCCACTAGGCCGTGCCTCAAATCACATCTCGTTAAGTTAAGTCCTTCGGAATCTGAGGCGCGGGATGCAATCCTCCAACTCAAGCATCACTGACCGGATCCACGCCCCCATTTCACCCCCTCCTCTTCCCTTTCCCCTTCCTTCTTGGAGCAAGAGCTTATCTTGCCCGACATGATGCACCTCTCGATTCTCGTGTTTGTCTTGGGCCGCCAACGAATTGTCAACGGATCCCGAACGAAATGAAATGCAGCTAATCGCTAGTAGGAGCCAGAGGGGAGGAGCCATGCACGCCATAATCTCCCTCCGAAATAGATCTGATGGCTTGGCTTTGATGACTGCTCTGGCGGTCTGATAGAACTTTGGCCTAGTACCGACTGGCATGCAGTTGGTCAACACCACTGCATCTCAACCAAGAATGAACCTATCCACATATCCGTAACCAAACCGTCGGCCAAGCCGGCCGCAAGAGTCTCGACAGCTGTCCGGCGTCACGTTTGATCGGAATCGACGTCATGTCATCCCATGCCGCCTTCATCCCTCCGGCCAGCCCAGCGGAGCCTTGCATGAACCGGACAGCAATGGTATTGGTCGATCACTTTTTCCACAACAGGCTCAGTGGCTTGCCTTAAACCGTTTATCGGTACCACCTCGCCTCCAGGGGTTGAAATGCCCCCGTGTGATACGTACACCAACATCATGCTACCGTCCCACAGAATTGTCTACAACAAGGCATTGCCATGAGTCTCAGCCTTGGGCCATTTGCCAGAAGACGAGTCATCATACCCCCATGCATCCGGACTCTGCCGCCGGCTACCCGTCCCCAAAAGGTCCAGGTGGAACACTACGCGACTCTTGTCCTGTCTCCGAGTCCGAGAACGGCAGTCCAAACGACCACAACTGCTTGCAAGGCGGAAATCCCGGTCTGGTTTACCTCTTCAGCGCCGGATTAGGTCCAACGATGCGCTGCCGTTCCGAATCCTGGACCCAGGCTCGACTCGGCTCCTGCGGCGACCGCGGCCTGTGTTGTGCTGCTAGCATCGTGCTCCAACATCCAGCCCAGGTTGTACAGCCGCCCGTCCCTATCACCAAGGGTCTCAGCCTAGAAGCGCGCAAGAATTGCGTCCAGGCGGGTTTCCTAGGCGGCGTGTCGAAGACGATGCGAGACCGCCCAGTCAGGGAGCGATTCGACCCAGCTCAGGTTCCGCGGCTGTACCATCGGACGTCCGACCACGCCTGCATGGCGTGCCTTGCTTCGTCCCTCTAGCGCGTCTAATCTCGGCATGGGGTCTTACCGGACCTGGTCAGAGTATTCCCAGATCATTGATTGTGCTGCTCGTAGTGCTGATGTTGATGAGCGTCCCCTAGGTAGATGACCTGATGTCGCTCCCTTGGACTGCCGAAGCCTGCATATCAGCAAAACCACGAGCCAAGCAGTTACACCGCCATGCAGCGAAGGAACATTATCTGCCAGGCAGCAGAAATCTGGTCGTATTCTACGAGCCATCGAGAATGATGACGCTTCTGTACCACCACTTTGCTCTGCTTTTTCGGGCAAGCCAATTTCCACGGTCCACCGCTCAGAGGGGTGCGTGTAAGCCACTGTAAGGTTCTCTTGATCCACTCCTTCCGGTTCTCTAGATAACATGTTTGACAGGGTGAGGCTGCTGCTAACGAGCGGGCTGTTCTATTCTTTCTTCTGTTGCGCTCATGTTGTGGGACTGTACCTTCCGTCGATGCGGCGGGACATCCACCTGTTCCCACACGATCAATGACATCCACCTCTGCCAAGTGTCTTCCCCACGGCCGCTCAGATTCTCTACGAGTCTATGGCCCGGACGTGCTCCCGGTCTAGTCGAGACAATTACCTCGTAACGCTCTCGGAAGAACCCCGTTTCCCAGAGATCGAATCCTCCTACAGCTAGCGCGCTCTCCGAATAGCAGCCACCTTGGGCCGTCCATCTGCAGGCCCACTCGGACTCGGGAGAACATGGGCTTCTTTGAGGCCATTTTGCGCGTGTGCGGTTTGTCAGCCATGTCAAGCTGAAGAAGCTTCTTGGTTTCCATCGAGACCAAAGGTCCTGGAAGGCACTAGACACCGCAGTCTTTGGGGCTCTTTGCATACGGACGCAGTTTTGGACATCGGGTCACGTTGCTTCCGATAGTGACTCGACGACCATTATTCATCTGTTCATCACACTGTGATGACTCTGGATTCGATGCACAGTGTTTCATTGGGGCCATTGTCGATTGTCTCGCAAAACCAGGTTCTTCGGTCCGAGATCTCGTCTATCCTCAGACGCAGCGGATGGAGCCAACCGGATTCCTTGTTCTCTCCTGACGTCCAACTGGTCACAATTGCAGCTCCACTGTTATCTCCATGCCATTAATCAAGGACGCCAAAAAAGCCCAATACCAATATGGGAGACATTCCAAAGAAGCGCAACGATACCCACCCCAGAGCTTGGCACCCTACCCGAGATGACACGACGTATCTGTGGCCTTCGGGGCTTTTCTTCTCGCATTGTGAAGCGATCAATCCGAGTGGGCGGTCTCGTCTCGCAGGAGAACCAAAGACGTGGCTTGCATGTTTTCCCCTGTTCGGCCGAGACGCAGGACGTTGCTACACGTCCTCTGGCGATGCTACGTTGCCCAGCATGCTTCTTCATCAGCCTTACCTGTGCTGCCCCGGCCGTGAGACCTTGATGCTGTCAAGGATTTTCATCTGTTCTATTTTTCTCCCCCCTTTCACTTCTGACTTGCGTCTCCGGTGTCTCGGCGACCTCTGCCTGTGGTGAGATGCGGATGCTGCCCTATGGGCTTTCGAGGACGGCGGGTCGGATCCTACTGTTCGTCCGCTCGCGTCTCAATTTAGGCGTAAGCTTTTCAGCCTCATCAACGGGCATGGCGGCTGCTGCTGGTGCTGCTGCTGCTGTTTCCCACAGAGGAACTGAGCATCCACACCGCATCTGAACATCGGGCATGTCTTCCCCGTCCTAGCGCCCGAACTTCGGCCCTTGGCTGGTTCATGCCTGTCTGAATATCGGGCGTCCCAAGGCTTGCAGAGTGGAAGCTGATGTCGGTATGACTGGGCAAATGACCCTCATCCGTCTTTGCTCCAAGTCATTCATTCTCACCCCCATGGGGCATGGCGAACAAACAGGAGCAACGGGCTCCCATGCCTCCCGTTGATACCATCCCACACGCCCCTCCTCGTCCTTTTGGGCATGCATCGTGGCTCCTGCCAGATCCAACCTAATCAGGTTTTCCCGCGGTCCTGGGGCGTCTGTCTTGCCTTATCTTTGTCGACATGAGACGAAGGCACGGAAAGCAATTACCGGCATCCAAGATGGCGGGCCTGGTTTCGTTTCTTCTTAGGAGACCGCTCGGCTCGGAGATCCATCTCGGACCTGCTAGTCGTCCTGTCGGTGAGTCTTGCGTCGGTAAGAAGCCGGAGGTCTTGCCTGATAATCGTAGCTCTTCAGCTCGGAGCGGAATAGCCTATGTTTAGAGAGCTCAAACCGCTGGGGTATAGCTTCAGAGACCAAGATTTTGTACGCTGACTTACTGCCCAAGTCACTATATGAGATCCCTCCGCTCGCCGTACAATGTTGAGAGACTCGGCGACTTGACTAACGTCGAGATGTCCCCCAAAAGTCTAGACGTCATTATGCTTCTTTCGACATGTGCAAAGAGCTGCATTCGTGTGTCGTGAATCTTACGCAATCATCTCGTCTTGTCCTTGTTTTTCCTTCGGGCCGCCTCGAGATGCGGGTCTCACGGGAGTGGCTGCAGTCCAATGTTTTTTTTTTTTTTCTTCCAAGAATCCAACGGGGGCGGTAACTGGTACATGTTCCGTATCGCCGACTACGGTGAAATGTCCCGAGAAAGGAACAACCCGTCCGTGGTGAGAGGCATGGTATCCGGATAGCCGTTCTATCCATGCAGACGCCCCCTCCCCCACTCTGGCTCCTCAGACCACCCGTTCATGATGCCCAATGTTGCAAGCCCGTTCGTTCGAATGTAGTTGTCAGACATACGACTACTGGTTGGGCAGGATTTACATGATTGGCTGTATACACGGTTGTAGTTCGGTTGAATGTAGAGCGCACGGCATGCCGCTCAGTCTCTGTCTATTCCCGAGGCGTACAGATTCTGACACAACAAGAAAAGATCCCGCGCGGGTCCTGTCTCACGCACCACCTTTCTTCTGCCCATCGCCTTCTTTTGGCTTTTTCAGAATAGAGACATGTGAATGTTTGGTGGCAACGGGTCGCTGGTTAAGATTAGTATTCCAACTCAGTTTCCTTTTTGAGTTGTGTTTCTTTGCTTCTTCCCTTGCTATCCAAGTCCCTGGGCTGCCTCCCCGGTTAGACCTCCTTCCCAACGCCATGGGAAAGGAAGGAGTGAAACCAAACAGTCAGAACACTTTCAGAAATGTCCTTGCTGTCTCTTTGAGTCTTCTGAATCAAAAATAAGCAGTTTTACACGGCGAAAGAACTTTGGGTTCGTGGATATCATCACACCCTCTTCCCAACCATCCGTGAGTTGCGTTCGTTGGTGACCACCCGTTCATACCCATACTCCCCCCATAATAAAGAACGGACAGGACGACACATGTCTGATATCTTGAATATCTCCGAGAGACGAGAACGGACATTGGGGTATTTGGTTCAGCGGGTTTACCCAACGGGTTCTTCGACGGATCCCGCTAGATTCCCGTCTTCCCGTCCGCAAGTTTCTTGCTGTGTTTGGTTCCACGGAGATGGGAGAGAGAAGGCTGTCAGTGAGTCGCCCGGTACAACCGGACCAGTCGCTCTGTCATGTCCGCGGGATTCTCAGTGATTAATCGTGTCCGTGAGGAAGCAAGGTGACAAAAGCACATGGAGACGATCAGAGCCAGGCAGGTCCCCACATACGAAAGACTGGACGTTACTTACCATCTCTTGACGGCTTCCCAGTTCTCTACGAAAAGTCTGGCCTGCGATTGTCATCATGCCCGTTGGTGGGGGCGCAAGACGAAAATCCTAAAAGACAAAGACCGAAGCTAGGTCTAAATGGTCAAGCTTTTGCCGCCTCGCGGGATGACATGCAGCAGCCATCCAGCCCCGGATACGACTTCCCAGGTCAAGACAAGGAAGCGGTCTACGGGAACCCTGCCTACTGGACCGGGCAGCCAGAGATGTCGTCGTCTGTCCTCCTATCATCTATTCTTCTCCTGCTTCCGTCGCGGCTGGCTGATCCTTCATGTCCGCCAACCATCCTCCCGCAGCAGGGAAGTCAGCCATGATTTCGATGGAAGTGGGGAGGAATAGATCCAGATATCTCTCACCTCTGCGTTTCGACTCCCCATTTGTGGAGATATCCGGCCATCCCAGCCCCCACAACCTCCAAGTTGTCATTCTGCCTCTGCCCCTCCTTCCTAGCCTCAATATCACCTGTCGCCGATACCTAGAGCTGCGGCCTCGTTAGAGACCCGTGGGTGGTACACCGACTCGTTGTGTCTTTGCTACTCGTCGTTTTTCTGAATATCACGCCATGTTCTAATATGAACGGGGCTGACGCGCCCCAGGACAAACAAAAGTTGAGAGCTTCAAGCAAATCCTCAATTGCCGAACCTCTACCCTGGCCTCTGTGCAGTATGGTTTATCAGTGTGCGTTATTGATCATTGAATAAGCAGCCTCCTCGCGTCCTTCAACTCTTGACCTGCAGGTCCTGGTGGAAGCAGGGGGCGCGGGATGGAGCACACACGAGCACAGATACGCGAGCATATCCCACACATCCGAACGGCACACGCATATGCGCACCCACCTGCGTCCATACACATCACAACACAAGCCGGCAACCTGGAGCCATGGCCTATGGGAGGTCCCAAAAGCTACGCTACGGGGTTCCAGAACTGCAGATCACGGAGGTCGCACGGGACGCCCATGTAAGTGGTTATGCCTCTCCACCTGGCTCATCTGCAAGAGAGGTTGATGTCGAAGGTATATAACTCCAGGTGAGGTGGCAAATCGCTCTTGACTAATCCTGTTTCTCTCGTCCCACTACCTACTTTTTCCTTGGTGTACTTGGGTTTTGCTGGTTTCTTCGATATACTCAACGATTTCCTGTCCAAAGTCTTTCGGTTCCCGTCTCCCTGCTGCCAACCCATCCATCAGTATTTCGCAATCTCTACCTACCTACCCTTCCTGTCCTTGTCGCTCTTGACGTTCCGAGCAGAGCCATGGAACCTAAGCCCGCGGTCGATGTTCCGGACACGACTCACGATGATACCATCTCCCTCATGATTCTCGAATACCTCTAGGCATTTCGTTGGATCGCCTTTTGTTTGCTCGCTCTCTTCTAAGAATTTAGGACGGCGGGACTAAGCATGACAGATGTCAAGTTCAAACACTCCATTCTTTGGACCCAGACCTGCGCTCATCACCAGACGGCGAATGTCTTTATTGGCAGCCAAAATGAGCATTTATTCGACTCCTTCACTCGACTTCCGATCCCCACTCACCAACCACCCTCAACCCTATGAAACAAATCACATATCGCTGACGGGTCATTACAACAATACGAAAAATTCTTCAGGAAGCAGAACCCTCTCTCCGCGATCTTCTGTCACGTGATCTCGAGCTCTGAACACGGCATGGCCAGAAAACACCCCGTCGCCCGGCACATCACCACACGGGCCGATCAACAAGTGTTCAGCGCCACGGCCTAGGAAACAATCTATTTCCTCGCAATCGCCCAGACAAATTTCCTCTGTCCCCTCCAAACTAGCGTCCAACTCCCAAGAGCGTGGTTGATCTCAGTCGCATCATGAGAAACCTGCGTTGAGAGGCGGTGGCTGCGCACAAACGCCACCACATTTTTTGTCAAAAGAGCCGCAAATGCCCTCAATCTCCCTCATGGGCTCCTTGATCCAATAATACACGCCATCTCTATAAGACGGCGGCAACTCGTCGTCGCCATGTTTCCATTTCTTAACTTTCCACGTCTCAAAAAATGACACATGCGAAAGAAAAACTCATACATGCGAGTTCGCGTGTGGTGTTGTCGGTCATATCATGCTCATCTTCCCATTTCTCCCTACCACCTTCTGACCGATCCGTTTCGAGGCGGTTCTCCGTCTTCCTGCCGTCCTTTCTATCTTGCACTTGCTACTTATTGCACACTGCAAGAAGACGCATGAATGGACAATCTCCGCTCCTCGCCCTCTGTCATTCCGTTCCGTCGAGGCACTTTTGAATAATGCAAGAGTCGGGACAGCGATTGCTCGAGAGCAATGAGAACGCGGATCAATATGAATGGGCCCAAACTCCTTGCCCAAAGGAAGATTGAGAACGCTCGCGCACAGCAACGACTCTTGTTTCACGGTTTCACCGTTTTGAATCTTCATCGACGCCAGAGACGAAGCACGCTCTTGTCAGTGCGACGGGCAGCACTCTCGACACAACCCTGGCGACTGCGCTTACAAAAAATACAAAAAAGTGACGAGATTTTATTCCGTGTCTAGTCACTCGAGTCCGGGCTCTCAACGGCCTCGGCGAGGTTGCGTGCAAGTCTCAGAGATGTCACCATCGTCCTTGTTCGTCGCGCCAGAGATAAGACTCATTTCAACCCAAGATTCACGGCTCTCAAGACACATCGTAAGAGTCATCCAGAATGTCACATTGTTGCCTGTATGTCTACCCATCTATATATGACCCCGTCATCTGCGGCTCCGAAGGAAATGGGGTTTCAGTTTACCACTATCACCAAGCCTCCCGGCTGCGTCCTTTAGCAGCACCCTTCAAACGCCACGTCACAGACCAAACCGACTGGTGGGAGAAAGGGCCGTGGAAGAGAAAATGGTCGCCCTTGTGCAAGCGACCCTTGGTTGATTAGACATTAATCCCCGACCCCCGGCATCCCCGTACTCCAGTCGTTCCTCGCCCTCCTCGGTATCATAAAAAATATTTGCGTATCCACATGGCATCATGGGTACTATGTACAAGAATGGTACGGGGTCCCATCCAAGAAGAACAGAAATAAAACAAATCACGTGGTGGTCTGCATATCTAATAATTGCGGACGACACGCGAGCGTAGCTTAGCGGGAGCTGCGGTAGGAGGGTTATAAGTGGCACTAAACGAATCGGTTAGCTTCTCAAGACTGCAAAACAGTAAACATGTTCGTTGAGGAACACTTACCCGTGGTATGTCAGGGACGGGTCAAGGTTCATGCCAGTCTGATCAAGGGGGTTGTCAATGTTACCAGCGGCATTGCCAGCAGTCGGGATGCCTTGAGCGCGGCAGGCAGCCTTGTGGTCCTCGGGGACGGTGAGGTTGCGGAGCCTCTCTGGGGCCTCGATGATGGTAGCAGTGAGACCCATCTCAACGTGCCACTCAATATGGCAGTGAAAGAGGTAAACACCCGGGTTGGTAGCCTCGAAACGGATGACGGCGTGCGACTTGCCCATGACGGAGACGGTATCGCGGCGCGGAGGCTTCTGGTTGAGGCGGGCGCGCTGAACGCCGGGCCAGTTACCCGTGCCGGTAGCGGGGCGTCTGAGGACCTGGAAGTGGTGACCGTGGAGGTGGAAGGGATGGATAGCTTCGTCCCTGTTGTTGATGACGATGTCGACAATGTCACCGTAGTTGACGACAAAGGGGTGAATGGCGCCATAAACGAGGGGGTTCGTGTTGTTCTCGCCCGTGGTGGCCGCGGTGTACAGAGTAGGCACCTTCTGATCGACATAGGGGGACCCGTTGACGCAGGCGCGGGGGATACCGTTGGTGTCGAGGCAGAACTGCCAGTCAAACTGGAAGATCTTGGTGGCGGCGGGGAGGATGGGAACATCTCCGTAGGGCTCAAAGACGGCGTCGTCAGAGGGGCGCCACTCATTTACGACATCGGTGCCGAAAGGCCTGTCGGGAAACATGACAAGTTGGCCAGTGTAGTTAAAGGGCCAGCTTTGAGCGAACTCCTTGTTAGTGTAGTCGCGGTTGATATCGCCAGCAATAAGGAAACCATAGTTGCGGTTGTCGCGATCAATGCACTTGACGAGAATGTCGTAACGCTGAGCGGGAGCAATACGCAACATGTAGGTGGTCTTCTGCTTCACGTAGGCGGCGTCAGACATGATGACGTTCATGTCGTGAGAGTCGAAGTGAACCATGAACGAAGCAAAGGCAGCGAAGCTGACCATGCGGATACGGTAGGTCTTGCCCTTCTCAAACTTGAAGTTGGCTCCCAGGCCGTCATTTACAACCATGCCGTTGGGGATAGGTGGCGCAAAGCGAGTATTGGTCGGAAGGAACATGTTCTGCGCCAAAGGAATGGCCTGTTCGTTGTACCTGCAGCGAATTAGTCTAGAAACGTTACTCCATTCTCACATGGTACTTACCAGTCTGAAACAGACAAAATGTACTCTCCATCGTACTGGCCGGCGTAGGGGTCGTTAGGATCATGGATGATCAAGGGGCCGCGCATGCCGTCAGGGTACTGGCCCATGTTGTGGGAGTGCCACCAATAAGTGCCACCCTTGTCAGCCTATACATGTTCGATTAGTCTGACTGTCTCCAGTCTTAACAACCTACATGCCCGTTTGTTGGACTTACAGTAAAGGAGTAGGTCATGGTCATGTCGGGGGGCAATGGGCACTGGGTGACCATGCTTGGGCCGTCCATCCAGTTGGTGCTGATCTGGTCGATGCCGTGGAAGTGAATACCGGTGGTTTGGTTACCAAGCTTGTTGGTAAGGTGAACCACGACGGTATCACCGACGTTGGCTTCGATCTTGGGGCATGGCCATTGGCCATTGATGCCAATGACAGGTCGTGAGACACCTAGGGGAGCGGCATTCACCCAAGTAGCTTCCCAGGTGTAGGTGACAGTGGCAGCTAGGGCAATATTGGCCCAAGCCAGGGTGACAAGAGACCGCAGCATGACGGGCACTTCCGAGACCAGAAAAACGTGGTCTAGCGTGCTAAGATTAAGATTACTATCGATACTTCCAGTAAACGAGTGGTGGAAGGAAGGTCGAACGCAGGGGAGAGGAAGGAAAGGTAAAGCGCGGATGAGTGAGAACTATCGTATCGTGGTCTTCCTGGAGGGGGAAAAGGAGTGCTTATAAGAACCACGCGAGAAGGGTCCATAAGGCCAAAGCGTGAATTTGAACGTTGGATGCCATAGCCTTCTCCCGAAACGGTCGGCCTTAGCCGCTTGGTAAAGTTGGAGCTCCGACACGGTGTCGGTGTTGGGTTTGCTAAAGTCGATCGATACTCACGCGAGACGGGGCACCCGCCGGAAGAGGACAGAGGCTGAGTTGACATATGGCGCCGTGCTGACTGCTTACACATGGCAGGTACTCTCCAGTTGGCCATAAGCCAGCCGTATGAGCCACACCTTAGTGTTAGCCCGGATGCATGGCCAAAGGTCCGTTGCCTGCAGCAGGCTAGAAGGGATGGGGCTAGACCCTTGTCAAGGCTCACCAGGATGGTTCGCATTGTTAACCCTCGGCCCAGGTAGGCATCGCAGAGCATGGTGTGGTGCGTCTTCGGACGAATAAGCGTTGGGAGGACAGACGGTATCCAGACAGATGGGACTCGCTGCTCAAGACGCCTGAGACAGCGGTGGCACATTTTGCCGTCCTATGGCTGTAAAGGCAATCAAGAGCTGCAACGCGAAGATAGATGCGCATGAGGTTTGGTACCCAGCTCCCGGTGAAATGCCAAAAAAGCAACAGGACATACACAATTCGCGGTTGAGTGTGGCTCTGGTGCTCTCCAGAGTGCGCTAGCTTGCTCAGATGATTGATCAAGAGACATGGACAACACCAAGTATGCATGGTTGGATAGCCAGCTCTACGCCACCATGCAAGCAGGGCTCTGCAGGATAAGAGAAATTAGTTCGGGGACATATTGAGGTACAATAGCGAGTGCTACCATGAACCCCTGGACTTGCAGGCGGAAACCTGGAGACAGATCGATAAACGGCGAATTGATGGGCAGCTTGTCAATGGTGACTTGGCAGACCGGAATATCTGATGCATGAGCCTGGCAAAAAAAAACGAGGCCTTCCTTTCCGAGACCGAATGGCTCCTCGGTTAACGATCCACACCTTGGACAAAGGGAGAAAAGACAGCGAGTGTTATGGGCAGAAGCCGGCAGTTGTGTGCCTGGTGGGTGGAAAGAGCTCGAGGTTGCAGGTCTAGTTCGGCTGAAGCGCTCAAATATACGGCGACGTCATGGCGTTGACCTTGTCGGATCGATGCTGGGTCGGCGGCATCGACTAATCAAAAGTCGATAAACAGAGCACTCTGGTGAGATGGGATGGTCGCCTCATTCCGTCCGGCGGGTTTTTCGTCCGGAGAAGCCTTGCGAGCACGCATCGTGCAGCTCCGTCATCTTGGCACCAAGAAATCGACGTTAGACGAGAAGTAGATCGAGAGCTTGCGACCTCGGGTTCCCTGTGGCCCTGTGGGGACGTCGGCGAATATAGACCAGCTCAACGTGTTTAGTCGTGTCTCAAAAGAGCCAAGATTTGAGATGAGGTGCAGTATGTGTCGATGCTAGGCTCAGAATGGATAATGTGGGCTGCTCGGTATGCTTAGGGGTTTAGGTTCTTAGGGTACGGCGCCCGTTAGCTGGGAACCATTAAGTTTTTCTGCGTACAAGGAGGCCTTGTGAACTGTTCGAGACTGCGACTGCTAGGTGCTGTATAACCGCGGGTGTGCTTGTCTGGCTGTCGTGGTGTTCCGTACGGGTTAGATCGAGTGGAAGCAACGGCAACTGGTGTACCGTACGGATCTCCAAAAGGCGTATCAGGCCGGGTTTCCGTTAGCGCTAGCAAGCAAGGGAACGGAACAGCCGGCTGGTTTAATCGCAGCCCGGATTTAAACGACCGGGGCACTACCCGTGAACATTGTCATTGGCGTGATGCTACGTCGGGCTAGCAAACATCTGATCTGCCACCGTAGTTGGTTTGGATGTATGGTCTGCAAGGATTGATGGCCAAGGTTGCAATTGTCGTACAGAACGAGCAGTGGACCTACACATAGACGTCCTGGCCTATACTGATTCGTATTGGCCAATGCGTGTGTAAGCTTAGCATTTAGAGTAGGCGATTTCGGGTTGTTGTGTGGTGCGTGAGGCAGATACCCATGGATGAAACAGCCCGACAAGTGAAAGATGACTGGTCACAGCAACAGGTGAATGGCACAGGTCTGCCGGAGGTCCAGGAAGATCCTTTGACATCGGAAAATCGAGTCCAGCGCCCTGAGATGGAAAACTTGGTCCCGCATTAGCGCTGGTGAGATCGTATCCCCTCCAACCCCACCGAATCCTCTCACGCTCCCCTTTCTCACACTCAAAATAACATTGGGATGGAGTCTAGAGCAGCACTCGCCTCGGCCCAAGAGGCTTGGGTCGTCTTGGGCAAATCCGCATTCTCTTGGTCGCATTAGCACCGGTGATATCTTTTTGTCAAGCTAGGCTTACTCCAAGTCTCGGCTCTAAGCAGCATGCGAATTATGAATTGCATCGCCATCAAGTACCGTCAGCTGAAAGCCTGCCGGCTGAACGGTCTTTCCCCATCCCATCCGCTCCGAATCTGACTTGTTGATCAGCCTAGACTGATTTTGTGCGGAACGGAAGTCGAAATCTCGAGTCTGGGTTCTAGGCATAAACGCCCTTTGACATGTATCACCACCGTCTGATTTCTCTAAATCACTGGCCAATTCTATTTTGGGGGACTGTACCTTTTCCAGAAACCCCCAAACCTCCGGGTCCATCGCTCCGGCCGTCGCTTTCTCATTGTGCCTACCATTAGTATACGCTGGGCGCCGGCTTGGTTCTTGTTCGCACTTTATCGAGAGCCGAGGTGGTCAGATCAAGGTCTTGGGTCGACGTCGCCCAGTGTACCAACATTCGATGGATGACCTCGTCTCTGCCGGTCAGACAAACCCGCAAAAGTCCCCTCCTGCTTCTGGAGCGTTTTGCGGGCTCATTTACCTTGGCCTCTCTCCATGCCCAAGTCCCGACCTATCCTGACCTTACCTCGATCAAGACCATTGCATCAACCGCAGAAAGCAGACCGTTTTTCAGGTTTGCTTACAGTTCTTGACTGAGACCGGCAGCCAAGTCTCCGCCTGCGAAGCTACCTTAGGTATGACCATGATCAATCCACCTCACCGAACACGACTACGGTCAAACAGAACGGGCCCCTGGCATCTCAGGTGGCCCGTAGGCCGCACCATCCCGGCCTGACGGGGAGCTGCAACCACCCTTTCGTCGGCACTGTCCACGCCTCGGCTCCCGTTGCAACCCTCCCACAGCATCCTTGTCCCAGATCATTCATTTCGTGGTCCGCCAACTGGCACTTCCGCTGCGCTAGGATGGCCCTAGACATCGCGCTAACTCGAGCTCCGAGATAGCCAGGCAGTTCCTGGACCATCTTTGACTAGGGCGCACCCTCTTCGCTTGTTAGCCCATTTATCAATCAACGAGTCGAACCCCCCACCGATCGGATCGACCAACCGTTTGACATCATAATCATACATGGTACTTCCATTCACCAGCCTGAGCCGAAAGACGCGCCTAGAGGCATCGACCATTTGAAGACGTTTCCGCCCGCGGACTCCGCTAGATCGGATGGACAGTGCCGTGCTGCCACTGCTTGTCATGGAAACAGACCAGCGCCGCAGCGTCTGTTCTCACTTGTGTATCGACACATGCTCCAAGGGAGGCACGCACTAACACACTGTTACACAACAATGAGATGTTGTTTTTGCCAACAGAGGCTGCAATGCATGTAAGAGCTATTCTGCAGTTGATCCCTCAGCAGACACGTCAAACCTGCTTTGGAGGCGTAATTATCCCAGCATCCAATGAATAGGCATACAAAGCTGAAATGCAAAGATTGGAGCGACGCCCGGCTAGCCCAGGCCTTGCAATAATTGTCCAGCCCCTTGGGCATGAGATTCCATCAACGCACATGCACGGGTCATGAAAAATAGGAGACCACTTCTTGGCGCGGGTTTTCCCCGCTTATCCAACGTTCGCAACCCGTATTGCAGCTTAGCTTGACGCTGTCTCTCGCTTCGACAGTGTGCACCTCACCGTATTCCCTCGGCCAGCCTGAGTATCGTTTCTTCTTCCGCGAGCCAACGGTTGACTGCAGCTATTGCTACCTCATCTTTCAAGGTGAGGAGGACAACGTCCCTGACTTGTCCAACTCGGAAGAAGGCAGTTTCACCATTCCACCACCGGGGGCTCTTCTGATTTGGTGGTATCCGTGTCGGCACGGCTGGCCCATAACCTCGGGATTCGGCCCGTAGTCACTCGCCAACTCATGCTGTGCTATGCTGTACCACACATCGTCGTGTCACCATAGCATGCTCATCTCCGATGCAGCTACCTGGCACCTGCATCCCTGATACTTGCATCCTGTGCTGTGTCGACACATCATTGACATGGCCCCAGTTGACAGGCTCGCCATTCACGAGCAATTGGAATAGGCTTCTCGGTACCCAAAGATGTTGTCAGCTCAAGACCCCACAGACAACACCACTTGTGTTTCTATGCCGAACCCGACATATCCCACCCTTTGCGATACCCTCGTAAGTCGCTCAATGTTTTCTCTTTTAAGCCAACAATAGGACCCTTGAGCCCTACAGTCCATACCCGGACGTAAATGCAACCCACAAAGAGGCTTCTGCACACCTCAGCATCGTGCATACACCGACCGCTAGGGAAATATTGCATCGCGCGCCGCCTAGCGGCCAAGCGGTTGCCCATGAGTGGTCGGATGCGAGGCATTCGCCCCCTAGCGCCTACCATTCACCGAGCCTTGCAGTAGCCCCCGGTCCTGGTCCGCATATCTGTGGTTGACAATAAAGAGGAGGAGGGTCAGACCACTCAGCAGTCGGGTCGGCTTGATCGTCCGCACCCTCTAATTGACCAGATCTGTGGGGAAGAGGCTAGCTGACGGGGCTTTGCGTGGCTCAACGGGCTTGGGATTGCAGAACAACGTTGCTGTAACCAGCTGATGACAGCAATTCTCACGCATCGGTTAGCCTTAGCTTTGCATTCTCCGGCTGCTGCCTTGGAACGAGTCCGACTGCTGACCATCCGTGGTGCTAGGTATTCGGTGTCTTGGAACACTCTGCACATTTTTTCCCTCATTCGGATCCCTGCCCGAACCTGTAAGCGGCGTTCTCAAGTCCCCAAACAAATCGGCACCGGCCTGCCGGGTCGCCGGGTCGCCGGGTCGGTACCAATCGGATGTGGAGACTCGGAGTGCCAGTTTCGATTATACCGCTTCCAAACTACATTGGCTGTTTGCCAGTCATTTTGCAATATACTCAGTGCTCGCATCACAAGAGATCGTGGTCCCAACAATTGAAGTCGTTTGTCGGATTTGCGACTTGTTCAACCCTACCGAGCGTTTCGTGGGCAGCAACATGGTAAAGGGAGGGCTGTTCTGTAGTACTAAACTTCTCCATCTGAGAGCTGCACACACACACACACACACACACACACACACACACACACACACAAACACACACAAAGGCCACAGAAGCTTGGATAGTCCCTCGTTCCTGAATTAGCCAGGAACGCGTAACTCGTGTCTGCATGGAACACGGTTGGGTCCTGTCAACCTCGCTAGCGCACATGTGCTTTGACGCCAGGTGAGCCGGGAGGCTGGGCCTCGTCTGTCACGCTTTGATCACAACAGACAGGAGCATTCCGCAAATTCCACAATGTGATGTTTGAAACGGGTGCCCCCTATGGTTCGCTCGGCCCCGGCTTGCGTGGCACGAGAAGAGGCATTGATGTTTTTGCTTCTTCTTCTTCTTCTTTGTGATTGCTATCTTTACCCGGCGCCTCTTGGCAAGCATCTTTGACTTGGACATGCTGTCGAAATCCTTTCAGTGGGTCGGAGGCTTTCCGTCCCCAAGGTTACGGCCCGACATCACGGGCTTCAAGCGGCCGCAAACGTGCCCGTCGAGTCCTCGGGGTCCTTGGGCGTGGTTTCGGGGACTCAATGAAGGCGGGTGAGCGGGTGAGCTATTGGTCCGACGGCGAACACGAGATCCTCAGTAACCGTGCTTTGGATGTAATGTCTGGGATGTTCTAAAGGAGGAAGAGGAAAAAGTAAGTGGGGTGTCCCTGGAAGCTTAAAACTTGAAAGCCGCGTTGGCAGACATGAGAACTCAATAATTGGGCTCGCAGGGCGAGGATTTCGACACTGTGACCAGCCAATCACTCCCCTACCCGAAAACACACTTCAATGACATGGCCCTAGGCTTCTACCGATGGTCTGGTTCTGATCTATCTGAACTTGTGTCTCTTATGTACAAAGTCTATAACTTGTGTATGAAGTCTATTGCACTCACCTTTCAGTCATTCTGATGGGAGATGCTTGCTTACTTTTAACCTTAAACCACCCAGAAACCTTTATTAACTCAGTTGTCTGCACGTAAAGATTGCAATCATCAAAATTGGGGTCTTTAGAAGCATCATGTGAGTTCTTTCGGTCCGTGTCGAGGGGTGAGACAGGTCGTTGTGTAGGAGCAAAGTTCCTGCCAAGTGCCAGAGCCAACAAAGTTTCTGCGAACATCTGGCAAGGAAACGGTTCACTTGCGTGACTTGAATCGAGGCCTTTCGCTCCAAAACTTTTACTGAAATGGACTTCCTCAAACAATTCTCAAGAAGAGGGCGGACAGGGAAAAAGTCAGTTTCTGAGTTTCGCATCCTTCCCATTTCATGATAGCCGAGACTGCACCACCCCATCTCCTTCCTATCGTCTGAACCCCTCAGAAAAGATCGAAGTAAATGATAGGAACGATGTTTAAACTCTGAAGCCATGGTTTGCTGACATACCATAACCGGCGCGCCTCAAGATAAAAGGATATAAGGAGAGTGTCTTCCCCACGGAACTCCGCCTCCTTTTATAATCATTATCACAAGTCTTCACTGACCTAAGCGAGTCACCGAACTAAGTTCACGGCGCAAATCAGTTCAAAGTTCTGCCGAGTTCCTCCTAAGTTCAGGATATCCGAGGGTATTTCCGGTGATTTTCAGCTTCTTCTTTTCGTAACGAATCTTGCTTATCATCTACCACGTTGTCTGCGGCGGCTCCGATTTCTTGAACGAGGCAAGGTCCCGACGTATCTAATCGGAACGCCCGTCCGACCTCGAGATTTTGCAATGGATTTTTCTCACGAGGGTCTTGGCGAGAAAATCAGGCAAAACCGATTCATGATTCCCATACCTTTGATAAGTTGGGCGCAACATTTCCCATACGAACTCTACCTCCCTCCACTTTAGTACAGTCCGCAAAATGACACCCAGCCAACTCCATATGCTAGTGTACACGGCCAAGTTCAACTATCGGATCACAGCCATACTCTCATATTGTAAGGGGCAGACTATCAGATCAAAAGCAACACTCAGACTGTCGATGCCGGCTGCGAGACCGGACTTTGTCGAGCCGGGGCAAGCCTTACCCCATGGGGAGGACTTGAGGCTTTCGAGGCAAGAGCTGTTGGATGTTGAGCGGATGAAGACAGCTCGATATTGTGATCATTAAGCCTCCATATAGCGTTTCGAAGTAACGGTCTTGATATGTTGAGTAATAAGTGAGCTACCACGGCCAGATAACTCCCTGTGGAAACTAGAGTACCGGTTCGATTGTCTACTCAAGTCGGATCATTTACGTCTCCAGGCCTGGCTACCCCCTAGCTTTACTAGCAGATGAAAGTTTTGAGAGGGGAAAAAGCAAAAACCCACGACGTCTATGTACCGAAATGCCTTGCCGGTGGGATGAGCCTTTCATGTTTCTTTAGTTGCATATGACTTACGGGCTTGCCTCTGTTGAATCTTACCTTTATTATTATGGGCGGTGGGCCGCTGCCGCAAAAATATGTCACATGCCTCCTACTAGAGCCCTTTCACTTCTTTGTGCCTAGCATTCTGCTGGAGCATTTGATCTGTTGTTTTTCTGCTTCCATGATCAAAGAGATGAACAAGAGTGCGTACCTTCTCTGGCTGCTTTACTCTTCCACTACAAGCCTTCTTTCCGCACCAAGGGCCATATACAGTGACTACTCAACCTACTTGTCTGTTTTACACTCTCAACAGTTGCAAAGTACGAGATACCATGAATCCTAATCATCTTCTATGGCCTGTATGAGCGCAGTTGGATGGCCTTTTGGGTGAGGTGCTCGACCTCCTCGACCTCCTTCTCAAAGGACCTGTGGTTTGCGAATATTTTGTTCGAATTTGTGTTAGCTTCCGTAAAACTCAGATCAGAACACTACTGGGAACTATACCTTTGTTCAAGCAGGCCGAGTACCTCTCACCAAGTGGGTATCTGTTCCGGCCAGCATGAGTTTTTTCGGCATCTCGCCCTTGTTTTAGCATGCTTCTCACTCATGAAACGGATCTTAGTACGTTCGGATGATCCGGGAGAACGGTTCCTGGGCAAGACTGTTGTCGCCATCGAAGGACAGCCCCTCGCGCATTATCCTACCAATGGCAGGAGGTCTCTCGGGGACGTACTTACAACGTTGTGGAGCTAGATGGTAGATACCAAGGAAGTTACAAATCCATAACTCTTTCATCATGGTGGCGGCCACAGCGCGCTGGGCGTTTCACGGTAGGCGATGCTGACCACGCCAACACGCGGCCAGTGGTAGCCTTGGCTTCCCATTATCAATGTCAGCCAGCTCGGCAATACGCCAAGTCCATCGCCTCCAGACCACTGCTTCCCGGCAGTCTGAATCAATGGCACAAAAATTCTTGTCTCCTTTTCAAGGCTTTGTTTGAAGAGATGGCTGTGTATCAAGGGTATCAATATCAGGGGCACTTAACCCCCATCTCTCGTTCAAGACATACCTCCCAAACTATGCTCACCCTCATTGTTTCATCCGTTGGAGATGAATACACGGAGCGGCTGAAAGTTTCTTGTAGTCTGCATTACCTGAATTTTTTAGTGAAACAATTGTTGGTTCTTTGGCTTCATTGTCGGCATGTTGTTCAGTTAGTTAAATGTTGCAGTAACAATCATAGCCAGCCCCTTGAGCCATATGGCGCAATGTTCCAACTCGGCACTTGGCCAATACTCCAGCTCACGGCCGCGTACACATATCTCGAGCAAGTCTGTCTTGACCGCTTTGACGTAGACGAGAAAGTAGCGCATAGTGACGGCGGAACATGGTGTTTAGGTCTTGCCATGAAGTAAAGAAGATGAGTTATTAGAACAGTACCATGGACAACGGTACCAAGTGAAATAACATGCATCAGGCGAACTGCACGGTGGTGCGCCACCAATATGACTGTAAATGCAGAGGCTTTCCTATTCGAAGCTCACTAAGCCGGAATTAAATAACCAGACTCGCCAGTTCATCAACTAGACTTGAATTACATGGCTGGTAATTCTACTTTATCCGAACCAAGCAACTTACATATATAGAGTCAGTGATTGTCAAAAGGGATCTTGGAATCCAATCATAACACGATGTCATTCAATCCCCTATTCCAAATCGCACAAAACCCCGTAATCCTTGCGGCATCCCGGAAGAGCTCCACTGAGCGGCTCCGGGGATAGATCCGATAAAACGGGCCTTTGCGGCCCCGCACTCAGGAGCATTTGCCGAGTCTCTGCGAGAAACAAATTTTACAATTCATTGTGGATATAATTCTCTGATGAATCGTAATTATGAGACAAAAACTTGGGTATTTTCTATGTCGAGGTGAGTAACACTCTTCAAAAGTCCGTACCTTTATCCAACGCATTAATCAACGAAGGCCCCCCCCCCCCCCCCCCCCCCCCCCCCCCCCCCCCCCCCCCCCCCCCCCCCCCCCCCCCCCCCCAATCCCGGAATCGGAAGAACCAGACAGCACCCAGTCCCCGGACAGCATCGTCACGTTTGTCACATTCAACTCTGTTTATGAAAACAATCGATAGTCTTCTTGAAGGGCTGAGACTCTGGTGTTTTTGGATGAAAGCGGTAACAAAACATCCTTGACTGAGGATTTCATGTAATCTTTTATCCAATGGTCTCTTCCTTGTCCAAAGTAATCTTCCCCAACGGGTTTTGTTGGCGCAATATCAGAGTCTTCATTGCTCTGAGCTGTCGCGCTTTGGAGCATTGATATCTCTCACTTAGCGTGTGTCGTAAAATTTCAATCTGCACCATGTGAATTTGGGTTTCAACTGGTTGACTCCCCTTGCGTCATCCAAAAAAAAAACTGTCTTCTAAACGTCAAAGTATAAACATCTCGATCTGCGGTGGGTCTGTGTCTGTCAGGGGTTCAGAGATCCCCTCGATGCCCCCCCTGCGGTTGCCTTGATTATGGTAGCCAGAGGTTTTTGCGCAGCTTGTGACCCATCAGCGATGCACAGTCACTTCTCGGACAGATGAAGTGAAGTTTGTCAGAATACCGTAGCCAGGGTCCCGCATGAGGCGCAATTTGCACAGACAAGCCATCGAATGTGGGTTCACCGGCATCGATAATGGCACACGGCCCAGATTTAACCTTTCTAAACCCGATTCAGTTCTGAATCGGCCCTTGAAGAGGCTCTTGAAGACGGGGGCAATCACAAAGGTCGCTGACACGCATGCTGTGGTCTTTTCACAAGGCATCATATAGGATGAAGTCATATGGCAGAAGCAGACTGACGTTGGTCGACGGCATCACAAGGAGTGTCAAGGGCAACAGCTGACGCCGTATTTGAGCAACCATGTTTAGCATTCTGTAGTGGGAGCATAGCATGGAAAGGCTCAGGACCGCATTTCTCTGTGTCAAATCTCACAAAACCAGTTTTACGGTTATGATCAGCTAATTGCGGGATACCATCTCACGCGCGCATAGTCGTTGATAGTCATCGCGAGCGCCGCCCTGGTCATCAAGAGCCTTGCTCGTTCTGGACACCACGCGGATTGATTCGTTCTCACAAACCGGAAGCGCTAGACAAGATCTGATGCTAAGCAACATGAATTGCCCTTCTGTGGATGCTCCTGGTTCGGCTGTAAAAACACCAAGCCACTTTCGGCGGCTGGCAACAGTCGAGTCTTTTGCTCACACACGGATGGATCACATCGCGAGAATCAGCTCTATCTTTTCCTGTTCTATCTTAGCTTGCCAACAAGCTAACGTTAACGGCTTTGAAGCATGGCCGTTGTTGATCCAGGAAGAAAAAAACAAGAAGTGACACCAAGAAGTCAGAACTGTCTTCTGCTAGAAAAGGGTGCTGCTAACCAGCAAAAATCTCCTCCAAACCGCTCCATGTGCCCTTGGATCTCTCTTCCCAGTACGAGTCCTTGCCCATTCTCAACTTCCACACCTCCTCGCCTTCCGGGCCCTGGCCGGCCTTGACAAACCACTTGGGCTTGTGCTCCTCGCCCTTCTCTTCGAGCGCGCGACGTCGGGCTCGCTGCGCCTCTTCCAGCTTGACCTTCCACTCCTCGGCCTGGTCCAAATCGCCCTGCTCTGCTAGCCGCTGATCCGGTCTGAGACGACTGTCCGTGGGTGGCAACCTGCCCTTCTCGATCTCCGTCACCTCGTTCAGGCCAGCTGCAAACATAGTCATTCCGTACGTGTTGGCAGCATTCTCGACAAGCTTTCCAACGCGCCAGATCTCCTTTCCCGCGCCCTTTCCAGCCTGGACAATACGGAGACCGCCAGTCCATGTACCGGAGAGGCTGCTGCCCGTATGTACCCCGTCCGGTCCGTACGTCTCCACCTGGACATCCTCGCCTCGTCCGCCAAACATGCCCTTGCTCCGGAACTCGACGGAGGCTTTGGCGCCGTTCGAGTCGTTGCAGATTTGCATGACGCCTACTGGTTCAACATACTTCTCACCCATCACCACGTTGCGCAGGAACATCGTCGCATGCGTCCACGAATACAGCTCGTCCGTTCCGTCCGGAAGTCGAAGAGCGACACGAACACGGCCTTCCGTTGTGATTTCCGCGCTCTTGCCCCAAAACTTCTGCGACGGCGCCGGCGATTGACTAAAAGACCAGTTGGCCGAGTCGGCCTGCATGGCAAGTCTGACGGGGCGATGAGAGACCTTTTCCACAAGCAGGCGGAATCCTCCAGGAACTTCCTGTTCTGTCCGCAGCAACTCGTAAGTCTCACCGAGAAGAGGATTGAAAGGTTTGCGGATAGCACGCTCTTTTGCGCGACCAGTGCTGAACTGCGACACCGCGAATGCTGTGACGTAAAGAAGGCGGTCCTTGGATTCTTTCTGCCGGACAGCTTCGTCGAGGAGCTGAGCGTATTCCAATTGTTCGGCAACGCGCTGCAGGAGCGAGATGGGCTCGTTCGCGGACACGGGCATGCTGATAGTGCTAAGATCTTTGCCTACGTTTTTCCGCACAAACGCAATCAAACTTGGAGGCTGTACCATGGCCGGCGGAATCTTGGTCCGTCTGTCGATTGAGATATCTACTGGCAGTGGAGTCAAGCTCTTGGGTTTTGTAGGATAGCAGTTCGTGTCATCTGATCCAACAACGTCCTCTTCCTGAGCCGATGAGATGGAAGATGAGTCACTGAGGTGCTCATCAGCCTCCGAGTCTGGACTCTCATCCTCGCTTTGAGCAATCCTAACGATTTGTGAGTTGGTTTCACCAGCTTCGGCATCGAAGAACTCTTCTGTAGACACTGTTTCCATGCTTCGCCGGGAGGGCGCGGCCGATAGGGGAGCGGGTGTTCGGCGGCGTTTGCTGTTGGCAATCAGAGCCGTAAACTCGGACACAACCGAGTCGAGGTCATTAAGGACTGCTGCGCAATGCTCCTGTGTGCTCTTCTCTTCGTGGACGGACTTCTGCTTCGAGTGGTGTGGACCATTGGCGTTTATGGTCGTCACAGAACCCGGAGACGGAACTGCAAGGGCAGACGCAGCAGCGGATTGAGCGGCAGCAGCTGTAGGGGTAGCATTGCTCGATTTCCGCTTCCAAAAGGGTCGTCTCTGCGACTGCTCCGTAGTAGCAGGGGGGGTGAAATAGCTGTCTTGCTCTTCGCCCGCCGTACCGCCTGGGGATAAGAAGTTCGATGCAGCCATGCTGACGGGTCTCTGAGTCGACATGTCTTTCACAAGGCGACGGAGTGCATCCCTGGTGCCAACCATTCGGCTGACGAGAGTTTCGACCTGCTGCCATTCGCGATCCTCGTCGGGGTTCGACTGCGTCGGCTTCAAATGCGTGGTGTTGACCCTCAAGGGGGCTGCTCTGCTGTTGCTGGGCTGCTGCTCCTCCACACCTCTCGCAGCGCGGCTTGCCTTCTCCAAGGCCTTGGCCCAATCGTTGAAGTCCTTGGCATTGGAGGCCCGCAGATGCCAGATCTCGGCGCCCGAGTCAATGTTAATTTCTCGGCGACGCTCGTCGGCCGCGATGGCGGCAAGACTAAGAGGGATCGCACCACGAAGCGCGGACGAGTTGCGGTTGTAGTAGTACGAGAGTGTGCAGGACGAATAATCCAGCGAGAAGAACCTGCGCGCGTAGCCCTGACCCTTCTTTCTCCTTCTCTTGTGCAGGATTCCCGTATGGTAGTTGGCGTTTCCGTCACTGCGCCCGGAAGCTGACGTCGGACGTCCTCCTGCTGCCACGTGACTGTGGAGGCTGTCTTGGGAGGCGGAGGTAACGGCGGTCATCTGCGGCAGGCTCGTCTTGCTGGCGGTCGCATTCGATCCGGCTTGGAGGTTCGGGAAGTTTTGCGCGGTGGTCTGGGGCGGTGCGCCGGTCGGGTAGGTAAGGAGGACGAAGGTAGCTGTCTTGGAGATCTGCTTGGAAAAGGTGTTGTCAAAGACCAAGCCGTACATGCCGCCCTGGCCCTGCGGCACATCCCAAGTGCCCGTCGACACCTTGTCCGCATCGCATTTCCCATGCCATTTTATGGGAATAAAGCCTTTGTTGGCGAGCTGCTCTTGAGCTGTGCTCGAATCCCTCTTGGCGAAAGGTTTCTTGGGCTCGGCAACGCCAGAGGTAAAGGAGCCCGGCGTCGCAGCATCATCGTTCTGGTTCGTAATGAGGCCGGCGGCGCCTGTCCCGGGGTGCTTCACAATGCCAAAGTTACTGCCTCAGCGAGCGAGTGGTAAGCACATGTCCGAATTGGAGAAGCAGTTGAGAGATGGAGGGAGGAAGGAGTAACACGTACATGGACTTCTTGTGTGGCTGAACGCTCCAGGAAATGGTATGGCCTTCGTCGACTTTGACCCATCGTACGATGTAGGACTTTGGAGAAGCATGCTGTCAGCAGGGGATGTCTTCGCGGCCGACGAGGCGATAGCATGAGTAGAAGGGGAAGGCCGGGCCAGGAACGACTCACGTACCTTGCTATGGATCTCCAACTGCTCAATGCCCGCCATTTTTGCGGGTTGTGATGGGAGCTTGAGCTGTCGGTGGAAACGGAGTCAGGGATTCGAAATTGGTCGACCAGTACGTGTTCTGGTTCCAGCAGAGGTCCCAACACTATTAAGGGATCATGATGTGGAGGGCGAGGAAGGTTTGCTAATGATTCAATGGGACGAGGAGAGGGAGAGACGTAGTGTTTGCGTACGAGGGGAGGTGAGAGACATATGTCACCCTTGTCGGGAGCTGCAGCAGCAGTTTACTCGTACCTAGGCCGTAAGGTACGCGGAGAAGAGAGGGAGTGGAGTAGGTATGTGGGACGTCTTTCTTGGACACCTCACCAAGCCTGAACCCAGCCACACCTCGCCCACTGGAGCACTCCGGATGGACACACACACGCACACGCACAGCGGCCACTTGAGCGGAACGGTTGGTTGGGGGCGGAACGTCATGGGAAGGGGGCCTAGGCGTGGTGACTGGCTGGCCTTAGGGGGTTAAAGTGGAGACACGGACGCGGACTGCGACAAAACGTCGCCAAACGGGCTGTGCGAGGTGCGGGAAGCCGCGGGGGCAAGTGCAGGCGTGAATACCTATGATGGATGGCAGATGCCCCGCGACTGGAGGATGTCGGTGAGGCTGGGGCTGTTTTACGCTAAAAATCTAAGAATTGCAACGGGCCCGTTCCGTTGGCAGCTGTTGTGATGGAACCTGTGCATCGATTGGTGCTATGTAGTCGTTGGATGCCAGGCAGACATATTAATGTTCAGGGTGTTCCTGGGCACTATTGGGCTTGGGCGACGAAAAGGGCGAATTGAGGCTATCCCTATCCGACCTGCCTTGTTTTATCAAAGACCCAGGGACGGTACAGCCCATTGACTGGACGTGTAAGACGTGCCACGCGGCGTCCAATCGCCCCTGTCAACCCGACGGACACGCACGATGCGATACGACGACCCGTGTACCCCCCATCAGCATAATCCATCACACGCTTGCACGGAGTGCCGAAGTCCCCCGTTCGCATCGGTCGGAACGTCAACCTTGTCGACCACTGAGATGCTGTTTACGGCTTACCGAGGCTCGCAAATCCTAGGGTGTGCTGAGGAATGGAACCACATAACTGCGGTGTCCCTGCTCCAGGAAGTGCTGGAGAGGGGGTTAGGGGAGGCACGTATGGAGTAGACCACGCTGGATAACCCCAACATCGATTTCTCAACCCGCTACGTACTGCTCTTAGGAAAGCGATATAAACGGGCTCTTCACGTCATATCGCGCCAGGGACAAAGCGTTGAAACAGCTCCAGGATAGACCTCGAGCCGTGCTGGGTGCCATAAGCACGCCGGTGACCGCGGATGCGTATCTCATGACCAGTCCTTCTTTGGCCGAATGAGCCGCAATTCATCTATCAGATACCCGCCGGCAATCTACTTCACTTGTTCGGCGACTCCGAATGCTGATGGCTAACTACAGTTTGGTGCTTGGCTGAGTTGTGGGCAGGGCATCAAGGCTCAGCAATGAAGCAAAGCTGGTGGGTGAATCAGCAGATTGTCAAATGTCAGGGCGATGAGGTCAGACAGCATCTTATGTCATGTTGCCCAACAGAAAGACAAACTGCCGTTGTGAACCGGTTGCACGAGGCGGCTTGCAGGAGCTGAAACCATTGCTTCGATCTGGCAGTACCGTAGCTTCGGGACCGGGAGCAGCAACTCGCACTGACAGGTGACAGCCTGCCGATTTGGCAGCGAGCCTTGACGACAGGTAGGTACCTAGTGGCAACGAAAAAGCAATGCTTGCAGCGTCCTTGATTGGGCTTCAAACTACGGATACGGGTAACGGTCTCTCGGAGTGCATGATGGTAGATGGTATCCATTGCCGTCCAGCAACTCACTCGGCAGCACCCGGGCTCGCGGCACCACCGGAACAATGTCGGGCCCTGTCATGACCCTCCATAGAAGGATGGATGAGACGGAAGGCGGGAAATGATGATGGAACGGACGCTCCGACCACCCAAGGAGCAACGGGAGCGCCAGCCAATCTCCAATTCGTGGGTAGCCGAGCGCGGAGGGCGCTGTAATCCACTCCCACGCGCGTTCTTCCACCCTGCCACTGCCAGTCCAACCTAGGGGCCCCTTTGGAGGCTTTTTTTATTTATTCTTGTTTGGTTTTCCATGTAGGTAATGCCGTTCTCTCCTCGTAGCCACTGGGGCCCGTTTGTCCAGACCCGTCGCCTGCGCCCCTAGACCCCAGTCCAAGACCATGATCACTATCCCCTTTGGGTTAGAGGCCCGACTCCACCTCTAACTTCCCCTCTTGCTGCTTGCACCTACCTATCTGCCATCTGGTGCTGCCTTTGGGAAGTCAATCGTCCCCTTTTTCCTGAGTCGCGCACTATCTTGTCCCAAGACCACAACCATAACCGCCGTCACCACCACCACCACCACCACCACCACCCACAATCCCGCCACAACACTTTGGGCAGCATAGGTGGAGCGTTGTCTTTCATAACCGAAGCATTCTTTTGTCGCTCCATCCACGCCAAAGCCGTCTGAAGTATTGCAACAAAACTCGACAACGAGACATTCTCTGCGCCTCCTCTCGAATGTAGACTGGTCCGCCGCCGTCCCCGTCTCAGTCTCCGACAACGCTACCTCAGCCTCCCCGACGCATGATTGAGGCCATGGTTGTCGCCGCGCTTCCCTTTCCATCTTCGACATCGGGCTCCCTCTTCCCCAGTGCATAATTTCCCATGCTACATCTTGTCTGTCAACTACCCTTCTGATCCCGCCCGCCTTCCCGCCCAATTTCTAGCCGCTGTCCCTGGTTGGCCCGAAGGACCCCTCGATCTGCTTCCCGATCTCGAGAAAATTGCTCCGCGCCTTGTCCAATCCCAATTTAATTCTACCGAACCACGCCAACCCGCGCGCACAAATCCCGTCGTCAACGTCGACCGTTGCACACCGTGTTTACACCATGGCGGGTGTCTTGAGCAAGCGCCAGCAGGCCCGTAACGAAAAAGTCCTCCACGATCTGGTTCAGTCGGTTCCGGGAAACAACTTCTGTGCCGACTGTCAGGCACGAAACCCAGGTGAGCGCAGCCGTCCTCTCTCGCTCAGACCTTTGCCCAATACTGACAGTAGTTCGCAGCATGGGCCTCATGGAGTGTAAGCGCGACTGTCCCCTATCCGTCCCACCCTATCGATCCGGCGTCGAATCGAGTGGGATACCGAAATACACGATCAATACTGACATGGGGATACAGCTGGGTGTGTTTCTTTGCATGAGATGTGCCGCTATCCATCGAAAGTTGGGCACGCATATCTCCAAGGTGAAATCCTTGAGCATGGACAGCTGGTCCAACGAGCAAGTCGAGGTTCGTCCCAAAATGCTGTTGTGAACTTGGAGACAGTGTCGCCCCTAACCTGGCAATCGCAGAACATGAAAAAGGTCGGCAATGTCAGGTCCAACCAGATTTACAACCCAGACAACAAAAAACCACCCGTCCCCGTTGATGCTGACGAAGCCGACTCCGCGATGGAACGCTTTATTCGCACGAAATACGTCAACAACAACCCTGCCCCTGCGAGGAAACAACACTCGAGCCTCTCTGACGAGGGCGTCCCGCCACCGCTACCGCCCAAGTCGGGGGGCAAGTTCGGGTTCAGATCTGCTTCGTCAATCTTTCCCCTGTCGTCTCGCTTGAGAAAGGATTCGTCATTGCGCAACACCATGCCGAGCCCCAGAAGCCCTTCGCCCAGCGACCTGCCAAACAAACCATCCAAAGTGTTCGGCGCGAGTGTTTCCTACGAGCAGGAAGATACAGAAAGAAAACTGGCGAACTTGCGGGACATGGGGTTTTCTGACGGCCAGCGGAACGCGATGGTGCTAAAGGGCGTCAGCGGGAACTTGGAGCGGGCCATTGAGACCCTGGTGCGCTTGGGAGAAAGCGATAGGTCGCCATCACTGACTGGGCCTCGTGACAGCTCGCTGCGTGCGAGTCGCTCGCATGCAAACCTGTCGACGTCCAGTGGTCTATCTGCGCCACAGCAAACGTTCAGTGACCACCCCCAGTCCCCTTCGACCGCCTCCAGCAACAACCCGTTTGATATGCTGCCGCCGCAACCACAGTCTTCCCAATCGACGGGCACGCTGCAGAACAAGAACCCATACGCGAACAACCCCTTTGGAGCGCCGACGCAGCAGCAGCAAGACATCAACCAGGCTTTCGGCAACATGTCTCTGGCACCTGCTCAGCCCCTATTCCCGCACCACACCGGGGGCCTCCCAGCTTCGCAGCCGTTCGCTCAACCTCAGCAGATGTATCAGCAGTCGATGACGCCGCCGGTACCGCAGCAGCAACAAAATCATAACCCTGTGACCTTTAATAGTAATATGACCTATCCTCAACCAATCCAGCCGCAGTCGACAGGCTACAACCCGTTCTTCACAAATCAGACGCAGCCTCAGCAGCAACAGAACCTCGGGGTTAACACCGCCTCGGCACCAGGCCAGTTTGCCAACAATCCATTCACGCGATCTCCGACCCGGATCCAGTCCCCCTCACTAGGCCAAATACCCGAGCAATCACAAACAAACTTCTACACGAACTCGCCGCAGACGATGTCGCCACAGAACAGCAACCCGTTTTTTGCACAGATGGGCTCGCAGGCGCAAGTTCAACAGCAAGTGCCGCAACAACAACCGCAAACGCAACCGCAGCAGTTTTATCAGCAGCACCCCTTCCAGCAACAGGAGCAGAACCCGTTCCATCAGCAAGGGCAACAGCAGTTCCAGCCACAAGGACAGCAACAATTCCAGCAGCAGGGTCAGCAGCAGTTCCAGCAGCCGGGTCAGCAACAGTTCCAACAGCAGGGGCAGCCTTTCCAGCAGCAAGAGACGGGACAGCAGCAATACCAAGCCCCTGCTCCTCAGCCAATGTACCAGCAGTCTCAGCAACCGCAGCGGCCGGATAAGGCTTCGATCCTGGCCCTGTACAACTACCCGCAGCTGGCTCCCCAACCTTTCGCCAGCCAGGCTCAAGCTCAAGATGGAGCGCAGGCGGAAAGCGCGGCGCCTCAGCAATCGAGCCACGACACGAACGCATCGATGCAGGCGGCAGGGAGCAAGAATCCCTTTTTGGCCAACGGGACCACGTCACCAGTCATGGCCCCAGTCCAAGGGATCGGAACGGACATCGGACCACGCAAGCCGGGCGTCAGCCGAGAGAGTATGGCATTTACAGACATGCAATGGACAAACGGTCGCCACAGCCCCGATGCGTTTGCCAGTCTGAGCGCGAGGCACATGTAAAACCGGCGGCAGTGCCGGGTCTTGGTTCTTCTTGTACATACCGCCCTTTTTTCTTTTCTTTCGTAGCTGTAAGATATGGTCGGCTCGGGGGCGCTTCCAGCTTCCGCGTGCCTAGACGTTGGAGAGTCCACAAGATAGCGAGGGTTCTCCCTGTAGAGACATCCACCCTTTTTGGGTTTCACGTTGTGTGCCATCCGAATTTAGACTCAGGTTTTCTCTGATGTTGTGAGCCCGCGGTGCTCGCTACGTGCCTTTTTCCTGCGGAGGGCACATGCCCGCGGGGAGGATGCGGATCCCTGCGGGCTGGGGAAGGCCGGCCCCGACAATGCCGAAATCGGGCAAGTCGGCCACACTAGACCCGCATCGGACCCTGCGACCCCCACCGCCGCGGGAAATTGCATCTCCTTGCGCCGCCGACAGCCGATTTCACCGATATCACCATCGACCGAGGTTCAAACGCCGGGGTATGACTCAAATCCCGGTCCGGCGAGTACAAAGACCGCCGGGAAGCTTGTTCCGTCGTAGGGGCGCACCTGTACGCTCTGAGAACAGCACTCGCGCACCGCGAGCCCTTGCCCTTTGTAACCCGCCCACCTCTTGGCATCATGACGTCCCCCGACTTGCACGCCCGACTCCGCGCCGCCCTTCCAGAGGGAGACGAGGCCCCCACCCTCCCCTCGGCGGCGGCCCTTGCCAACGCCTCGGCCTCGCTCCCGCGGCCCGCTGGAGAGGGGTACCTCTTGCCGCTGGGGGCCGAGGCCACCCTCTCGCACATCATCGACGAGGTCGTCCCGGGCCTCAACGGACAGGCGCGCAGCGGGCGGTACTACGGCTTCGTCACGGGCGGGTCGCTGCCCGTGGCCGAGGCGGCGGACAACATCGTCTCGGCGCTGGATCAGAATGTGCAGGTGCACCTGCCCTCGCAGACGGTGGCGACGGAGTTGGAAAGCGTCGCGTTGCGCATGCTCGCTGACGTGCTGGGTCTAGAGGATGGCAAGGGGGCCAAGGAGGAGGAGGAGGTCTGGAAGGGGAGAACATTCACAACGGGAGCCACGGCGAGCAACATTCTCGGTCTGGCTTGTGGACGGGAGGCGGTCATTGAGAAACGAGGGGGCAGGGTCGGTGAGGCGGGCATCCTGGGCGCGTGCTTGGCGGCGGGCGTGAAGGAGATTCAGGTGTTGACGAGCATGGGACACAGCTCATTGTCCAAAGCGGCAAGCGTCGTCGGGCTGGGCAGGGCCAGCGTCAAGGAGCTACCTGTCAGCGCCGACGAGCCGTGGAGACTGGACCTGGGCGCTGTGGAGAGGCACCTACGCAGAGAGGGCGTGGCGAGTATCATTGCTGTGAGTGCTGGGGAGGTGAACACCGGTCGGTTTGCGACTGGTGGTTTGGAGGAGATGAGGAGGTTGAGGGAGTTGGCGGATCAGTTCGGGGCGTGGATCCATGTTGATGGAGGTAGGTCTTCTGTCAGTGACGTTTTCTCACGAGGGTCGAAGTTGCTGACAAGTGGGCGCAGCCTTTGGTATCTTTGCGAGGGCTCTGGAGCCGACACCTGAATTTGAGAGGATCAGGGATATGGCCTCCGGGTTGGAGCTTGCAGACAGCATCACTGTCGACGGACACAAGCTCTTGAACGTGGTGCGTACACTCTGGGCAACCTCCTGTGCCGCCGGTCTAAAGTCTTTGCATGGGAAACACTGACCATGTATGTCGCAGCCCTACGACTGCGGCATGTTCTTCACACGCTCCCTCTCGACCCTGACATCCGTCTTCACGAACCCCAACGCAGCCTACCTCTCCTCGGGCCCTTCGTCCATCCCCTCCCCGCTCAACATCGGTCTCGAGAACTCGCGCCGCTTCCGTGCCCTCCCTGCCTACGCTGTGCTGCGCTCCGAAGGGCGCGCCGGCCTCGCCGCGATCCTAGGGAGAATGGTCCTTCTTGCGCGCCGGCTGGCGCAGTGGATCCGCGAGTCGGAGGCGTACGAGTTGCTCCCCGAGGGGAGCTGGGACTTGGAGGAGACGCACATGGTTGTCCTCTTCCGGGCGCGGGATGAGGAGGTGAACGAGGAGCTGGTTGGACGGATCAATGCCACGCGAGAGATGTATGTCAGCGGGACGAGCTGGAAGGGGAGGAAGGCTGTGAGGGTTGCGGTGGGGAGTTGGAGGGTTGATGTAGAGAGTGACTTTGGCGTCGTGACGCGGGTTTTGGAGGGTGTTGCCAAGGCCTAGATCGAAGGACCTGGCGGCGTGAAGCCTGGTCCCGTCGGCTGTATTTGCTTTCCGGTCGAAGTAGTTGCATACTTGTAGGTGGAGACGTGCATTTGTCCATACAGGTCATACATGTCTGCGAGCCTTGTTTCTCATCCGGTGTATTTGGTGTTGCAATCGTAAGTTTTGGTCTTGTCTCTAGATCAGATTATTGATTTCACGCGCTCTCGCCCGCGTGAAGACCTCGGGGATACTCAAAGCTTCCACGGCAATTACTGGCCGAGACGAAGGCGTGAGGATTGAGATTGTGGTAACATGAGATATGGGGAGATGATTTGATTGAACCTATACGAAGCGATGGTGCCCGCACTGGCTCTGCTCGTCATTGCTGGGCGGGCACATGGATAACCTCTGTTACAAATGACTAGTGCCGGCAAGAATCCTCCTCGAGTCGACGTAGAAGCTTTCCGGCCTCATTTCAACCGCTTAGCCAACAATCTCATTTCGAGCCACACAGAGACGGATTGGTATCCAGCACCGCGAGACCCATCCACCCTGGAGCTTTCCCCGGGAAATACAACACCGGCAAGCCGGCTAGAGATCATTCGGTTTCTCGCGATCAATGTGAGTGGTGGCATGGCGTTAACTGCCGCTTGGCCCGACACAGCATCGAATCGCGGACCTCGTCGATGCCTCAAGCTTTGGTATGCCACCAGGCATCGGTCGAACCGGACGACAACCCCTCCTCAAGGCACCAGAGCCTCGGAGAATCATGGAGCTCATGAAGGCCGCGGCCCAGAACAGGTATAACCTAGACAGGCATACATACATATCCTCTGCAAAGCATTGCTCGGGGCACACATCGGTTGCTTTACGGCATGACAATTGGACGGTCTGCCTAACAGCCCTGACGCTGCATTAAGCCTCAAGAATATCAACCTCTGTTTGTCCTGGCTATCTTTAGTTCCTTGTATTCGGGCTGAATGCAAAACGGGTACCGATCTACAATCCAAGTAAGTAACTTATAGCGTGCTTGCTTTTAAGGTTTATGGGTATGGTTATGAGTATAAATATAGCTTGACGACACTCTCCCAATTAAGACTGTAACCCTTCCCTAGACACACACAAGGCAGCAGGCTCGCTGGAAGGCGTGCGCTGCTAAACACTTGTTTGTGTTCCGTCCTCCCTCCCTGGACAGATCTATGAGTGAAAACGCGGTACTCCAAGTCAGACGGGCTCGACCCTGAGCGTTGTGAGCACCTCCCATCTTATAACCCCCAGGTACTCTGGACCATGACCTATTTTCATCCCGCGAACGGACCTCGTGTGGGTTCTCAATAAGCCCCCCCCCCCCCCCCCCCCACTCAACTCGATATTGAGCACCACCGCCCAATGGTGAGCGGATGCAGAACCGAGAACTGTCTCGCCTTCCAGAGTAGGTCGGGGCCGCAGCAACCTCCCTCCTTTGACGTTGTTGGTCTCTATCGCCGAGATTCACTGTCGATACCCATGATGGACCATACAAGGCAAGACCTACATCTCGCGTGTGACCGCTTTCTGGACTTCTGGGCTGGGGTCTAAGCCTCGCCCGCTTGGCGAAAGATGCATCATGCGTGTCCCTGAGACATGCCGAGACCGATGCACTGCACAACACACTCATGGTATCTAAATCAATGAGCATTGAAACAGATCACGCCAGGTATGACCGTCTTGATTTGACCTCGTACAGCTTTTGCGTGCATGCTAGGGGAAATTGAGTTGCTCAGGCGTGATTCGCTCAAAACGCGGACTTGGTGAATTCTTGATTTGAACATGTTTCTCGGATTGTCGACTAATAATACTGTAGTTGCTATAGTAGGCATGGAAATGCAGGCAATCAGCCTTGACACCCGTGAGTTCTGTCGGTGATGTGTTTCACCGACGTACTTCGCGGACTTTGTCTCTCGCGCCTTCTCCAACAGGCCAGCCCGTTTCAATCCCAGTCCTGTCCCCCATCCACTGACGTGTGACGTCTTGAATCTCATAGTATGTTGATGCAGTGTTGTGTGTGTGTGTGTACCCTTCCCGCTTGTATGCTTTATAAATGAAGAAGCAAAATAGAGACCCGTTCCGAACTCAAACATGGTATCGTTGCTGTGCTTTCCCCGAACGCCGGCCCTTTTGATGACTCGTCGTAACGCCGATAAATGAAAAATTGCAAGTTAAGGGGTGGCAACATTGTGATGTGTTGCTGTTAATTTCTCGTCATAGCCGGAGGGGGCTCGCTACGACAGGTGGGGGCGTTGACGATGCCGAACCGGTAGCAGTGCTATAATCGGGCGGCAGAGAGCCCCGGGCACCCCCTACTGTGCCGCCGATGGGTGGGGGTCGAGGAAAGGCACCCGTCGCGGTGTGCTCGACGTGAGCCATCTCGAAGCTGCCGTCACGGGGCAGAGCCTGTCCTGGCTTGGGCTTCGGTTCGTAAGCGGGAGGGGCCTCGCCGAACTCGTTGAGGCCCTCATCGGTGCGTGTTGTCCACGCCCATCGACCACCTCGCGATGAGCGTTGACGCCTTGCTCTCGGACGATTCGCTTCCAGGTCGCGGCGGGGCCATGGGCGCTGGATGCCAAGCTTGCGGAGACGGCGGCGGCGTTGGAACTGGATGAGTGTTGCGAGAATGCCAAGAGAGAGGAAGACCACGAGTGGTGTCAAAATCCAGGTGTACGGCGTGTCGGATAGTGAAAGCGGGTTGCCCGTGTTGCCGAGAGAGCCGTCGGGGGAAGACATGCTGGGCGGCTGGAAGTGAGATGAACGAGAGAAGATGGCCGGGTGGGAAGGCGCGAACAACTAGGATGGTCTTATTTGGAGATCCGCGATGGCGGGCTCAAGCGAGCGTGGCCACGGCAGTGACTGTTGCTTGGAGAGTTTGGCTGTAAAGAGAAGTCGACTTTGTTTGGACTGTCAGATTGATTTGGGGGTTGGCGGCTATTCTTGGGACGAAAGGGAAGGACCCCTGGTGGTTGTATTGGACCGTATTACAAAGGCGCAGAGGGCGAAACAGGGAACGGGTATAGGCAGCGATGGCGATGCAAGGGCAAGACGGTGGTCTTTCACGTCATCATAGCGTGGCTCAGATGCTCGGAATTCGCTAGTGTCGTCTGGACGCAGCAAGCTTCGATAGCTGTGTTGCTGTGGTGGAGCGGACCGGACGGAAGCCAGAGGAGAGTGAGCGGACGGGGATGTGACGAGGTGGTGGGAAGATATTCGGGGTCGGCGGGAGTTTGACGTTTGGCGGTTGGCGGTTGGCGCAAGCAAGGAGGGAGCTTGCGGGCTATGATGATTCAATGGCGAGGATCGGGTTTCCACTCGCTGTGGGTAAATCGGGCCCAGTTGTTCCTTTCCCTGATTGCAGGTCGGCGGGACGCAGATCGCACAATCGACTTGGGTGGTGTTTGACGTAGGTACTAGGGAGAGTGGAGGGGGGAGGAGGAGCGAGACAGAGGCTGAAGTAAAAGAAAGAAGGAAAGTCGACGAGAGGGAGAGAAAGAGCAGCCGGGAGGGTTTGGCGAGAAGAAATGGTGGCGGGGAGGTATATTGGATATTTGGCCGCAAATGCCAAACACGACTCAATAGCGGAGGAGTTGAAAGTGGAATTCCAACGGGCAGGGGCTGGAAGGAAGGAGCCGAGAAATGAACCATGTACTACTACTGCAGGAGCTCCGTGAGGGACCAGGGCTGGCAAGGAGGTATGGGCGGTGTCCGTATCCGTAGTAAACCTGGAAAAGATTGGTGTTGGTTTCGTTGATACCGGAATGTCTGTAGGGGGCGAGACAATGTCGACCAGGTAGACAGGTTTTGGATGGATGTTCGTGCCCGCTAGGGTCGTGTGAAAAGAGCCAACGAACATACTATTGACTAGTCATAGCCAGGAGCCCTGGATATGTGGAAGGCAACATAATGTAACCGGACTGCCGACGGCCTCGGGAAACGCGTGCGAATGCGGACGGTCGGTCTCTGTGAGCGTGAGCGTGAGCGATTGCGAAGGATTGCCGCAGAGCTTTTTGAGCAGGGACGGTACAGAGGGCGAAGATCAAGCAAGGGTGCCAATAAAGATAGCCTGGGAGCCGAGGGACGGAGATGGGACGGAAAGCAGAGGGCAGACAGCACCGAGAGGAAGGTTCGCTGTTGATCTGCCCATCTCAGCCACGCCATGCAATACAGTCAGTCAGTCCATGGTTGGGACGGAGGAGAGCAGCTCATCGAGTGTTGGACGACGGTCTGACGGCTGGGCGCATGCCACGGCTGCGTCAAACTGCCTTGTGTCATTTGTGAAGCGCGTTAATCAAATAGAGGCTTTGGTTGAGCAAGGGCCAAACGAAGGTGATTTGATTGCACGCAGCATCAGGGTAATTTGAGCTCCGTATTCCCTGGACGACTGACTGCAGCAATGTGGGCTTGAATCAGTGTCGCATCTCCTCTGGAGAAAGGGGACCGGGGTTTGCAACAGAGTAAACGACGGCCCATTCAACTTAAATGAACCCAGTCAAACAGGACACATCCCTGAACGGGCGCTACCAATCCACAGGGACCATCTTGGCTTTTTTTGGGGGGGGGGGGATCGCACGTCATGGCTAAAGTAAACCTGTATCGTGTTTAGCAGGGACGACAGCTGCTATATCTCAGCCCTCTGTACGATGTACTCGGTAGGAAGGGATGAACACCATGGTGCACCGATGACCGAGGAGTGTTCAGTATTCATCCATCGTCAATCGTCGAAACCCGCCACTCTGCTTACCGAATCAAACTCCCAATTGCCTCGGCCAAAAAGCTTGTACGATGTAGGAAAGACCATGGCGACGAAGGATGTGCAACGAGCATCTGCTCCCGCGCTGCCCTGCATGGCGGCTCTGTGAGGTACCCCACCCCCCTGGCTGCATGCCGCCGGACTTGGCCTCTCCTTCGTGTCCTCTTCCACAATGTGACCTGGCGACTGTTTCAGGGACTCGCTTCGTTCCAGAGCTGCACAACGTCCAAGCAGAGGTGACTGCCACCAAAGAAGAAACACTGCAAACACGCAAGTAATGCCTCGCAGTGCCAACGAGCCTGGCAACCGTTATACCGCGCTCCTGCTCGAGCGCTCTGCATGAATCCCGCGCCGTCGGACCAGCTGCCATTGGTTCGCACTCGGGAGGCCTGGCGCGCCGTCGCACGCGGAGCTCGCGATGCCGCGTCCCGGCTGCGACGAGAAGCTTCGTTGGTGTAGCCTCGGCATTTTTTTTTTTTGCGGGAATGCGGCAGGAGCATCATCGTTACCGGGCTGGCCCAGCTCGGGAATGGCAAACTGACCGGAATCTGTTTCACTCTTTGCCACGCTGCAAAGACAACCATTGCAGCTTGCCATCGCCAACCTACCCACCTTAGCTCCCTCACGCCGAGCTTCATTCCATGCCCAGCTCTCACGTTCACGGCAAGACATCCGGAGGCAGAAATTTGCCAATTTGAAAAGCCGTGCCTTGTGACCGCACATGGTGGAACGGCGACGGAGGGTCCGGTCATCCCTGACGATCCAATGTTCACCACTGCGCATGGGGGCCAAAGGGGAAGTCTCGCATACAAAAGCTGGTAGCCTGCCACTGGCTGGCTGATCAGAGGCATGGGTACTGGAAATTGGCCCTTGCGCATCAGGACCGGACGGAAAGGCAGTGGGGCTCCCAGGTCCCCGAGGCCGGCCAACCATCTGTCTTGCTTTTCCTCCATTCCCGTCCCTGCCTCAGGCCCCTGTAGCACCTTGCATGCTTTCCCAAATTCTGCCCGACACATTCCAGCTTGGAATCCACTCGAGTCGTCACGATAATCTTGGCCCCCCAGTAGCTCTGCACTCGCATCCGCACGCGACCACCACCACGCCTTACACCCTGCCACAGAAACCACCTGCGAATAGCTTCACTACGCTTGCAACTCTGTGTTTCCTCCTCTCGTGTCTCATCGGTCGACAGCCATCATGCCGCGCGCCATCAGAGGTATGCTTCTCCACCGCGCACTGCTTCCGTGCTCGAGTGCATGCCCGCCGGCCTGCCTTGACCAGATCTTCCCCCAGCCTGCTGACATTCCCGCCCCGCCTCCCTAGGAGTCCTGATCGAGTGCGACCCCTCCATTAAGTCCATCATTGTCAACATTGACTCCAACAACCACGATTACATCATCGAGGATCTCGACGACCAGCACGTCGTCGTCAAGGAGAACATGGTTGCCGCTCTCAAGCGACAGCTCGACGAGGTTGGTTCCCATCTCATCTGCTTGTTGGACACTGGGAGGCACGGCCATGCACGCTAACAGAACATTGCTTGCAGCGGTTGAAGGAGACGCAGCAGCCCGACGAGAGCTCGGACTCTGATTGATCAACGACGACGATGACCCATCGATCTCTTTATTCATCTACGCATAGCAATGCCTTCGGACGCGCCCGCTCACTGTACATCTACCGCATGCCTCTTCTTTGCTACTCGTCGCTATGTGACCCTGGCTGTGCCAACCACCGCCACGCAACTCTATGCGATGCCATCATGGCATCATGGCGCGATTGTGCTCTATCACACATTCAAATGGATCGTATGACCTTGTGATGATATCACTCAAGGATCAAGTGAGGACCCAGGATTGGGTTGGATACCATGGACCCCAGATGCGGAGTATTCATGTCCGCATGCCACGCCCAAGTAAGGCTGGCAAAGACGGCTCTGCCGTATGAGGACTCCGTAGACGCCTCGCTTAGAGCTTCTCGAACGTGGGCTTCTTCTTGGACAGACCAGACATCAGGGCAGTCTGGAAATCACTCGATTGCAACATAGCCGAGTTCCAAACAGTCGTGTACCGCAAGTCTTAGCAAGCATTAGCACAGTTCCACAAGCCAGACAAGCCCAGTATCGCCAATAAAGCAAGGCAGAACAGGTTCCCCAAAGTGAGCAGAAGGGTGCAATGCAAAACTTACTCTCCTCGACCGAGTGATCCCTCGCGTGGTTCAGCAGCTCCTTGGTCCCCTGCACCGCCACGGGGCTCTTCTCCGCGATGAAACCCGCGAGCTTGAGCCCCGCCTCGACGGCCGTCTCCTTGGACTCGAACACGCGGCTGACGAAGCCGACCGACAGCGCCTCGTCGGCGGAGAAGTCGCGCGCCGACAGGCAGACGTCCTTCACCCACGACGTGCTCCCCACGAGCTTGGGGAGCCGGCTGAGCGTGCCGAGGTCCGCGGCGAGGCCAATGTCGACCTCCTTGACGGCGAAGCGCGTGTTGCGCGCGCAGATGCGCACGTCGGCGCAGCACGAAATGTCAATGGCGATGCCAATGGAGATGCCGTGAAGCACGCAGATGACGGCTATGTCTGTGTAAGCTTACATATCCACCATCCCATACCGGGTTTCTTTCTAATCATGAGACTCGGGGAGGGGGGAGGGGGAAAGAGACGAAGCATGAGAATTGGAGCAACACGACGTACGCTTCTCGCACTTTTCCGCCGCAGCAATGGCGTCCTGGAACTCGACAATGTGCCGACGCATGACGGTCGCGTAGCGCGAGGGGTCCCCGCCGAGCCCCGACCCGAGCGGGCTGTTGCCGGCGTCCTGGACGTCGAGGCCGGCGGAGAAGGCGCGGTCGCCGACGGCGGAGAGGACGACGGCGCGGACGTCCGGGTCGTGGCTCAGGCGGCCGAAGACGGCGCCGAACTCGCGCCAGACGGGCTCCGAGAAGGCATTGAGCTTCTGCGGGCGGTTGATCTGGACGTGCGCGACGAAGGGGGCCGGCGAGGTGACGAGGAAGTGTGTGTAGGTGTAGTCTTTGAAGGTCGCCATGGTCGCGGCGATGCTTGTGATGCCTTGTGAGAGAGGCCGACGGCGGCGGTGGTGGCGCAAGGCGGGGGGAACGATGGAGGTTGGGGGAGGTGGATGGTTCGAAGCGAGGGACACGTTGAGAACCCGATGGGTTGGTGTTGTGCGTCTGGATCTTTTCGATATCTTTGGATGATTGCGGTCCGAATCACAGATGACAGCTTGTGCGAGTGCGATGAGCGAACGTGCGATAAGAGTTTCCTGCTGACGGCACTGACCGAGTTGCCGAGGCACGTCGCGCGCGTTTTCCCCGACCCGATTGCCCAGGGGGGCCCCCGCTTGGTCTGGGGTAGGATGCCGGCACGTCCGGGGCGTGGGGGTAGTGATCACTCATCATCCCAGCGTCTTTTTTTTTTCTTTTTTCTTTTGCTTCTGAAGACTCGGACCGTTTCTTTTTCCATCATGATATGCATTTGGCCTTGGTTGGCCGATAGGATTGACGGTTGAGGTTTTGACAACTTCTCTCGCAGGCCATCGTCTAATTGGCTTCCTCAACTTGGTCACTTGAGGCGCGTCAAACGGAAGCGTACCGCACTTTTGTTGATGGGTGCGAGGTTTCTCGGATTGAACCGAGATGCAGATGCGGAATAGGTGCTTTCGTCTAGGGCTCCCAATTGTTCTCAGCTCGGCCGTGCGGCTGTAAGGATTCATTGACTTCCTGGCCCACACTAGTTGGTTCCCACCCTCAGGAACTTGCCAGCAAAGGCCTTCGGGTGTTTCCACATTTTTCTCGCCATTCTGTACTCCTGGGACTGTTCAGATACTTTGAATTTTTTGGATACGCGTTTCTCCCATGTCGAACCCAACGCTTCCGGGACATGATCGTCGGCTGCCACGGAGTCTCTGGTGGAGGGTGTTGGCCGAATGAGTCACTCGGCGACATCATACGAATGGTCTCTGCAATGTTCCGTACAATGTACCATGCCACCTTATCACCCGCCCGATACACCTATAGCTATGTCGCCTCCATGTAGAAAGTATTCCCAGATGTCCTCACTAGGGGACGATCGGCCCCTTTTCCTCATGGCAAGTGGTTTTACAAGATTTACTGATTTCGCCTGATAAAACCTGCAACTCGTTTCGACGGATTTCTTCCGTCTATGTTCTCAAATGATATATTGATTCTAATAGCTTTGGCTTTGTTTATTGTCTTGCATGCTCCCCTCCATATACAGTGACCGCTGTTCAGGTCCTCCGCACTTATACTCGCCTGACATAGCTCACTCACATGCTTGTACAGAAGCACAAAATCAACCCCGTAAAGGTTTACGCCATTGACTTAAGGGAGAGAGATGGTCTTCTGAGGTCGTCTTCGTTGCTGGCGGGAAATAGCTCGATGCAGCTTCGAGACAGGAAATCCTCGTTGGGATCGCCTTCTTAGCTCAGAGAGAGTACGAAGTTAGCCATCTTGTCCAAACCCTCGCACTTCTCCAAGCACCAAAACATGTTTGTGTCCAATAAATCAGGTAATTGGCGAAACCATTGCCACAGACAGCCTCTTCAATGCAGATTCGGTACGGCGAGTGAAAGTCCAATGTCATCCTTTGGAGTGTGCTGGGTGGGTAAAGGGAACGAAAAGGGGTGTTGAACGCTTACCTGTCCCGCTCAAGAAAGGGAGATAAAATTCCTATGCTTCGTGACTGTATCGTCTGTACTGGTTCTTTCTGGCAAAGAGCGCGAGGGAAACGAGTATTTATATCTGTTGATGGAGGCCCGGACCTCTCCCTTCCGACTTGATCCATCTCGCATGGCTTAGGGCTGTACTGAATACGAAAGACCATGCAACGTGCTCTGACTAAGGGACAGGCTGTGAGTCAATCGGGCAACGTCAAACGTACGACAGCCCCTGTAGCGTAATAGACAGACATAACCGATGGAGATTCATTTACCACAAAGGGACAAGCGGCTAGCTGACTCTGTATCTCATGTCAACCTGGACGAGAACTTGTCAAGTTCCCCAAGCCCCGACAAATTAATCCCAACAGGCATTGATAGTCACGCAGCCGCCTCAGACGGGAAAGCCTCCTGGGCTGCTTTGGGCAATGCCCAGAGGAAGGTCATCGACAGTGCGGCAGTCAATGGCTCGACCAGGGCATGCCATTCTGGCTAGATGGGGTAGTACAGAGGCGAAGCCTTCGCATGCGGACTTTGTGTGGTAGAGGGCCGAGACCTCCAGTGTGTCCCATGACCAAACGAGGCGCTGGTAGGCAGCTCCCTCCTTGACACGGTCCCGAGAGAGGGCTGTCGAGCTGGCATAGAAGAAAGTATGAAAAGGGGGAAATCATGAAGCGGTTATGAGTACTACTGTTTTATTCCCTTCGAATTTGGAAACAGTTGGTGTTTGGTTTCGGCGATAAACGGCTGTCCCATGGCAGGCAAGATCAAGGTAATTAGCGAAGGTGGAACGGCATGCGCTATCTATTGTCCCTAATTGTGCTTCGATGGAGGAAGGAGTCGATGAAGTCAAATGGTGCTTGCGGAAGGCACACATGCAGCCGAACCCCTCTGTATCGTTACATCTACTCAACAGGGCAGCACATGTCTTCTCCCTTCAACGCCATCAACCTTTGTCCGTCTGCGACAGTTTCTCAACCCCCTATCAACAGGAGCTCTCCTATATCCTACGACGATATCTTTAACGTCACCGCGCTCGTTCACAGCCCAATGAAGTCTCTGTCTTGAGACCCATGTCTCGGGCCAGAAATACGCTGCCCCGAACGCCCTCCACCGAAGCACACCGCCTTACGGATCCCGGTACTTCAGCCTGCAAGCACATATCCTTGCGACGATATAGCTCCGCCGATAAGTTCAGCGAACGAATTTCCGACAGCCTCAAGCAACGCTCTTCAGAATTGCCACCGAATACTGTTCGTGTAGACTTTTGCTGTCGCTCTCAGGCGGATCTCGCCCTGAACTTCCAGCCCACCGCTGAGAAGCCAGCGATGATTCCAAACTTCTTCCACCCAACCAAAGCTGCTGGCAATACTCTTCAACATCGATCCAAACCTACCGGCGATTTTGACGATACGCCCTTACCCAGTCTCCGTCCTTCAATGGCTGACATGTCGCTGAAGCCTGAGAAGGATGTCGCCTCCAGCATTTCATCGACCAGAAGTGGTACCTTCCGTCACGCGCTTCTCAAAACCTCGTCAGGACGCCCAATGATTATCGAGAGAGACTTGCCCGCACCTCCTTTCCTCAGCCGACAGGCCAGCAAGAATCATCTACATGACATACAGGATGATACAGTTGGCTACGAGAACAGATTGAAGATTGCGATTCCATCCAGGAAGCATTCACCCATCCATATGCAAGATGACCCTCCTCTGTCTGTCAACACACATCTTATGGGATCCACGACCAGCACTGAACCGTCGTTTCTACGAGAGCCAGTCTGTGTTGATCCTCTTATGCACCCAACCCAGACTCATGTCGAAGCTCACCACCAAGGTCTCCTCAAAGGTGCTGACTTCTGCGACACTGGTGTCCCTGGACAACCAATTACCCAGTTACCAGATGAATCTTTCAACTCTTCCTCGTCGTCGTCCTCGTCATCATCTGCATCCTCGGAAGCAGAAGTCATCCATGCTAAAGTTCGCCGTGCTATGACAGGCGACGACCTATGTCTTTCCACAGTCGAAGTCACTGTTCCGAAGCACGGCGGGCACAGTCATGCCACAAAGGTTCGGCCTGCATTCAACCTACCAACCTTCCATTACCCCGTTATAGAACAAGAACAGCAGCCTACTCTCGTGGTTTCCAAGGTGCGGCCTTTCGATCCATCCAAAGAACACATGCTCTCTGAGAGAGACACGGCTGGAACCCCAGTCTTGAATGGCACTGACAAAGGCATTGCGAACATTCCTGTGTCCAAAGTACGCCCGTTTACTCAAGAACCGCCTCAACTGAACCGCCACGCGGGACATCAATTGATATCCAAGGTACGGGCATTCAGTGATGAGTCTAACTCCAGCACCGAAAAAGACCAAGAGAAGTACTTCGCCGTTGGTTCAGACGAGTCGGCGAAAGAGAACCCCGTCGAAATGGATAAGTCACAATCTCCCACCACACCGCGCTCCAGAGCAAGCACTATCGACTACAAACGCACCGCACAGTGGCTCCGACATTTGCTGAGGAATCCAGAGGCGCATACTGCGAAACTGACAGAAAGGCCCTCAAAGAAGAAACGGGGGTCTTATTCTGCACTGAAGGACTCTCCAGCACATGACACAACCTCCCCGAAGATGAACCGGTATCCGACCCTACCGCCTTCTGATCTCGAACCGGGCATTTTCCAAAGTACTTTTGGTGAGTTAGAACGTCTGCTTCACGAAGCATTGGCGTTGGCTTCGCGAGTTGCGGATCGTGAAGAAGCAAAATGTCCAGACTCTGAGCAGTCCCCACGCCGCACCTCGAATGGAATGACACCATCCATGATCCCTTGCAATGAAACCCAACAGTTGTCAGATATTGAGTTGAATGACAGTAAGCCGGAAACCCAACGCACCTCAAAGCGCGCTGCTACGTTTCCAAACACTGGGCGGCCCGCCATGCGTAATGTGGACGATCTGTACAGAAACATGTCTCTGACTCCGCAGACAACAGAGCTTGAGGACGTGCTTGCGCGTAATACAAAGCTGAGCCAATCGAGTAAGAAAAGCCGACACAGAAGCAAATCTCGTTCCCGTCAAGCTGGCCCTGTGCCGGAGAGAATCTCAAGCAAGAACAGAAGCAGAGGTTTGAAGAAAACAAAGCGTGCAAAGATGGAATCAAAAATCAGGCCCCTACCTACAGATTCAGATGTGTCCAGCATGGATGGATCCAATGACTCCTCCTTTATCGACTTTTCGAATCTATATCCGACCAAAAACAGAAGCAGTGGACCGACTCGTCCTCGAGCAAGCTCCAAGCGAGTTCCCTTCATAACTCGCAATACCGGCGAAGATGCCCTTCCAGAGAGAGACTTGAATGGTCGCCCAATCCATAATAGCCGTGGCATCAGTTTACGAGGCAAGTCTCATGTCAGCCTGCGTGGCGTACAGGCATTCAGTCTGGCTAAGTCGAAACGACGCCAACCAATTGCTCGAGATTGGTCTCCAGTACGAAAGAGAGCTATCGCGGCTGTGGCTTGTATCAGCACAGCGCTCATCGGCATCATCATCGGCATATACGCTGGCTTAGTACCGTCACTACAGTACTACATCCTTGATACGAGCCACTCAATCGTCAATGGAAACGTTGGGTGCTTTCTGGGAATGGCTGTCCCGACGTTTTTCTGTTGGCCGCTCCCTCTCATGCACGGGCGCAAGCCATACATCACATCCAGCCTGGTTTTGTCAATGCCGCTACTCTTCCCGCAAGCACTGGCTGTGAGCGCCCAAAGGTTCTACAACCTCACCGGATAGAGGATGGTTTTGCTGTTACCCCGTGGCTTCATGGGTGTCTGCCTTGGCTTCGCAAGCATGAACTTTCATTCCATACTCACAGACCTCTTCGGCGCATCTCTAATGAGCAGCAATCCTCACCAGGAAGTTGTCGATGACTTTGACGTAAGGAGACACGGAGGCGGCATGGGCGTCTGGCTCGGTATCTGGACATGCTGCTACATTGCTTCCCTCGGCCTCGGATTCTTGATTGGCGCGGCGGTGATCGACAATCTCCAACCAGCTTGGGGGTTCTACATCAGCATCATCCTTGTGGCCGTGGTCCTTCTACTGAACACCCTTTGCCCAGAAGTACGCCGCTCCGCCTTCAGAAGATCAGTCGTCGAAGTCAGAACCGGTACTGACATCAGCCGGCGTGTTGCTCGCGGCGAGGTCATGATGCACCGCGTCAAAGATGGTCCCAGATGGTGGGGACAGGAAATGTATCATGGAATTGCACTCTGCTTCGAAATGCTTCGACAGCCCGGCTTCGCCATCATTGCGGTCTACTCTGGCTGGATCTACGCCCAAGTTGTTCTCGTCATCGTCTTGCTGGGTTCACTATCCTCGAGGTTCTACCGAATGCGGTCACCATACGTCGGACTCATGGTGGCCGCAATGACATTTGGGGCTGTTCTTGCGATACCGTTTCAAAAAGCCAGCTACTTTTCCCGAGCAAGACATACTCAAGTCAACACCAGCCGTTTGACATTTGACAAGCAGATCACATGGACATCACATCTCCTCCGCCGCTCCGTATTCGCCATCGGCCTTCCTCTAGCAGGCCTCGTCTACACCTTGGTGTCTACAGGCCCGCCTATGCATCCAAGTGCTCCCGCCATTGTTGCTGCTGCGATCGGCTTTCTTTCATGTCTAGCGATTTCGGAATGCAACGGACTCATCATGGAAACTTTTGACACTTCGGATCTTCAACCCGGAATGACGGGCCGTCCTCGGGGCAACTCGGACATCGCCCAGAAAAAGAAGAACTACTCAGCCTATCCTCGTGTAACCGCCGGATTTTCTGTCTGCCATACTTTGGGCTTCATCTTTGCAGCAGGAGCCTCTGGACTCGGCGGCATGGCACAAAGAAATCTGGGTCAGAGAGCAGCTACTGGAGTGGTTGCCGGTATATTGCTTGTGTTGACAGTCATGCTATTGCTGGCTTTGGTTCGCTTCAAAGAGGTAGTGATTATCCCCGAGAGCAAAGCTGGCGAGATGGAAAAGTGGACTACTGTCCGAAGACAATCAATTAAACGCCGCGACTCAATGCCCGCTGGAGCAGTTAACGACAAAGATATCATTGCAGAAGAAGAGCCATGGCGTCCTTTCATAGTTGGCAATCCCACCAGCAAGACACGGCGAGTCAACGTGCTCGAACTTGGCGGCATGTCACGTTTCACTGAGATCAGAAAGAGGAACAAACTCATCGACGCTAACCAACATCTCAACCGGGCCGCTTTGGATGCGGGACTGGATGCTCTGGACGACCAAATCAGCGAAATCGTGAGTGACATTGTCAGTGACGCCAAAGATCTTGTCAGAAGAAACAGTCAACAAAGTCAGCGCACTTCCCGCTCGCGGCGAAATCATCGAAGCGCGACAAGCGAGGATGGTGATCTTTCGTCTATTGAGATGAGCTCCATGGACGACAGATTTTCCCCGAGTGGCCATCGTTCTCGAATGCCTGCTAATGTCTACAATGAGCGAGAGTGTCTTCGGGGCCAGACGGTGAAGGAGGAATGAGTGAAAAGGCTGGAGGAAGCCAGGGCTTGAAGGATGTTCATCACTAAACGGCGAGACTGCCCGGCAGGCATCGTTGTATAAAGACACCAATGAGCTTCAGAGTTTACACTTGTGTTGCAAAAAGGCTGAACTTCCTAGAGAGTATAGTTTACAAAATAACGGCGGGCAAAAGCTAGAATAAGAAACCCTTTTTCGTCCCTTTTCGAAGACCAACTCCATTGATGCAATGCTCGTCCTCTCTCTCTCTCTCTCTCTCCCTCTATTCCTTTCTATCCTCCTCGGCTCGTCTTGAACGTATTATCAAATCTTGTGAATGTGTGATGGAAAGGAAATATTGTTATTGGTACAAGTCGATCAAGGAAAACGCATGCTGAGCCTCGTAGAGAGAGTGGGTATAGATAAAAAGTCTTTGTCTTTGTCGTGTATGAGCAATAAGTTGAAATGAAATGAAATGAAATAGTAGACCTTGGGTGGGCTCCTTCATACCTCCCCTGCCGCGTGAAACATCATCATTGCACATTCAGAAACAAATCGTCACCCCGCCGTGTCGGGGTCAGCTTCGGCTGCCAGGTCGGCGTGCTGGGAAGGTCCCCCGCTCTCGCGCCGGACTGAGACGGAAACCCCGGGGGCGCGGGGAAGAAGGCGTCGGGCGAGAGGAGCATGTCTGCGCCTCCTCCCGGCCGGTGGGGTCTCCAGTTGGGGCTGTGCCGGATGCCGGCTGTCGGCAGGGTAAGGGCGGCGGCGCGTTCGGAGCCGAGGCGCTTGGAGAGTAGGGAGGATGTTGTCGAGGGAGTGGCGACGGAGGGGGATGTCGCCGGCAGGGACGGGGGGCGGGGCGGGGGAGCCGCCGCGGTTGTCGATGACGATGATGCTGGCGTTGAGGTGAAGGTCGGTGTTGGGCGCAGGGCTTGCGTTGCGACGTGGTGCGCGGACGGGGAGGCGGACGGGGGCCGTTCGGGGAGCGGTTGCTTTGGAGGCGGGGATTGTTCAGGGAGCGCCATGGGCTGGAGGGATTGCCTCTGTTGCTGGGAGCGGCGGCGCTGGCGCTGCGAGAAGGATTGCTGGCTTGGCTGAGGCCGGGGTTCTTGTTGCTGCTGCTGCTGGGAAGGAAGAGAGGAGTAGTCGGACTGCTGCTGGCTGCGCGGAGGCGGGTTACCCCAGAGCGCCTTGTGGACCGTCGCCGACTGGGGTTGCGGGTGGAAGTCGCTGCTCTCGATCCGCGGACGTCGCGGCTGGAGAGGCGGGGGGTAGAGAGGTCTCATCTGCGGCGGCCTCTGTGTCTGCGCGGGCTTCCAGTGGGGCTCCTGACGCAGACCGTCCGCTCCGGAGGGAGGGGAGGGGGTCACGAGGCGGAGCGAGGGCGAGCCCGTCGCCACCCTGTTCGGGTCGGCGGCGGGGGGACGTGGTTTGGCGACGGGTTTTCGAGGCACGTCGTAGCTGGCCATGTACGGACCGTTGCGGGCCTGCTGCTGCTGCTGCTGCTGCATCATCCCCAAGGTGGGACTGGGCTGGCCTGGAGGGAATCCCCCGTAAGTTCGCGTGGGAGGAGCCAGGAGGCGGAGGTTGTCGTAGCGCGGCTTGGAGCTCGTGCGCCCAGGGATCGCGGGGTAAGATACCGGGGAGCGACCGCTCGGGGATGCGTTCGAGGCCGGCGACTCAACCACGGGGGAGAGGCTGCTCTGCTCGATGTCGGGCTCGGGCTCCGAGATCGCGACCGAGGATGCGATTGTCGTGGCCGAGGCGTGGGAGTCGTGGCTGTCGGAGCGTTTCGGAGCGTTGGCGGTGCTGGCCGCGGCTGCGGTTGCGGGAGCGGTGCCAGTCGCCCCGGGCCTCGACTTCGAAGAGCTACGGCGGCCGAGGGAGTTGCTTCGGCGGCGTGGCGGCTCAGGGTGGGAGAAGGACATGCTTGGCACCGGGTGCGGTACGCCACTGGTCTGGGGAGCACCACCAGTCTGGATGCCCGTGTTGGGCCGCGTGGTGCCTTGAGAATACACGCTCGACGAACGCGACTGGTGAGCCGCTGGCGGAGCCGCGAGAGCACCGGAACGGACGATCTCCGCTGCGGGCAGAAGCAGCGGAGGCGGCGGCAAGCGAGCGGCGGAGGGGGCGACGGGGCTCCCAGCTCCGTGGCCCATGCCCGCTGTGGTGGCCGTGGCTGCGAGCATGGCGGACTCGGCGTATGAGGGCTTCGCTTTGGCCCCTCCCCCTCACTCGCGCCGGAGGCGTCGAGCTCGGCGATCTGTGCCATGTGGGTAGCGCTCTTGGGGTCTCCTAACACCCAGTTGCCGTTCTTGTCGGCAACGTAGAACGTCGCCGACTTGGGGTTGTTGCCAACCGTGGCCGAGGGCGGCCTCCAGATGTTGTTGTTTGAGCGAGCAGAGCGGGCCGAGGTGATGGCGCCGTCTTCTTCGAACTCGGTCATTGTGCTCTCTCGGGCATTGTAATGGCTCTTGGGTGGCGCCGTGAGCTTAGCGGTCTTAAAGATCTGGGAGTTTGTCGGCTGGGACCCTCTCTGCTCCTGCGGTTGAGGGGGCGACGAGGATGACAGGTCGACTTGGGGGATCTTGAGGGAGAGGACCGGCTTCGGGGATGAGAGCGAGGGCTTTGCGGGGAGCAATCGCGAGGCAGGCCGGTTCTGCTGTGAAGGCGGAGGACGGAGCGCTGTCGATGGGCTCTCGGATCGGGATACTGCAAGACCAATCGCGCCAGCCCACCAGCTCGCACGGCCACTCGCCCGGGTGCGTGCCGTGGCCGGCGGCGGGGAAGGGGACTGCGCGTGGTGGACAGGTGGAGAGATGTGGAAGATGTTTGCGGGGCCTTCTTGGGGGTGGAATTCCCACGAGTCCTTCTCGCGCACGGGGAAGAATCCTGTCTTGACGTCTGGGTAGTTCCTTCGCCGTCTACGGCGGGCAAGGCAGATGGCGAGAATGGCGAGGCCGAAGGCAGCCGCAAGGCCCACTGCCAGGCCTGCCACTTGGCCCGTACCCAGGCGCTCAGAGGATCCAGAGTTGGCTTCCTCGGCTCCTGGAGCCGGAGCCGCTGTTGCGGACGGAGTTGTCGTGGATGATGGTGGCAGCAAGGGGGGTGTTGTGCTTACGCTGCTCGTCGTGGAGGTACGAGAGGTGTTTGACCTGGTGAGGGTCGTGAGCGTATCTGGGATGGAAGGGGTGCCCGTTGCCGAAATGAGGGTCGTCGGGATCGAAGTTGTCAAGTTAATCGTCGACGTCGGGGGTATTAGTGGTGTGGTGGTCCTCGGAGGCACAATGATGATGCCTCCCGAGGTAGGAAGGATCAATGTCGCGATGATGGCTGTGTGCGTAGGCTGGATAGCACCCGACTGGTGCGCGCACATGTAATATGCCGCGTCGATGACAGTTTCTGGTAGGAGTCAGCTGCTGCTCTCTCGCAAGAGAGGTACATAGACATACGGGGCGCGTCGCTCTCACGACAGAATCCGATGCTCTTCTCCGCTACGATACACTGCACTGCACCCTCCCCTATAGTAAGGCCGGAAAACCCGACATTGGCGCAAAGACATTGCAAGGAGGGCGCGCTGCCACAGGTGGTGAGGGCATAATTGGCGCTCAGGTGAGAGCGGAAGCATTCGCGGGCGCACAATGGCACAAACCTCGTGATCTCGCTCGACAGGTTGAACGACGTTGCAGTGGTGAAGGAAGCCGAGAGTGTGAGTGAGAGCGTCCAAAGAAGAGGCTTGAGGGCCATGGTACGGGAGGACATCTGGGCACCAAGAATCAGTACCTTTGGACTCGATGGCTTGAGACTTATCGTACCTGGGTGAAGGTCCCATCCTTCATACGGTCTGACGACAGCGAACTAAGTCTTGGAGATGTGAGTACTTTGCAAATCCAATTGGAATCAAGAGTCACTACGTCGAACACAGAGGGCAGTGGTGAAGTCCCCTTAATGAACGGACAGAGAGTTTAGAATACGAACCTGTCAAGAGAGTATACTTATTAGATTATTAAAGAGACGACCCGCATCTCAAGAGTGTGGTGATGTAAGAACACAAGGAATCACTCGATGCCGTATGCTCCGGGAGTTCCAGAAGCTGAGCGGGACAAGATCTAGCCGAAGACAAGAAAAGAAAGAGGCTATTCCAAGCAGCGCAGCCGAGATGCAGAATGTAAAAGAAGAAGCTGAGAAAAAGCTAAAAACGAAAAGAGACACCGTTGGGGCTCAGCGGCGGACATGCAACTCTTCATACATGGATGGAGACATCCCAAGAAAGAAGGAGACGTGACAAGTTAGCAAGCGAAGGGGCGGAAGAGGATAGACACTGGTTACCCCTTCCGTCATACGGGATGTCGCCGCTCACTCAAGCTAGGCAGCCCGACGCGCTTCTTCTCCAGCTGACTTCATTCGAGCACAGCAAACCGTTGTTACTACCAAAGTGGGCGGCAGACAAGCAGTCCAATGCCCTGCCTCACCATGCCGCCAACCTGCAGGGCCAGGTTCGGTTCCTGCAGTCGTGTCCAGCAGCGGCCCGGCGTGCTCGCGAGCCGCTGCTTGAGATCTCCAGGAAATGACGAAGGCCAGACAATCCGGCAGCCTTCCGGCCCCGTTTCGGGCGTCTGCCACCGATGCTGGTTGGTTGGGCGAATCGCTATTTTGGGGCGTTTGCAGTTGCATCTTAGATCCAGAGTTGTGTGGCGGTCCAGGCCAGAGTGCAACCCTGCTTGCATGCCATCATACAAGGTAAATAGAAGTCGAGCATCCAATGAACTTGCACATGTCGGACGAGTATATGCACCTTCAGTGGCTGAGGGTCTCCCACACTGCCCCCTCGGTTTTAGGCGCCCAGTCTGCTCTTAAGCGCGGAGGTTGAACAGCTAAAAAGGGTGGTGTCAAACCGCCCCAAACCCGGCGCCAAAAACGTCGCCGCATCACGTGATGCAGATCAGAGGCATCCTAGGCCAATGAATGGTCAATTCCGGCTAAGGGACATCATTGAGCGTCAGACTTGTCGCCGGCCACTCATTTCCTGACGCCCATGCCATGGTGTGACTGCCTCCTTCGTTTCGAAATCAAGACTTTCAGATTGATGGATGTGATTGAGTCTGCAGTCCTCAGACGAGGGCGACCCATCATGCAACGCGGGCGAGTACCGTCGTGCGTGACTGGGTGTCGCGACTGAGCTTGACACGCTTCTCCAATGATAGCAACCGCCGCAAGGGATGGATGCAGCATCACGACTTTGTAGTCACATATAGACCTCGTCACTCTCTCGGCGTTTTGCTTTTCACAGACTCGGCTTCTATGGCTTTCGTCGAGACGCACATTTGCATCTGAAGCGGTGATACGAAATGCTGCAAGCTAGCCACCCCCAATGCAACCCTGCCTCTCGCCGAATTGCTTCAAAATCGCCAGTACTTGGTCCTTTCGAAGCAGACAGCCTCAGGATGCCCCAGCATATCGTTGTTGATTCTAAGTGCTTGAGGTGCCCTGATTGTGTCAGCTGTATTTCCATACGAAGGCTTCCAGTGTTCAACTGAACACCCGTACGGGTTAAATCAAACCAACGGAATAGCCAAAATTGTTAATGCTCAGGATTTCCCATTTTCTCCTTTTGATGGTATCTTAGTTTTTCGTAGCCTCTGCTCAGAGGCGTCTGTCCTCACTAGAGGACCTCCCAATCCACATCACACCCGAATGTAGTAACTCTGAGGAACGAGCCATATAATCTCATGTATCTGAACCATACCACAGCCATTTCCCTTCCTTCTACAAATCCTCCACCATCGACGACTGAATTGACGACAAACTAGTACTAAGCCTTGACGCTGGCATCGGTGGCGCTCGGGGCGAACGCAGCCTTGGCTCGGTTGGACTTGATGACCTTCTGCACGTCTTCCTCCGTTTGGTCCCAGTCGTTGGCGTCAAGCTGCACGAGGTCAATCTCGTACAGATCCGCGATTTGCTTGAGAGCGTAGAAGCTCTTCTTGTCGTAGACGAAGCTGATGCTGACACCGATGCGACCGAAACGTCCAGTGCGGCCGATACGGTGCAGGTACGTCTCGGGGTCGGGCTCCGAATCTCCACGTCCCTTCATAGGGATATCGTAGTTGATGACCATAGACACGCTAGACACATCGATACCGCGGGCCAGCACGTTGGTGGTGAGGAGAACCTTGGACTGGCCGGTCCTGAATTCCTCCAGCAAGCGATCACGTTCGGGGCCGTCCTTGGCACCGTGTAGGGCGGACACACGATGGCCATCGGCCTCCATTCGTCGCTTGATTTCGTCGGCACTCTCGCGAGTCTGAGTTGAATCGTTAGCTGGGGTCATAATATTCCCGGTTGCCTGAGGGCTTGTTCCATCATACCTTGACGAAGATGACGGAGGAGCCAATGGTCATAAGACCGTAGAGCTTGACAAGAACCTCGTACTTGTCTTGCTCAGTGGGGCAGTCAATGTACATCTGGGAGATACCCTTAACGGTGAGCTCGGTGTGCTTCAGACGGATTTGATCAGCCTTGGGCGCAAACTTCTCGGCAAAGCCCATAACCTTGTCCGGGAAGGTGGCGGAGAACAGAAGGATCTGAATGTCGCGGGGGAGCATGCTGGTAGGTATTAGCATAATCAGTCATGGCGAGATTTAAAAAGGGAGTCCTACTTCTTGACCCGAAGGCACTGGTCACCAAGGCCCTGCTGGTCAAGCATGTTGTCGGCCTCGTCAATAACAAGGAGCCGAAGCTTCGACACGTCCAGCTGGCGTCTGCGGACGATGTCCATGACAGTACCGGGAGTGCCAACGATAACGTTGGCTCTGACAGGGGCGTTGCGCTCGAGCGCGCCGGGAAGAGCTGCGGCCACTCTAAGACCCTCGCAGAAGCTACCAATCTTGCCAACGACTCCTTCAATCTGACGCGCAAGCTCACGACTGGGCGCGAGGATGAGAGCTTGGGGCTGCTCGAGCTGGGTATAGTCGACACGGGACAGAGTAGTGACGACAAAGGCGGCGGTCTTGCCAGTTCCAGATTGCGACTGGGCGATCATGTTACGAGGAGGGTCGGCAAGCATCAGGGGAAGGGCCTTCTCCTGGATTTTAGAAGGCTTCTGGTAGTTGAGACTGAGGAGACCGCGAAGGATGGGCTCGGGCCTGCGAGATGGAGAAATTAGACATGTTCTCCATTGATTGGACTAGACCACTCACAGATTCATGTCGCTGAAGGTCGCAGCAGAGTAGAGAGTGCTGGTCTGGTCGGACTGAAGGTCGCCCAACTTGACGTCGACATCGTAAGTATTCTCAATGAGGCCAGATCCGCCGAGAGCTTCGACATTGCCGTCGACCTGGGAAACCTGCGCATCCTGAGCCGCGCCCTCGGCGGGGGGCTCCGTGATGCGACTGGCGAGGTCGGCCATGTTTGCTGGTAGTGCGCGCGCGGTCGTAGGAGTAATCTGTGGGAGGAATATTAGAAGTCGCGCCGGGAGTGATTTGCGAAGATGGGACGTCTTACTTGGCGGGTCGGTCGCGGGTAGGAAGTAGCGGTATACGCACGTCACCTGCACGGCTGCAGCAACAGGTTAGCTGATGACAAGAGCAAGGATTGCAAGCGGAAACAGTGTCTTGGAGATAGGGGGGGTAGGGTGGGCAAGATACACTTACCAGCAATCGAACTTCTCCTTGTCTGCCCGTGGTTGCAAAAAGGCCAAATGGGTGACTGGGAGAAAAAGACGTATTTTTTTGGTGGTGGCAGTTTAGGAGCTCTTACAGGACGAAATTCTGGGAAGCTACGTCGTCTGTCACTCGTGCCTGTGACGACCGAAAAGCGCTCCAAAGCGATGGCGGGGCTACGCGGGGCACTTTGTGGCCTGACAATCCAGGCCCAGCCCAGGAACACCGCGCGACCTGAACGTGTTACTAGCCCAGAGGTCGACTCCCGATGATTTTCCGGTCAGGTACGACGAGAAGTCACTCTCCTCTTGATCCGCGTGACATGTTTCATCCGTCAGGTTGCAATGCCAAACCAACCATTGCTCCCAAGATTCTTATGTCAATGGTTCCTCCTTGTTAGCGTGTTGTTCGTTTCATCACGACCCGACGTCATTCATGCAATTGATAGCACAATGCTGAGTTCCGAATAGCATCGCAACGGGCCTTATTAAGGCTCGGCGCACACGGCATAGACAGCATAACTGCATGCCCCTCAATACACTTCGACGCTGCTTGTGCTGCTTGGAATGCCCGGATGCGAACCCCTTGCTCTCAGGCTTCATTTGGCACCAATGAGTGGGGTTCTAGCGGCTGGCGACCGGTCCGGCACCCCCACCGGTCCACCACAGGCCTCTTCAGCGCGCACCTAGTGGACCGAGCAGCCGGAGAAGCCACACCAGTGAAGCAGGCCTAGGAGGGAGAAGGTTCCAGTTGGCCAAGGGGAGGAGCTGACGACGTCCCCGTCCGATGTCGATGTGCCCGCTGCGGCCCCATGTTCCCAACCAAAGGTACCTGGCAACCCAAACAAGGCAGGTGAGGTACATTACGTTTATGTTGTGGGCGCAGCGTGCACCAGGGGGCGCAAAGCAGCATCGACCTCTCTTCTCTCGGCGCTCTTTGTCGCCAACGAGCATTACCGTCTTTTGGGACTTCTACCCGACAAGGCGAGGCATACATACACGTTAGCTTAGCTCCTTTACTCACTGTACATATCGTTCGGGCGGCCTGCGCCTCCTGCTAGCATTCATCGACTGTTTCCGCCCAGTTTTCTCCCAGTTTTAACCGTTTTGGCGGGGTTAGCCTTATACGATTGCTCCCCCACTGCGCTGACCTCTTGCTCGGGCCGCAGCCCACCGTTGGTGGTTTGTCCTCCTCCCGTTCTCGCTTCTTCGGAGGATTCCTTCACGAACCCCTCGCCCTCCCACAAGCAACACACTTGCGCTGGTTACCTTGCACGATCTCGAACCTGCTCTGCTGGATTCCCGAGTGTTGCTGCCTGTTTCAGCGGCATAATCCTGGACAATGGCGGATGTAGACGTTGCGCCGACTTTCGGCACTGAGCTCAAGGTCAGTATCCTGCCTGCTGCTCCCCGCCCCAGCTTGGCTTGGCCGCTCAAGAACGCTGACATGTCCTCTACTTAGGATGGCTTCAAGCCCGCCAACACCTGGGTGGCCCACGGAATATCATGGCTCGACGAAATCCAACAGTTTTACCGCGAGAGAAGCGCCATCGAAAAGGAATATGCCGCGAAGCTCAACGCCTTGGCCAAGAAATACTTTGAAAAGAAGAACAAGAAGTCGGCGCCTCTCAGTGTTGGCGACACGCCTGCCATGACCCCAGGCTCCCTCGAGAGCGCTTCTCTGACGACCTGGTCCACCCAGCTCACCACACTCGAAGCGCGAGCCGACGAACACGATAGATACGGAAACAACCTCCTTACCCAAGTGGCTGAGCCCCTCAAGTTCCTGGGTACCCGCTTCGAAGAGTTACGCAAACGTCATGCCGACTACGCCGGCAAGCTCGAGCACGAGAGAGACTCCCAGTACGCCGACTTGCGGAAGACGAAAGCCAAATACGATGCTGCTTGTCAAGAGGTGGAAAGCAAACGCAAAAAGTCTGAATCGGCCTTTGACAAGGCCAAAGCGCAGAGCGCGTATCAGCAGCAGATACTCGACATGAACAACGTCAAGAACACGTACTTGATTGCCATCAATGTCACGAACAAGCAGAAGGAGCGTTACTACCATGAGTACGTTCCCGAGGTTATGGACAGCCTGCAGGACTTGTCCGAGTTCCGCACCATGAAACTGAACGGCCTGTGGACTATCGCATCGCAGCTGGAATCCGCCATGCTGGAGAGCAGTAAGGGGCTGATGGAAAAGCTCGGAACAGAGATCTCCAGAAACCAGCCTCACCTTGACTCTATGATGTACATACGTCACAACCTCGGCGCATTCCAAGAACCCGCCGACAAGACCTTCGAACCTAGCCCCGTGTGGCACGATGACGATCAGATGGTCGTAGATGAATCGGCCAAGATCTACCTCCGGAACGTTCTCAGTAAATCGAAAGCGCAACTAGGGGATCTGCGTAGGGAAGTCGACAAGAAGAGGCGAGAGGTCGAAAGCATCAAGCGAGTAAAGCAACGAATCAGGGAGGGTACCGAGAAGAAGGACGAGGTTATGGTTGTCACGCAAATATTCGCATTACAGGAAGATCTTCATGCTGTCGATAGGCGGAGAGTAACCGCCGAGGTCGAGACTTCTACCATTACCTCGGCCGTTGGCGACGTAACACTGGGCGCGAAGAACCACAACTTCAAGGCGCAAACCTTCAAGATCCCAACTAACTGCGACCTGTGCGGAGAGAGGATATGGGGCCTGTCGGCAAAGGGCTTCGACTGCAGAGACTGCGGCTACACATGTCACAACAAGTGCGAGATGAAGGTTCCTGCCGACTGTCCGGGCGAACAGACCAAGGAGGAACGGAAGAAACTCAAGGCTGAACGGCAGGAAGCTGCCACCTCGCTGCTCAAACCGACGGCATCATCCCCTACCAACGCGTCGGATTCGCCGACTCTGACTAGGTCGAACACGATGAACTCTTTGAGCTCAGGTTACGCACACAGCGCACGCCGGTCAATAACAGGGGGCCCGGCGTCGCCCATAGAGGAGGCCCCCCCAGAACCGTCGACACCTCGTCCGCCAGCTCCTGCATCGACTGTGAGCTCTATCGCGGCCCGTAAGAGGGTTATGGCGCCGCCTCCGGCCGCTTACATCAGCGAGCTTCCTGGCAGCGCACCGAACGGATCGGGCTCATCGGATCAACAGAAGGGCAAGATGCTCTACACGTTTGAAGCTAGTGGTGATGGAGAAGTGTCTGTGCCTGAGGGTCGTGAAGTCACGATGCTTGAGCCTGATGGTAAGTTTGATCCACACTGGTCCTGATCAAGATATGATGCTGACAATCCTTGACAGATGGTTCCGGCTGGGTCAAGGTGCGCGCTGGTTACAAGGAAGGCATTGTGCCCGCAAGTTACATCGATTGGACAGTGGCCCCCGCGTCGCCAATGGTTGCGCAGAACACAGGGGCGTCCGCACGACCTGAGTCGACCTATTCCAACTCGGGCTCCTCGATAGGAACAGCAGGAGCCGCGAAGAAGAAGGGACCAGCAGTAGCCCCGAAACGCGGAGCCAAGAAGCTTAAATACGTGGAAGCACTGTACGAGTATACGGCGCAGAGCGACGCAGAGCACAGCATGGCAGAGGGCGAGAGGTTTGTGCTCATCAAAGAAGACCCCGGCGATGGTTGGGCCGAGGTCGAAAAGGGCGGCGTGACAAAGAGCGTGCCCGCGAGCTACGTACAGGCAGTCTAGGAGCCCTGTGCACGGAAAGAGAGAAAGCACATAGGACCGGGGTCATTTCCAAAGACGGCCGTGAAGGACGATAGCACGGCGATTGTGCTGCAAGGCATCTCGCAAGTGTCGATGCCAATGTCAGGGATGCCTCGGGAGGGGTTTGACGAGCGAAGAGGCACCTACATGCCGTCTGTGACAGCGAATCCTGTGACACCGACCGAAGTTGAGCAAGTGACGAGCGTCCGGCTGGTAAGGCGGAACCAGAGCCAGAGGGAACAGCGGAAGCCGAGGCTCAATGAAGTGGCGGTTTGGCGAGAGTCGAGAGGCCGAGGAGACAGCATTGGTTGAGATGCATTCATACCGTTTACATATCAAGGTAGCTGGCGACAAGGTGGACTGGTTGAGCTGAAGCACTAGGGGCTGTGTCCTTTTTTGGAGATATTAAGTAGCCCAAAATAGCAGAGCATTTTTAGTCGGCATCGCCGTTGATGTTTTGTTTTCGGCCCCGTGCCAGGTGTGTGAGTTTAACTGCGACAGACTATAGATGCGACGAAGGCATGCGAAAGTTTTGTGGGAGGCGTTCGTCCTGTTTGAGTCGAGCGTACGTCAAGAATGTAAAAAAAAAAAAACCATCCCCAAACTTTCGTGGCATTAGCAAGTCCCTGCAAGCTGCAAGGCGTGCCACATCGGTCCCCCCTACCAGTGCGACTCATTGGGGGATCGTGGCCTTTCCGTTTGAGGCCATTGGGAGTGGGAGGATCGGGGAGATCCAGCCGGCCATCCCGCTGCCAGTACGCGGACACCGCACCCGCCCTCAGGTACCTGCGAGAGCCCACGGGCCTTTTGCGGGGGAGGGCATTTCCCAAATGAACGCCTCGCAGGAACCAACGGTCCTGTTCTGGTCGAGAACTGGCCTGGGAGACGCAGCATCGAGATGCCTCCGGTACAGCGCACACTACGGTTGTCCAAGTAGCATCGTGTGTTGACTACCAAAGCCTTGTTGTGTCAAAGGTCAATTTCCCTGAGAAATTCCGATGTTCTTGCCCGTTCCCAGGTGCCGGTGCCAACTTGGCGGATGGGGGGCGAAAAGGTTGGCAGAGGCAGTGGGAAAAAGCAACTGCCAAGGCCTGGGCGAGATGGCGAGCTGCGGGAGCAGAGGGCTTCTAAGACGGGCCAAGCACTGGCCAAGCACCAATCAGACGACCGGCGAGGACAGACAGCCACCCCTGACGAACCCGCTGAAGGATGTCACAGAAAGAGATGGGTGTTGCGCGTGCAGAGATGGAGGGGTCGAAGGGGGAGCAATTTGGGACAAGGCCGGTACCTAGTGCAAAGAAACCTCTCCCAAGGGAATTGGCAAAATGTGCAGCTGTGTTGTAGGGCAAAGCGTCCCGACGAGGCCAAGACGTATGCACCGTGGGCCGTCCAAGCAACTGGGCCAACATCGTTCTGGTCTTGGCCGGCGTGGGCCAGACGGACCGGGGAGGGTGTTTTTGTGTCTAATTGTATCCGGGCCATTAATCATCGGCCGTGGCCGTTGTTCTTTTCCTGGCGTCACGAGCAGGCAATGTCCCGGGCGAGGGTTGCAATACACGCAGATTGCACGTCGAGGTAGGGCTTGAAACTGGACATGTCGAGTTGGGCGGGATTGACGTAGTGGAATCGACGACGAGCTCGGGAAGAACGACCATTGATCGGGCATCTCATCGTGTGCATTGAACGCCCAGCGGCGGCACGACGAGCGAATGTTCGGACGGGGCAGATGGAGAGATTGGTGAACCTATGAATATCTTATCACGGAGACCCAGAGAGTAAGAGACCAGGCCAGACCGGTGTGGAGGTTGGGTCCCGGTGGCAGTGTTGACGTGGACTTGCGCGGCCCGGCATTCTAGAGATCGCTGGCGAAACGAGGTGAATCTTGATATGGCCATTCCTTAGCTGCATGTGCTTTTCTTGGGACCATTCTCGTGAAGGGCGGACGAGGGTCTTGGCCAATTGCAGTGCCAGACGGAGGTTTCTCACGGGGGCCGATGTGGAGGGGAGCATTGCAGGCGGGCTAACCTACGAACCGGTTCCAAAGGTGGTGGTGACGGAAGGGACGTGGAATCGGAAGGGCAGGCAAGGGCCTCCCTCCATTGATCGCTGTGGCAGTGCATGGAATGTCGTCTTTTGACTGGGGCAAAACACTGGAACGGCTGGGTCCTAATGTCTCTTCCGGCATGCGAGAAAAGGGGTGGAGAGCAGAGGCAAGCAAGGAGTGTGGGTGAGACGGGCGGACGGCACGACGTAACACACGCACAACACAAGCCTCCCAGCTGCTGTCGGTCCTGCGCAGCTGTCCTTCAGGTACTAATGCTACCTTGAAGGTTGACTGTTTGTTGTCCTTGCTGGATGGCGATGGTGCCGGGTGCCGGCTTGCCTTTTGCCCTTTGCCCTTCGCCGCGAGGTTTGTCTCTGGTAAGCTTGATATTTTCCCGCCCGAGGCGAAATGCAAAGGTGTTTTGATGGTGTGTGGAGTGTTCGTGTTCTTTTGGGGGGCATGGAGGCGTATCAGCGGCCATGTCGAGTGGGAGGCACGGGTGACGAACATGAGGTTGATACGAGCACAACCGGGGGGGGGGGGGGGGACAACGGCGAGGTGAGACCGGGAGGCGACTCGGCTGCGTGTGCAATTGGTGGTTGCACAACAACGCCAGCTACGGCAAAATTCGATCGTCGTTTTTGCTGCGTTTCAGCGGGTTCGACGAGCGATCAGAGCATTGGCATTTTGAATAATGGGATTGTCCCAAGGAGAAGGGGATAAAGGGCCCAACAACAAACGGCAAGGCGGCGACGGCAAAGAATCGAACGACGTGGTCGTGGATGGACGAATGTCTGTGCCCAGACGCGCCGGTGCAACGCGCCCGTATGCAAGCAAGACTGACGGACGCTGGACGACGCAACCGGATTGCATCACCAATAAAGAGCCTTCCCGCGTCTGCTATACGGGGGGGGAGATGTTTACATGTGTGCATCCATCATACACCAAGGAAAAAGGCACAGTTGAAGAACGGGGTGGCCGTAAGGCGGCGGCCTGATTGAGCCGTTGGCCTGCAGCCAATTGGGTTGGCCAATTTTGTGCCGAGAACCCGATTTAGGTCCATCCCACCTTCCCGTTGTTCCTAGACACACCCTTCACAATGTTGTCCTTGACGCCTCCCCATCCCCCTGAATTCGCAAATGTCTTCCCAGGACAATTGTCCAAGCCACTGCTGCTGCTGCTGCCAGCCTGCCAGCGGCCAGTCATGGTTCGGTTGTCAGACAGACAGGAGTGACTAGAACCCATTAAGCGAATGAACGGCTGTTCCTATCTCCCCGTCTCTGGTCCACCGTCCGCGCCTCATGTCGGTCCCTCCTTGGCAAGGAAAGGGAAACTGGACCGGGGCCAGAGACGTCGTGCAGTGCGGTGGTGGGCAAGGGCCGGTGGAGAAAGCACCAAGGTGAGTGAATGTCCACCTTGGAGAGCGAGGAAAGTCTGGGAGTCTGGGGGGGTGTGTGTGTGGACGCGCAAGGAGGGGAGGTGGAAAGGGTGGAATTCGTTCGTTCATTCGTTTCGTAGTACCACCACCGTCGTCGACCACGCCGTTTTTTAACCATCCAAGTCCCTCGTTCCCGCCCAACCTCGAATTCTCTTCTTTCTCGTCATTCCATCCCACCCCAACCCATCTCTCGTTGCCGCCTTTTGGGTCCCGAGTGTGCCATTTTCCCCTTCGATAAAACCACACAGTCAACTCCCTCGCTTTGGTTGACATTTTTCTCCAGCTGCCTTTCAGTAACCGACCAACCCTTTTAATCACCAACCTTTTTGGACCTCGAATCCCATCACCGTTTCGTTGCTCTCAACTGTCCCTCACTCTTTCGGGACATCCTACTCGCTTGGCACTACTCGACCATCACATCACACATTGGTTTTCTAGGAAATCCCTTGCAACTCTTACATACAAGATGAAGTCTGTCGCTGCCATCTCGGCTCTCGCGGCCCTGACCGTTGTCTCGGCCAAGCCTACTGCCACTGAGCGCGAGGCCCCCATCAAGGCCCGCTCCCTCCCCGTCGTCTCTGCCTCCGGCAATGGTATGCTTCACCGGCCGAACAGGCGTCTCGTCAGATCCAATTGACTAACATGTGACTCGGTAGCTTTCTACGCCGATGGCACTCGCTTCTACATCCGCGGTATCGACTACCAGCCCGGTGGTTCGTCTGACAACATCGACCCCCTTGCCGACACCAGCATTTGCGGCCGTGACATTCCCAAGTTCAAGGATCTCGGCGTGAACACCATCCGTGTCTACAGCGTCGACAACTCCAAGGACCACAAGGACTGCATGCAGCAGCTTGCCGACGCTGGCATCTACCTTGTTGCCGACGTCAACAACCCCAAGTACTCCATCAACCGAGCCGACCCTCACCCCTCGTACAACGCCGTCTACCTCCAGAGCGTTTTCGCCACGGTCGAGGAGTTCGCTCAGTACGACAACACTCTTGCCTTCTTCTCCGGAAACGAGGTCATCGACGCCGACGCCAACACCACCCAGACCGCTCCCTACGTGAAGGCCGTCACTCGTGACATGAAGAACTACATGGCCTCTCGCGGCCTCCGCCATGTCCCCGTCGGCTACTCCGCCGCCGACGTTGCCTCCAACCGCATGCAGAGCGCTGATTACTTCAACTGCGGCAGCGACGATGCTCGCAGCGATTTCTTCGCTTTCAACGACTACTCGTGGTGCAGCTCCAGCTTCACCGAGTCTGGCTGGGACATCAAGGTTAAGAACTTCACTGACTACGGTATCCCCATTTTGTAAGCATCACCCCTTTCTCATTTGCGACAAAGCTAACCTCCTTTTCAAGCCTGTCCGAGTATGGATGCAACACCAACGTTCGCACCTTTGGTGAAGTCGGGGCCCTGATGAACAGCGAGATGACCGGTGTCTACTCCGGAGGTCTCATGTACGAGTACTCGATGGAGGCCAACAACTACGGTATCGTCAACATCTCTGGCAGCACCGTCACGGAGCTTACGGAGTACGCCAACTTCAAGAGCGCCCTGTCCAAGTACCCCACCCCCACTGGCGACGGTGGAGCTGCCAAGACCTCTCACGCCGCCGACTGCCCTACTTCCGACGCTGCCTGGCAGGTCGACCCCAGCGAAATCCCCACCATCCCTAAGGATGCCGAGAAGGTATGTTGATGTTGCAGGATTCTACGACTAAGAGCAATCGGCTAACAATTCAACAGTACATGACTGCGGGTGCTGGCGACGGCCCTGGTCTGAACGGTTCTGGTTCCCAGACTGCCGGTGACAGCGCTTCCGATGGCGAGACCACTGGCGGCACTGCTTCCCCTACCGCCACCGGTGGCTCCAGCGCTTCTGGTTCCTCCAACGCTGCCGCTGGCATGACCTTCGGTGGCCCCATTGAAAAGGCTCCTCTGGTCGTTGCTGGCCTCACTGCCATGTTCACGATGTTCGGTGCCTTCCTGTTGTAAGAACAGAAGCCATACTGATGGCCCAGCTACGGTGCTGGATGTACAAATGATTTTCAGAGGGCACTTGCTCTTCATTCGCATGAAGCACTAGATTTGATGTGCGGGTTGGCCGCTATTCCGTTAGTTTATCAAAGACACCCGGGGTTCGGGCGTCTCCGGCTTCTGGGACAGTGAATAACACAGCATGGGCACGGTCTGTTCGGAGTTGATTCCCGCTGATGGCAATGCTGCTTTGAGAAAAGCCGCAAAGGACAAAACATATCCTTTTCCATGCAGGCGCAAGATATTTGTACGTATTGTTGCACGATGCAACAAGGATTGTAATTCTTTTGTTTGATCATGACGTTTACTTTTTGGCCTCGCCTGTTCGCCTAATTGTGAAGCGTGACATGGGGCAATGATGTGTTTCCCAATCAAACAATATCCATTCATGAGTTACCCCTCGCATGTTGATTGGCGTTGAGACTGACTCTCAAGCCCAGATTTTGTTGAAAGGGAAGGATGTCAGATGATCCACGAACCTGGCCTTCCATGCTAGCGGCATGAGCTTAGGCTTGTTCATTGGGCGTTCCCCGAAAATAAAGAGGCAGCGCCGTTCTTGGTCGCTGGTGCGGCAGTCGTGGACATGTCCCGCCGCGGAGCCGGGTCGCCGGGATTTAGGTCGGCAGCACGGCGAAAAGCCGGGGGCCGCTTGGAAGGATTCCGAAGACCCACGTTCCGGTCACGGTCATCCCGAGCGCACCCAATGAAAGAATGTACGTGAACGTAAGCCACAACTGTAAGCAAAACATTGGACCAAAAATGTCGTCGTATTGATCTGCATCTGATGAGGTTGAACGGAGTTTGTATTGTTTGGATAACCTTGTGTATCCCTGGTTCGGGGTTTAGGACCTCGGGTAGGTCAGAGGTCGTAGAAATAAGCTGTCACTGCCAAGAGGATCGTACAGCGGCACGGATCTTTGCCTGCTTGCATGTTTTCTGATGGCGGGCTGTGTCTGGCCCGTCGGCCCCGTTGGTCCCGTTGGAGAATGACAAGCAAACAATCGCGCCTCTTCATCTCGGCTATCTCGAGAATACATCTGCTCTCTCTCTTTCAGGGGCGTTGACCAACAACCTTGGCCTTGGCGTGTTCCCTGTTATTGCGGTATCCAGGATCAGAATCCTCCCAGCTTAACCACAACGCCAACACGCCTAGCAAACACCACACCCGGATCGCGAAAGCATGACCGCGCCGCTGTGTCCGCCGCCCAGGGCGCTCCTTGTTCGGCACAGGTTGCTGGCGCTGACGGCGTCGGCGTACGTGAGCCCATCTGCCTCGTCGGTATGAACTTTGGCGAGGCGTGGCGGGACCGGCTAGGGGCGTGCAGCAAAGAGACTTGTTTTGGGAATTTGGATTACTTCTATGAGCAGGGCGGGAACTTCATCGATACGTGAGTTTTCCTGCCCACCCCCTCTCCTACCTTGTATGAGTATGTCGGGAGACCGCCGTGAGCCGAGCTCGTGAACGCAGCGCGAACCAGTACCAGGATGAAGAGTCGGAGCAGTGGATCTGGCAAGGGGCCCTTCTCCCGCGGCGTCCGCGACGACACGGTGCTGGCGACCAAATTCCCATCCGGGTACAAAGTCAACTTGGCGCCTTCGAGGATCTAGAGAAACTTTGGCGGCAACGGCGCAAAGAGCCTACACCTCTCAGTCGAGGCGTCGGCCCTGCGCAAGCTCCAGAAGAACTACATCGGCCCTGCTGTACGCCCAATAGTGGGAACTGGCGACGACGGCCGGGGAGCTGATGCAGAGCCTCAACGTGCTCGTGCAGGAGCGCAAGGTGCTGTACCTGGGAGTGTCGGACGTGTCGGCGTGGTGAGTGGTCAAGTGCACCGAGTACGCGAGGCGCTGCGGGATGAGGGCGTTCTGCGTGTACCAGGACATTGAGAATATCGAGATGGGGTACGACTTTGACGTCGGGTTCCCGTACAACTTTCTTGGCGGTGGCAAACCCCCAGGGGCCCCTAAAATGTGGTTTTCACGCACAGGTTTGACAACTTTGATTGTGTCCCGCGCGTGAGTCCTGTGAAGCCTCATAGGGGGCCCTCGAGCACGCATGACCCAAAGTGTGTGCGAACGGGTTGAGAAGGCGGGGCCGGAGGTTACTACACGGACATTTTATCGGTCAATCACCACAAAGCACCGTAACATGTAACTGAACAAGTCCTTGGTCACTGTCGGCCCCACGAATCAGCCAAGGGTCATTCGTTGTGCATAGTGCTGTAGACCGCATATCAAGAGGTTTCTCACGGCCAATAGCCACTACTGCAGCTGTCTCGGCGAGGAGTTAACCTGATACAATCGAAGAACGAAACCTGAAACTTAAGAGGAGCAAAGGACTCTCCACGGCAAGATTCACAGAGATGTAGAGCGACCAGGTGGAAAGACGCAGTCGGGGGATGTGATCGGGACGGGCCGGAAAAAGCGGGCCCGAGTGCTGCCGTAGATTCCGGCCGCGGATGTACAGTGCGGTGGTGTAAAGTATCATGGTATAAGGGCGCTCGAGCACGCGGCCATTCCCCTTCCATCTCTTATGCAAGATTATACGATAATTTACCGCCAATAAGCATTTCTGCATCGTCATCTTCGTATCTTTGTCGACGAGACTGGAGCATAGATAGTTGGCGTCCTGCTCCACCACGACCCTGCCTCCACGACTCCCGGACAGCAGAGAGGCAGTTCCAAGAAATCACCTAATCTAGAGCTATCCACCCAATACTCATGGTTTAGCATGTGTGGCTGTGGATCAATCAATCATCAATACCTATGATGCTCGGAAGCCGGTAGTTTCAAGTAATCCGGTGGTTGCGACGAACCAATATTGACGTATAAGATGATTGGTGGACCAACTTTGGCAGGTTTAGGGGTCACGAACTCTAGACCAATACACACCAAGAGACCCCGCCCGACAACACACCTTGACTGCAGGATCACCATGTCCCTTTGGGGCATCTCTTGCCAAGAATCACCTCGCTTGGCAGATGGATCAGGCCATCGTCGTGGACGCCTCCGAAGATTGTGTGTCCTTGTACGGAAAGCTGGCTGATTCTTTGGTCTCGTTGCAGCGTTTTCCAGGGGCCAGAGCTGGGCGCGACACGCGAATGACCTCGCATGCCGAACATCCGGCCCCGCCCGGCGCAGCCAACGATCCTTGGCATGGCGTCGTCAGGACGGCGTGTGAATCTCCGGAGGCGGTGCTGTCGCTTTTCCGGTATTCTGCGCCACCGATTTTACCCCAAACTCTCTTTCCTCGAACCCCGCCCAGTATGTTGCATGTACAGGCATCCGCGGGTCAGCTCGGCCACCCTCTTGACCAGAGCAGGGAACAGCCGTTTCCGACTTACCCGTCACGTTTTTTGAAAGGGACTTCTTCGGAATGAGTTCCCCTAGTTCGATTTCACAATGACCATCTCATTTCATCTCACAACAGTCTCGCTTGTCGGTTTACCCCGGGACGCAGTATGCGCCAGAGACAAGCTGCGCGGCGCCTTTGGCCCATCATCGTGGCGTCGACCCTGGGCCTGATCGCCTATGGTGGTTTCTGCGCACAGAACAGGTTTCGGACTCAGCTGGCTGAGCTACCATCCAAATACGTTTCAGCCCAGCCGTCGAAGACTGGTCCTTCGACAGTCACAAAGGGCAACTTCAACAACCTTCATCTGACTGAGGAGCAGTGTCAAGTCACATTTCCTGGTCTGACGAAAGAGATAGATGTGGCTGTGTTAGAGGGCGAATTCCAGCTTGGCCTCGGCGATATCTCTGCGTCGCTACTGGGACAGATCACGGACAACAGGATACTGATCCTGCAAGCTCCAAGACCGGTGGACATGTCAGACCAGTGGCTAGAGGTATGTGGAATACCGAGCGTTTGACCCAACGAGAGTATAGCGCAACAACATATGGAAGCAATGGCTTACATGTATTAAGCGGCAAAACGCCGCCCTCCACCAGATAAACCGAGCTCTTTCAACCTCGCCGGCCCCTCTTCCCGACACGTTCTTCAATCTCTACATCCAAGATACTCCCGTATCTCGTTCCTGGTCCCATAGCCGACCTGCCATGTCTCCTTCTCCAAGACACATCTTCACCATCCCTCATTTCTCCTTTTGGGCATGGAACCAGCCCTTCATCCGCTCCATCTCCCACGCGGCTGCTGCCATAACCGACCTCGAAGCTGGTCTCCCCTTCGACATGAAAGACCGCCGTGCGGTGTGGCGGGGAACTACTTGGTTCAACAACGGCGCCAGTGAAAACCCCAGGTCACGGCAAGAGCTTTTGAGGATCACCAAGGATGCCCAATGGGCGGACGTGCAGGCGTTGGAGTGGGTAAGCAATGGGGAAAACGCAACTAATGCGCTCAGGATCGAAGACTTTTGCCGGCACAAGTACATCATTCATACAGAAGGGGTGTCGTATTCTGGTCGCCTGCAGTTTCACCAGCTGTGTGAAAGTGTACTCTTGAGTCCACCCATAGAGTGGATGCAACACACGACACACCTCATTAAGCCCGTGTACTCAAGCGTGTTGCTGGGTCAACACCAGAAGACAAACGCCAACGGCGCCGCGACGACGAAGCCTCAAAGCGGTTACCCATCTGCGAGGGCAAGGGAGACATGGCCTGCGACGGTCGGCCCCGGCGAAGCCAATGCCGTTTTTGTCAACCCAGATTGGTCCGACCTCGAAGCGACGATCGGCTGGTTGGAGGACAACGCCGAGGTGGCTCGTGGCATTGCTCGCCGACAGCGGGCCCTCTTCTTCGAGCGTGGGTACTTGAGCCCGGCCGCTGAGGTTTGCTACTGGCGGGCACTTATCAGAGGCTGGAGTCAGGTCGTGCGTACCAACGATGCCATCCAGAAGAACGGTGGATCTGTTAGCTTTGAGGAGTTCGTCACCAAGACAGAAGGAGTCCGGGAGAGGCACTGAGTTTTCCAATCACTTTGAAGATGATAAGACTGCTTCGGGGCTCCGACAAGTCCTGGTCTTGGACTATGTGTAGGGAGGGGTTTGAACCGAATGGTCTCCAAAACCTGAGAGACGGTACAAGGCAATTGGACGGCTGTTCTCTGAACACATGTTGGAAACCTGGGAGTCGGATTCCACCTCCGTTACCACGACTCGTCCGTCCAACGATGGATTACGAGGAGTCCCATGCCAATCGCCCAAAAGGAGAACTGATCGGCTTGAAGGAAGCACGTATAAAGGCAGATGAACGCCGAAATTTGGTCCGCCAAATGAGACAGTTAATAAGTCCATCCAGAAACCAGCATACGGCAGATGCAGGATTCCTCGGCATTTGCTCTCCCATACACACGTAGAGACTCGAGATAGGCATGGGAGTTGGCGTAGCCTACGTTTCTTCAAGATTCGTGTGCTAGCTGCCGGATGATTGCTTGGCGAAACCCGATGCGAGATTGATCAAGAATTCTCCGTGCAGGGAGTCGAACGGTGCGAGCTCATCATGGTCTGGTTCCAGCTTCTGGGACCTCGGCAGTCCACGTTTCGATGCCAACATGAGCATCCCATTATTAACCTGACAACCCACCAACGACTGAATTGCACGGGAGTCCCGTATCGGGATTAATTGATTGGAAACCTCAGTGGAATGGCCTGATGCTGTTGCTTCTTTAAGCTACGTGTGATCGGCCACGGAAATTGGCGAAAGGCCTTGGGACAAACAGCAGGGGCAAAGAATGGTTCGGAAATCGGATGCGTAACTCCCGCCCAGGGATGATCGGTCAAGACGCCCAACTAGGAGCATTTCAAATTGTTAGTTTACGCGGTCTGGTTCGAATGGAAGATCTATAACCAAATACGGAAAAAAACACACCTATTGCGAATTCTGCACAACGACCTCGTTTCGCACAATTGCCAACCTGTCGACCTCGCCTCGCGAAACTTGGGTTGGCCACGCAGACAATGGGCCAGTGATATGATGCATCCCGACAAACACTGTCAGGGATGCCCGAAATAATACCCAGTTTGGGTAGCTGCTGACAGGTTACGACAGGCTGTGTGACCTAGCAAGTTTGTGCCATATCAGCAATCATGCAATGCAGGGCACATGACGAACCAAGCCTTTGGGACGGTCGCTGTTCATGGTAAGATGAACAGACAAGACCGACTAGTTTCGACGGAAGATCGCCGTGTCTCAATGCAAAAGGAATTACAGGGAGATTCGACGGAATGCGTCAGATGGAAGAGAGACATCTGCAATGGTTTGCGCCGTGGACAAGATTGGGTTGACGGGAGTCTTGCACATGTCCTCTCCTTTGACGGTGCTGGGTACAGGGCCCGAGAACCGGGGAACTTTGGTTTCTGCGGCGCAGTGCCAATCCGTAAGCTGCTGGCATCCATTCGAGTTGAGAGAATGGACACCACCATGTGGTTCCAGTTACATGCACATCATGCCTGCTGCAGTGCCTGAGCTGGCTTCCGCCTAGCCCGTCACACCGTCTTTCGACGGCTCCAACACGAATTACGAGGCTACCGCTGGCAACGGTCCTGCGCATGTTGCTGGGGTTGACCACTGATTAGAGAGAGAGCAAAGCGGGCATTGGCAGTCGACTTGAGCAGGGGTCAGCGAGGCCCTTAACCGACGCCCGGCCGGAGGAGTTCCTAGTCGACCCGGCCTACAGCATATGCGAATGGTACCCTAACTCTCCCAACCGAACCTGGCCGTGCAAGGCGCCTCTGCAAATCACGTCCCGTCATCCTATCAAGGCGTTTGGCCTGGCACCACATTGCACCGCATCCCACCGCAAGGGTGCTCCATTGCTGCACGTTGTCGTGATATTTGGCGTTGGAACGTGTTCATCTGCTTCCGAGGAGGCTTTCTTCCTCCCGAACCGTGGCCCTTGTCAGATATCAGGTTAACCACTATTTTCTTTTTTGTGTCTTCCTGACCCTCCGGTTGGTAACTTGTGGCGGCTGCAGGGGAGGGCAACGATGTCGTTGGTCGACGAGAGTCGGCGACTTTTCCTTTATTGAACCGCGGTCCACGTTTGCGCTTTTCTTGTGGCACCTTTTCTGCAGCCATATGCATGTCCTGAACCAGGCTTGTTGGTTCTAAACATTGACGCATCATGCGTCTCTTTCTTTCTCTTTTCGCCTCCTCCTCATGCGCCGACGGCGGTGCCAGCCCACACCACCATATCCGGGAGCGGATGCGCACAAATACTAGGAAGAGTGAGAGGGGGGAAATTCATCTCGAGGAAGCATGAGGGTTCAGTCTCGACAACTTGCCGTCCGCCCTCGCCGGCCGATACCAACATTACCACTGCCGCCTTTCCGCGCCCAGGCTGTTTCTTGACCCAACAGATTCCCGAAATCCGGTAGCAAATCGGAGAAGTAGGCGTCCCGAGACTAAAAAAGACTCAAGGGGCATTATTCGCCAGTCGAGCACCAACGCGCAATCTCGTGCAGGTGGTAGGTATCCATACGTCTTGAGTGGTTGGGTCTCTCTTCCAACAAGTTCCGCCCCAAGGGTCGGCCAAGACGAATTGGAGAGAGGGGGCTAAATCACATTTCCAGGTCCCAGGGTCCAGGGTCCCCAGGGGTGCTGGTATCGACGCCAAACAAACCAAACAAACACCGCCAACCCAACCCATTGGGTCTGGGTCTCCCCGTGTTTTCGTTCCCGCCTTTCCCGCCCTCGCGGACTCAGACCGACTCAGGTCGACCCAGCTGTCTGGGTCCAACGAACGCACGCACTCACTCGCCGTCTTACTCGCTCGCCATCCATCTCACTCTCACTCAAAGGCCACGACTTCTCCCCTCCCTCCCCCTCTCCTCATTTCTGACATCCTCGAAGATTGCCATTCTTTAGACTTTGTTTCCCCCCGGGTCCGTAGGTTTTTTTTTTGTGCTTCGCCACAGGGTTGTCGCTGTTGGTGTGCGAACTTCGGAATTGTGTCGTCAGCTATTCACCACCTCACTCAGTTGTTCGATACCCCCGTCGTCTCTTGTCTTTGATGCCCACTCGGCCCATTTCTAGGTAAAACTTGTTGTCTTAAACCCAAGAAAGAGGTCGATTACCATAACATCGAGACCGGCATACCTTCGAGCTCGACGAAAGAAGACGCATCTCAAGGCGGCAATTGTTAGCCAACTTTGAAACCCCTTTCTTTGTCCCAGCATCCGCCGACAACCCTGATCAACCGGTGATGGACTTTCAGTCTCCACTCGTTCGATCAAGTCTTCGATGAACTGAGACCCGACCGCAACTATTCTGTTCCTTCCGAAAGCGTCACCTTAGCTCATAAAAAGGCCCGTCGCGGCGCCGCTCCGCGCGATACCTGCACCGTCGAGCTCGCCTCTCTCCCCCCCACCCCTTTTTCGCGGACCATTTGTCCATGTCGCCGGCCGCAGTCATGTCTTTCTACCCGCCAGGCGCCGTCGACGGCCGTCTTAATGGCTTCGAGTTCACGTTTGAAGCCATCCCTGACAAGTCATCCCTACACGACAGCCACATAGAAGTCGATGTACGTTGATCTGGGACCACCGCCCTCTCCATTTGATCTACTGTTCATCCGATGTCACTAACAAACTTCACCAGCCCGATCCTCATGAGGGTAGGCCTGCCACTAGACAATAGCTCCCGCGCATTCGCTAACAACGCATTCTAGTGAGACCGACTCCCTGCCGGACGACGTCGAGTGTTTCCCTAGGCATTTCGGCAGGACATATCACGCTTACCGAGCGGGATGTACGTTGACGATGCCCCGGTGTGGACGAACTAGAGAGCTTACAGAATCTACAGCCTATGTATTCCCCAACGACCCTGCGGAGCAGGAGCGTTTAGACCTCCAATCGCTGGCTCTCACAGAGCTGTTTAGCGGCAGGTTACACTTTGCACCGATAGCCGCAGAAGGGTCTCCCAAACGAGTCCTTGACGTTGGCACAGGGACTGGGGCGTGGGCCATGGATATGGGTGACATGTACCCGGAAGCCCGCATCATTGGGGTCGACTTGTCGCCGATCCAAAGTAACGCCGTCCCACCAAACGTTCATTTCTATATCGAAGACGCGTGAGTAGGGCCCGATCGTCTGAACCCGTCCAACCCGTCTAATCAACTCTACAGCGCCCAATCATGGGCATGGCCCGACCCCTTTGATTACATCCACACCCGCGTCCTGCTTGGTTCCTTTGGCGACTTCAAGAACGAGGTCATTCAGCAGGCCTTCGACTCCCTCCGCCCGGGTGGCTGGCTCGAGTCCCAGGACTTCAACCTCGAGGCCGTCACTGACGACGACACCCTGAAGCCGGACGCCCCTCTGTCCCGCTGGATCTTTGACATGAACTACGCGAGTGAGCTGATCGGCCGCCCCCTGTCGAGGTCGCATCTGCTGCGGCAATGGTACGAGGAAGTCGGCTTCGTCGACGTGCGGCAGCGGGTGTTCAAGATCCCGATCAACGGGTGGGCCAAGAACCCTCGGCACAAGCACGTTGGGAAGCTCTGGGAGCAAAACTTCCTCGATGGCCTGAGCGGGTTTAGCATGGCCCTGTTCACGCAGGTTCTCGAAAGAAAACAAGAGGAAGTGCAGGTAGGCTCTCACCCCGCTGATGCATGCTTTTTCGTGGCGGGTGCACTGACGAACCCGGGCAGGTGTCGCTGGTGGACGTGCGCAGAGACATCTCCAACATGCACATACACGCCTACCAACACGTCTGGGTCGTCTGGGGCCGTAAACCCTTCCCGGGCGAAACTGTCCCTCCGAGGAGTCCATCGGGGGACAGGGACATGGCTGAGTGATAGCACGACACGACACGACACGACACGACCTAATGATTTGATGTCCAGTAGACTGGCCGCCTCGGGCGTATGGAACAAGCGGGAGCTTAGGAGCCTTTCATGATTCCCAGGAGAGCCATCGACGATGCGGGGGTATTTCGCTCAAGAACCGCCTTTGACATCTTCTTCTCCCCCCTGTGCAAAAGCGTTGGGGTTGAGTCCTCCATCTGTGGCCAAAGATGCATCAGGCGCACGGCAACCTCTCAACTAGCTGACGCCAGTTGAACGGCGCACAGGAGTGGGTCCTAGACGACGCCGATTTGTATCCACGAAGCACCAAGGAAAGATACCACAACGTGCTATTTGGTCTTATCGGCATGCTCTGCTCTCTTTCTTCTCCTTATTCCGGCCGTCTGCACGTCCCAGCGTAGCGGCTTTGGCGTAGAGCAACTTCTCTTCAACATCGCCAACGGCCTCAAAGTCCTTTCCTGGTAACTCAGTACAAGTTCTGGGACTGGCACTCTCGGTTGTCTGTCATGACATCACGTTATGAGCGGCGACATGTCTGTTGGCAGTGCGAATCATGACGTAGCAGCCACAGCCGCGACTGCAGAAGATTAGGCCTGAAGGACGTAAGGGTATCACGGGCAGTACTGCACGTGGCGAGAGTGGAGGCCCATCGCCATCATTGTGAGTTGAGTCTTGAAACATGGGGAACTGATGTCAACTGCGCTTGAGATACTGGTTCATGTCTTACGACTCCACGGCTGCCCAGTTGGGGTGCAACAGCGATTCCGGTTCAAGTAAACTTTGATTTACAGAGCTCTTAGGCCTGAGATGTTTCGTTACATGTCTATAAGTCGTCGGAGTGTTGACCCACAGCCAACAATATATACCTAATAAGTTCAGCATGCTGAGCAAGAAACCACGACTGTCGCATAATGGCGATTCACATCTCCCTAAGAAGGCGAGCGATTCTAGACTGTAAGGTAGTGATCCATATGATTGGTCTCGCCGTGTTGTGGACAAGCGAAACATGGGTGCTGAAGGTTATCTAGCTTGTCAAGCGCAGGAGCAGTTCAGAAAGTCCTCAAAATAATACCCGCTGAACGAGACTACCAATGTGAAGAGTGTAACGGCATGTAACTCCCGACTTGAAGAGTTGCAGATGTTGAAGGGCGAATCCTTACGCCCAGGGCGCAGAAGTGACGAACTGTTCTGTGGCTGGTGACCCCGCCACATGTCTTATCGTTATCGCTTGCCCCAGATCTTTCCATGAGCTCCGAGATGACGGCATCAACGGAGCTCACCTTGTCACATTCACTCTTGATTTTCACGACGGGTCTACTGTACCGCCTGGCGCTTCTTCTTCGTCTTCTTCGTGGTGCTTGCACCGAGGCCGCGAAACAGACAGCCGCCTCCTGTTGCCCGTTTCTTCCCCGGCGCCCGCCGTTGCGCCCGGCCATGCTCCCCCTCCGCGCCCTCGTGCGGCCGGCCGCCCTACGCACCGCATACCACCGGCCACCAGCCCACCCTCTCGCCGGCGTTTCCCCCTCCGCCCTCCTCCGATCCCGATCACGAATACCTCCTCTCCCGACAATACGAAACCTCCATGCCTCGCAGCACCGATTCTTCTCCCAAACCCCTCGACGGCCTCTGTCCCCGCCGCCTATGGGCGGCTACGACCCCCGCAACCCCGCGCATCGCGAGATCCTCCACGAATACCGCCTGCGCACCGCGAAGCCCCTCGTCACCATAGAGGGCCTCCAGCGCCTCGCCAGGTCGCGCGGCACGCACGCCCTAGGCGTCTTCCTCGTCCTCTCGGCCGTCGGCTTCTACTTCTACCACATCCAGACCGTCCCGGTCTCAGGCCGCCGGCGCTTCAACTGCTACTCTGAGAACTCGGTCAACACCGTCGCGAACGAGCAGGTCAAGCGTGTCATCTACGAGATTAAGTCGCAAGGCGGCCGCTTCCTCCCCTCGTGGGACCCGCGCCGGCAGATGGTGATGCGCGTTATGCGCCGGCTGATCCCAGTGTCGGGGCTCGACGGCCAGAAGTGGGAGGTCTACGTCATCGACGACCCGCACACGATGAATGCCTTTGTGATGCCCGGCGGCAAAGTGTTTGTGTACAGCGGCATTTTCCGTGTGACGCGCAACGAGGACGGGTTGGCGGCGGTGTTGGGCCACGAGATTGCGCATGACCTCGCGCAGCACGTTGGCGAGCGTATGAGCTCGTCCATCGTGACCAACATAGTGCTGGGAAGCCTCGTAACGCTGTGGTGGGTGGTCCCACCAGCCATCATACTCATGCAGTACCTGGGGAAAGGATTCATGGACCTTTTCTTCACGAAGCCCATGAGCCGGCTGCAGGAAAGCGAGGCAGATTACATCGGGCTGATGCTCATGGCAGAGGCATGCTACGACCCGCGTGAGGCGGTGGCGTTTTGGCAACGGATGGATATGGCGGCCAAGAGGGGGCATGCGGAGGAGGCGCCTGAGTTGTTAAGCACACACCCTTCGGTAGGTTCTAACCAGATTTCTAGCCCACGCCTCATTGCCCTGTTTTCTTAGGCTGTGGTGTTGCGCGTACTTGGAGGCAGCGAAGAACGGTTTGACAACGATGAGACTGACAGCGCGCGTTTAGAACGAACATCGAATCGAAAAGTACAAGCAGTGGATGCCTAAAGCCGTTGAAAAGTGGGAGGCCAGCGACTGCAAGGGCACAGCCAGCTTCGCCAACATGTTTAGACGGGCATTAGATCGGGGAAGCATGATTATAGAATTCTAGCTAATCGTATGCAAAGCCAGCATGGAGCGGCTATGGTGTTTCGGCGTTGGCGGGATGGGAATCACGACATGATGGATGTTTTTGATTCGCTTCTCTTCCCTCATCATATTTCTCAGAACTTGTATTATTACCCCACATCATGACCACAGGCACTCCTACAACAAGATACCAATAGCAAGTTTTCACTTTCACTATCCAGCTATGACCGCTCGTCATCTCTTCGCAACCCTACCGTGTACCTACTCAGCCCATGCGGTATCTCATCATTCTTGGCTATAGTATGTCATCGAAGACCAACCACGTTGTCCACTCAGACTCGCAGCTCCTTCACGTCCTGAAGCTGCCGCCGCTCTTAGGCCGAAGCGAGCTTCGGCTTAGGACTGGGTCTTCGGAGGGGATCCCGTTGCGGGGATGCGTTGGAAATACTATGGACACGGTAATATGGGTAAGCCTATGGAGTAGCATGCGGTCATTATGGACATTCGAGGCACCACTGCTTCGATACATAAATACATAAGTGACATGCCTGACTACCCGACAGGTGGGTATGACCATCCTTGCAAGCGGGATTACCCAGGAATTTAGCCACTCAGACCCCCTGAGTGACCGCTCTTGCACCATTCTTCAGCTTCAGCCTCAACATTTAAGTGGCGCTCGAGATCGCCATGATCTGGCGATGACGGTGGAGTTTGCAGCTGTTCACCCTTGCCGGAACACGACTCCATTTGGAAGATTTCAAGTCGCCATTATGATCATTGAACGACAGTAGCGGCTGAGGGGCTGAGATGTGGCTACGCATGACGATGCATCGGGTCAACAAGACGCAGAGCGCATCAGGCGGGAAGGGTTGTTGAGCGCTTGTTTTGAAAGATATATATACACGCACGTCGATAACACCCAAATAGTACTTTTATTCCAGTAAACAAGCCCCTTTGAACACACAATCAAGACCACATCACAATACCCACAAACGCCAAATACATACCTAGCCATCATGAACACAACCAAGCACACAACCCAAGATAGACAGTCCGACAGACAGTCTGACAGGCAGTCTGACAGACAGTCCAAGACCGTCCACGAGGACGTCAACGACGCTGTCGTCAACGAGCAGGTCCGCCCTCACCAGCAGGAGGAGGTGACGACCGCCGTCGACAAGGACATCCACCAAGACCACCACCACACCACCATCCAGCCTGTCAAGGCCCAAGAGACTCTGTAAGTGCCCGTCCTTCAACACGTTCCAGCCCCGCGACTAACCGAACGACCTCCAGTCCTGAACAGCACCACCAAAAGGTGGCTCCCGTCCAGAACAAGTCCTTTGAGCACGGAAACGAGCGAGACACTCGTCAGGCCCTCGACCAGGAGGCCGCCCAGTTCAAGAACACGTCCACTACGCAGCAGACCACACAGTCGCAGTCATCCGCAAACGCGCCGGTGACAAACAGCGAGCGGGTGCACCACCACGTGCACGAGCACATCCAGCCCGTGGTGGAGAAGGAAACGATCCAGCCTCACGTCGTCCATACCACCGTGCCGGTCCACGAGACACACCACGCCGAGGCCGTCCACCACGACACTTCGGTGCTGCCCACCAAGACCCTTGGCGAGCTTGAGAGAGGCAGTGGCCATAGTGGTGTGAACAGCACTAGCCAGGAATATGGCCTGCAGGATGACCGTCGTCACCGCGACCACCAGTACTCCTCTGGCCAGACCACTGGTGGAGCTGGCCTGGGTGCCACAGGAGGTGCCGCGGCTGCCACGCAAGGGCAACGTCACAGCGGTGGCAGAGACGTCGACGCTCGCGGTGTGAATGACCGCAACGTGGGCCAGACAGGGTTCGATGAGCACCGTACTCGCCACCAGGAGCCGCAACTCGGTTCCTCCGGTGTTGCTGCCGGCGGCGCGGGTGCTGGTACCGGCGCCGGCGCAATTGGCACGGGCACAGCTGGAGCGGCGCAGACCGCGGCCAAGACGGCTCATGCCAAATCGCACAACACCTCGTCAACAACGACCGGTCACTCCCACACGACTGATGCCGAGACGAAGAAGCCGTCCATGGCTGCGAAGCTGAACCCGTTCAAGGATGCGGATGGTGATGGGCACAAGGGCTTCATGACTTAGATGCGTGTTGCCGTAGTTATAATTTTATGTAGTTGAGAAGCTATAAAAAGTCAATGTTTCTCGTCAATTGATCCGGTGTTACCTTTCTTGTACATTGAATATCAATCATTCAACATGAACTTGGGAAAAAGACAACCTAAATCCGACCATGATCCTAGCTTTCCCTGGCCATCGCATGTCGTCGTAGAACATTCCAAGAAAGCTTATAGGATGGTAATGAAAGGGTTACATAGTTGTCAACCAGCGGAGCCTCGGATCTAGCCATCCCCCTCCCCAGACCCCAATCCCGTGGGCTGAGAAATGCAGGCCTCGTGATTTGTTCCCGCATTTTTACTCCAGGCCTAGGTCCGTCCGGGGCGGAGCATGCCCCCCCCCTAAGTTACCCCAATCAGCGGGACGAATGACGTTGGGCGGTTGTTTCGCGCGTAGATGAGCCGAGGTAAGTTGACTCGTGCCACTCACTTGGTCGGTCACTGAGGTGCCTTCAAACGAACCAGCACGCGCGCGCACGCACGTACGTATTGGACCGGCGTGTGCATGCGACGACACCCCTAAAAAAACCCCCGGCTCTTTTTTTTTTTGTCGTTTCTTCTGGAAACCGCTCCGTTTTCTCCCTCTCTGTCTCCCTCTCTCTCTCTCTCTCACCTCAATCTTCAATCTCACCGCTCAACTCACATCTCGAGGCAAACCGCCTGTCTCTCAGCATTTGACACGCTTCGGACAGATCACTGCCAAATCTCACCTTACCCCTCACACACGGCAACACACGCACCGCCAACCGCCACAATGTCCAAGACGTTCACCACTCAGGAGGTCGCCCAGCACAAGACCGATAAGGACATGTGGATCATTGTCGAGAACGGCGTCTACGATATCACCGGTAAGAGAGCCTCTTCTCCCTTCAGTGCACCCTCCCCCCCCTTCCCCTCCTCTCCACCACTCTCACTCCCACCCATCCTTCTGCGTCTGTGTCTCGGCCAGCCCTGGCCAACCCATCCCCTCTCATCAACGAGTCCATTTTCTAGCCCTCCAAGTACCAAACACTGACAGTCCGCGTCCAGCCTTCCAATCAGAGCACCCTGGCGGCGAGAAGATTCTCAAGCGCTTCGCCGGCAAGAACGCGACAAAGGTGTTCTGGAAGTACCACAACGAAAAGGTCCTCGAGAAGTACGGCGGTAAACTCAAGATCGGCACCGTCGCCGAGAGCGCCAAGCTGTGATTCGTCCTTCTTCTCCTTCCTTTTTTCTTTACTCCTCCTGCCTTTGTGCGGTCTGTGCATCATGTTTAAGCATATGTAGGTTCTGGTTGGTTTTTTTTTTTTAGCGGCGTGGGATTTGCGAGATCTTGATTTCGGGTTCTATTGGCTCGCAGGGACGTCGTCAGGGTTGGCTGGCTCTGAATGGTAAAAGACTCGTATCGTCGGGGCTTGCCATGGGAGATCAGGAGCCCGGAGGCTTGTTCCCGTCTGAGCTCTCTAGCCAGTCCGGATAATCTCTTTGGACGACAAGGAAAGATCGCACAGAACACAGGAGATTGTCATTTGGCATCCATGGAGTCTACGTTTTCGCTGCTGTGAATCAGTATCAAGAACAGTAGATGTAGCTCTAGACAACTCGACACGGGTACCGTCCAGAACGGACGCCCAAGTCTTCTTAACCAACCTCTCGGGCTTTCCGTGTGAAATCTGATCGTCTCTCATCGCCGCACCAGATCCTCCATCTTCGAACCGTTTAGTCATTAGAGATATCTTCGTAAAACTATGTACAGCCGCTGCCTCGGCAGTGACTAGAGAATATTATTGTGCAAGCCCGTGCCGCAAGCAAATCCAGCAACCCCGTGGAAAGCCAAAAGTCGTGGCTTCATCGCGCCGCCCCCTTTTTTGCATCCTTTCCCAAGGGCGGCTCTTCTGTCTGTCTAGATTTTGTATCATTGATCGGAATTCCAGTCTCTTACTGCACGCGCCACCACCCCTTCTATGGCATCTTGAATAAGCAAGATCGTTGACTCCATCCCCCCACCCTTCATCCTCTCTCTCCTGTTCTTCGCGCTTCCCATTTCCAAGTCATAGAGGGTATAATGCAATTCGTCGTCGTGCGTTATACAAACGAAACAAAGAGAAATTGTTGGTTGATGATGTGAGCATAAGCCCTCGCCTATGCGGTGTCGTCGTTTCAAATCGACGTTGTTCATCCTAGACTAGGAAATAGGAAAAGAGTTCGTTTAATAAAAACACGTCGCTGTCCCTTGATTTGCTTGGTCCGTTCAGTACCCGCCAATGAGAGAGTCGTCATATCTGTCGGGGCTTCCCGCACCGCTGCCATTGGCGCTGTCACTTCCCGAGAAGTAACTCTGGTCGATGCGGAAGATCCAATCCATCTTGTCACGCTCGCTACGCGCGGCAAACAGCCACGTGTTGTCCGTACCGTAGATGGCAAACACGCCGGCTTGCAATCGCTCGCTGAGCCTCTGCAGACCGCCGCCCGCACCATTTGCTGCACCGCCGGTTCCAGTACCTGTCCAGATGGTCGAGATGACGCGCCCGGAAGCAGTTCGCCGATGGCTTGGACGGAACTCTTCGCTGCTGCCATTTGTCTGGGAGCCCGCATCGTCATCGTCACCAGACAGCAGGCCAATGACGCCGGGTTGGCTGTCAACGCGCGAGTTTCGCAAGCTGACAATAGCCACCTCGTCCCCATCAGTGACAGAGTGAATGTGAAGGTATGGCCGCCTCAACTCGACAAACCTCTTGACCCATCTTGTTGAGCTGCTGTTGGGGATGAGCAGGTAACCACCTTTGAGCACCTTTGGGTTCTTGGGCACTCTGATGATTGTTGGGATCAGACTGGGCGGGGTGGATGCCTCCGGTGCAGAACCGTCCGTCGGTGGATCGGTGTTGGCCGGGCTAAGGATTTGTAGTAGTGGATCCGGATACTTGTGCCAGAGGCTGATGCACTTTCCGAGGATTTGCTTCTCCCGCTCTGGGATTTCTGGTTCCTGCGGTGTTTGCACTGTCACAGTCTCTTCTTCGGGTTGTGGGGTGTCTTGGCCGTCACCGTTGACAAGGTCCTCGTCCTCTGGCACCTGGGAGCTCTCCGGTGTATCGTTCAGCAGGTCGTCGTCTTCATTGTGGTATGTTGGCTGAGGAGGCAAATCCTCCTCCTGGGTCTCTTCCTCTTCTGGCTTTACCTTCGGCTCAGGCAGGCCAATCTTCTTTATAAGAGTCTGCACGGCCCCAATCTCAGCGATTCGGCTTCTTTTCTTACGAGCGAGTATGAAGTCGCTGACGAGAGAAACACCACGAGGAGTCCAGGTAGTAAGTTGTTCTTCTCCCTTGACATAATCGTGCTGGCTGCTCATCCTCCAGAGGTCACCTATTCTCTTAATAGGTGCTGGCCTCATGGAGAGTGTGAAGATGCCACTCGTTGCATGAACGAATCGGACACTTTGCCACAGCGAGGAAAACATGGACGTCTGTCGAACCCAAGATCTTGACATGATCTGACAACAGACACGCATCGCAAATTTCATCGGTTCCGCAAACTTGTTGGAGCTGACTTCCCAGGCTACAGTCATCTGAACGCGGTACTTATCCGCGGTGACTCTGTCCAGGAGCAGAGAGTTGTGTAAGCTGGAATCCCACTGACCGGTGAGTGTGATGCTTCGGGTACCATTGGCGTTTTCGCGGAAAGCAGGCTTGTTGGCGAGCTTGAGAGTAATGGTTGGCGACGTGGAGGTCATGTCGGGAGACTTTCCTGCTTGGTCCAGGAGTTGAATCTTGCCCACTCTAAGGTTCATCGCATCGTCCCAGGGCAACGCATCGCCAGAACTGTGCGTGATGTTGATGGCAATGCGACGTTGGAGCCCTTGGTGGAGTTGGAAAGTACCGCCGTCCATCTCGCTCGTTTGCGCGACTTCGACGGGCGCATACTCTCCCTCTTCGTTGAGCTCGAGGATCTGTATCCTTGCCAGCAAATCATGCTTCTCCTCAGTGTAAAACTGGGACTCCGCAATCCTTGCGCCTTTAGGCTTTCCTCGGGACACGGGCACAGCGTCTCTCATATCGTCCCAGCTCAATAGTTTGTCCAGGTGCATGGCGGATACCTTGGCGAAAATGGCCGCCCGAAGGGTAACGCTTTGTGGGCTGAAGAGAGGGACGCTCATGCTATGCACGCTCTCAAATCGAATTGGTCCTTCGTCAAAGTCCTTGACCATCTGGGTAGTCGTGATGCCATCTTCCTCGGACACACCGGGGATGAACAGCTGAGCATGAACCTCTGTGCCCTCCCTCTCGGCGAATCCCACCATCTCGTGCATAACAACATTGAACTTCAGCGTATTTGAAGGTGCCCGAGCGTGTGATGGCTCCAAGGAAAGCTTGATCATGCCGATAGCATGGGAAGTGTGTGGAGAGAGGACGTCGAGAGCAAAGTCCTGAACCCTGCTTTCGAACACCGCCTTCAGAGGCACGTCGACCTCTCCCACAAGAGTGTACTGCGGCATGCATGTTTCGATGAAGGGATTGTCGAGACTCAAGTGCTGTGCGTACTCTGGCTGGTCGAGGTATTGGTGCATCTGTCGCATTTGGCGAACTCGGTCGTGGAGCTTCTCGAGACTCCACAAATGGACAACACTGTTCTTGTAGTCGATGACACGAACGCCGATGCATGGTTTCTGAGCCTCGTCGAGAGCGATATCGTCTCCTTCACCTGTCAACCCGTTCAGAACCATGTCGTAGGTAGAGCAGAGGGAATGACCAAGGTCGACGACGGTGAATTGGAAGACCACGCCTTCGTCGAGCTCGTTGCTCATGATCTGTGCTTCCTTCAACGTTGAGGCGTGCTGCAGGACCGCCTCAGCCATCCGCACGTAGCGCCTGGTCCGCCAGTGCTTTACGACCTGCTTGGCGATCTCGATTTCTTCGTCGGATAGCTTGGGATTAGCCTTTGGCCTCTTCAGCGGATCCATCTTTTCGAGCTTCTCCTCGAACTGGCGGCGCTGGACCTCCAGTTGCTGTTGCATGTCTTCCTTGAGTGCTTGCAAAGTCTCCTCCATCCTAACCTTCTCCTTCTTGATCTCTTCCACCTCGACGTTGGCCGCTTCAGCTGTCTTGAGCTGGTCTTGGTACTCCTCTTTCTGCCGGTCGAGCTGAGATTGCATCTCCTCTCGTACTTCTCTCAGCTTGTCGTCCACCTCACCCTGTTTGGGGGTCGAGGGCATGGTGAGCGCAGTGTCGAGAGAGAAGTTGTCAAGGGTGCCAGTTGACATATACTTTTCTCGGATAGGATATGAAGTGACTGACTCCGTATCGTCGTCACCCTCGCGGCCGTTGACACGTTCGGCGCGCGCTCTTTGGATACCCTCGAACAAGGCATTGAGCTCCTCGTCCGTGAGGCTAGCCAGGTTCTGGTTTGTGCCGAGTATGGCCTCTGCTGCCTCACGCCTCGCGAAGCTCCAGTCATTATCGCGCCCGTTACGAAACGGAATAGGAGAGTCCGGTCGGCTGTCGCCAAAGTCCGATCCAGCCTTGCTCCAATTCCGTTCGTGCCCTGGCCGAGGGCTGACTGACGGCGTAGGTATGCTCTTTTCGAGGTTCTGCAGCTGGCTGGCTGTGACAGACTGGCGCAAAAGGCTCTTGTCTGCTCTCTCCTTTTGTGCCTCCATGGGATGATTGAAGCGGAAGATGTGAAAATCGCCCAGAATGACTCGATAGCCGGAGTGAAGCTGCTTAGGCTCTTCAATCCGCTTACCATTGACCATGACAGAGGCGCCTTCCCTGGGAATGACCATGACGGTACCATCTGGTCCGTTCTCGAACGCACAGTGGTCATGCAATATTCGCGTCCCGTTGAGACGAATGTTGGCTTGGTTGTCGGCGTTCGTGTCCATGTTTCCCACCGTGGTCAAACCGGGCTTGAGGTTGTACACCAGACACTCGGCCAGCAGTGGATCGTCTGAGAGGTTGACCAAATGAGGCATCTTCTTGGGCGTGGAAAGCCCAATGAAACCCTTCTCGATGCTGATACCTAGCTCCTCTAGTGCAGCCTCGCGCTCCTTGTGGATCTCTTCGGTTTTGGCCAGTTTCTGCTCCCATGTCTGGTTCAGATCCGTCAGCAGCTTCTCACTTTGGTTAAGCTGCTCAGCAATCTCGGCCTTGGAAACTTTCTTCACGGCACCGTCGCTGGATGTAATGGACACGAATTGCTTCTCTAGAGGCGTGCCTTCCGGATACACCTCTTCGGATGTGACAACGCCGCCAGCAGCTCCGGCCGCACCAGCAGCTCCGCCTCCACCACCGCCTAGTTGGTTCCTCAAGAGGGCAAGCTCTTCCTTGAGTTCTCTGATCATGCGGGCGTTGGCATCTTCGTTGACCACGGCGTGGTTCTTGATTCTCTTGGCTGAGTCGGCATATCGAAGTGTACTGAGCGTCTCGTCGTAGTTGATGTCTGCAGGACTGATGGCTGCAATCATGGCCGTCATACTGTTTCCACCCAATGAATCTTTGAGAAGCCAAGTCAGAACACTGTCTCGATAAGGAACCTGGCCACCAGGTCCCTTCTTCTTCTTCCCGGTCGAGATATCAGCAAGCGCTGAAATGACACGGCCCAGAGAGGACAGTGACCTGTTGATCTCGGCACCCTCCTTCAGGCGGGCACCTGTAGCACCCGTCGAGGTAGCTCTTTCCGAACCAGCCAAATCAACCAGACTGATCTTGGCGACCTTTTCCATTTCCATTTTGGTTTCGGGATCAAATTTCTTTTGAGTGAGCATCAAGGTGAAGACTGCGTGACTTCGACTGGATGTCTCGTTCATGTTCGTTGCCGCGACAGTTCTAGCCTTGTTTCCCTCGTCCATCAAGTGCTCGATCTCCTGGAAGCTGCCCACCACCAGCTTTGCCAAATCCTCGACGTACGGTCCAGTCGAAGGATGCTCTCGGACCTTGAGGTTGCCTTTGGTTGACGGGTTGAGCAAATCTCGCACCCGCTCGTTGTAGATCTCGAGATATGACACTTCCACGGTACAGCGCAGGTTCTTGTCCTCCTGCAAAGCTGTGATTCTCCTAAACATGTCTTGGCAAATGTTTGGGATGATACCGACCTCCTTGCCGTACCCCATCATCGAGTAGGACTTTCCGGAACCCGTTTGACCATAAGCGAAGATACAGTTGTTGTAGCCGCCGAATGCGTTGTCCAGGAGGGGCTGGCCGAGGTCGTCGAAGAGGTTGTCCTGACCGGCATAGTGGGAGTCCTTGCGGTCGAACGACCAGTATGACCTATCGAAGGCGAAGACCTTCTGGCCAGCATCCTTTGCGTTCTTCGTGTGAGCGTCGGCGGGTGTGGTGAGGATCGTCTGGTTGTCTTTCATCTCTATGATGCATTTTGAACCCCGGTCGATTTCTGCGATGGGGTCAGCATGTGTTCCGGCGACCGGGCCTCCTCTGTGCGCTCCATCGGGGAGCAAGAGGGGTTCAAACTGCAAGGCATACCTCTACTGTTGAATGGTCTCACTCTCACCACCACCTTGATATTTCCACCACCTGCTGGCGCCATCTTTGCGACTGGGTTGAGGGCACCTGCCGCCCGACTTCACGGCAGAGCGTGCCGTTTCTGCGGATGACAGGCCTTCGGCCACGGCCTGCTGTTGACAGCGTCCGACGGGGTCAACGACCCTCAAAGATTGGACTGCAGTGAGGTCCACGTCGTCCAAGTATGGTCCGCTTGTGATCTCGGCAGCAACTCTCAGAAGCTGTCCAAGGTCATTCTTCGGGCTTGATGCGAGCGGAATTGGGCGAACCGGGGCGATCGTCAAGCGGAATTCTGACGATATTGATGGCCAAGTAATCCCAAGAGCGGTTCTTGGAATGACGCAGACAGTGGCCCCCGCAAACAAATGTGTGTTGCGTCCGCCAACGGACACTGGACAACTGTTGCAGTCTTCGCTAGAGCGCCTCGTAGCGCAAATACAGGATCGTTTCGGTATCGTAGGGTCGTGGTCGCGTAATACAAGGGGATTTTGGTCGTCGGGTCATCGAGCAGAAATGCGAAATGACAGGTACGGAGTACTTCGATGTCAACAAATTTCGGGAAGGACGCGGTCGCGCACCGCATGACGGCCCTCTGCAGGGAAGTGGCCTTGTTTGATTGGGCGGGAAATTAGCTTTGCTCAGGGTCACTTCACGTGCCAATCTGCTCAGCGGGGTGACGGGCGAGGACCACTGCTTCGAGCTGCCTGCGCTGCCATTCCATTCCCACATGACTAAGCACCGTGAAGGATTGGTCCAGCGCACTTGTTTCTCGCCTCTATGATCTCCCAGTCTTTGCCTTTGATCGCCCACGAACACAAGAGGAAACCCTCGTCCATCGACGATCATCACATTCTACACGGGCGCATGCAATGGCCTCGAGCTCTCGATATGCCACTGAACCGCTTCGCCTCGATGGCAGCCGCTGTTTGTCGATAAGTCTTAGCATTCATACTGACTGCACCTAGGAGAACCTTAAGGTTATGGCAAATCTCAACGGTTGAAACAGTCGAGAAACTCAAGAACGCAGGTGCCTCGAGCGTTGCCTCAGCATCTGAACATGAATCTCGTTTTCGCCCGACTTATCAACAGCCGTCATAATCTGTTGCCGCGGCAGTCACATTCCCGTTTCCAGCTGAACTGCTGCCATGTCTCGCCGCCCCATCTTCAGCTGTCCGCATAACCTCTTCGCATGACAGTGATTTGCGGACGTTCATCCCATTCTTTCCAGTTTTTACGAGTGTCATCCCTGTCATGTTGGTCAGCAGAGCGCGGGTCTCCGGTTCCGGTGTTCGATCGTCTTCGTTACCGCGAACGAGACGATAAACTCCGGCAGCACGAGCTATATGGGCGGGTGATAATGTCCAGCGTCAAGATGCCATTGCAACACGCTGGCCAATCTTTAATCCCGAATCCAACAACGGCGTTTCTGTCCGACAGTAGGCAGTCTTTATGAGAGCTGTGAGCCGACTCCAACCAAGTTGCAGAAACGCATAGTCAAATATCGTATATTCTGAAATGACATGGCCGAACCGCAACCTGTTGGACAATTCGACATGAAATGCTCGAAGCCATATCTTTCCCTCACGCCACGTCAACTCTGACTTGACTAGGACCTTTACTAATGCATCACGTTTTCTACATCTTCGAGTGTGCTTTGCGCATGGTACCCTGGTGCGCGAAGCTAACCTGCAAGGTTCAACGTGTACCAGTCTCATCGGCTTGCGATGATAATAAACGCTTAGCTAGTACGGCACATACAAAACGGTCAACGAGCCTTTAGTAGAAACGTAGTCATGTTCCTGCCAGCCTGCCTGCCGTATCTGGGAAACCTCTCTTGCAGTGGCTTATCAGGACCCCAAAGCAACCAAACCACGACATACCGGGGCAGCCCTGTGTACGTCTGGTGCGTTACAGAGACGAACTGCTCAGATAGCCAACCTGCGGTTTGAATTTGCACAAGTCAGCACAGTCCAATCAACAGCCGGTAAAGCGGCACACGAAATTATTCCCATGTTAGGCAGGTCGCGGAATCCTACCTTGGAAAGAGTGTCGCCATCTATCTGCGACGACTAACACATCTGTGACGGGGCCCTCTCTCCCCCTTCCCCGGGCTTTGCAACAAAAGCTCCGAAGATAACCTTCTCGACTAAGGCGTGCTCCAGCCACCCCCATCGCGATACCCATACTGGCAGACCCGGCGACATTCCCCGGTTCCTCGACCAGAGAGGCGAAAGGGCTCCCACCCCGGTTTAAAACCCCAAGGTGCGGCAGCGGGTCCGCAAAACCAGTTATCGGAGCGTCAGCCTTGGGTCCGGACCTCTGATGACTCCTTCTCCACCGATCCTTCTGCACGCTCTTCTAGAACCCCTTCATCCTCGTGTTGCCCTTGTCTCACAAGAGCGAGGCCCCTCGACGACGGCGCACCGGATGCAACGACCCGAAGGCAACTGACATGGACACAGACGCCCCGCTGCTGGTGCTGGTGCTGGTGCTGATGCTGCTTCGACTCGCACAGCCGTATCCGAGGCCGGCCCACGAGAAACGGCCCCAGTATTCCAGAACACCAGGACTGTATACGAGTGTGCCCGGAAACTCTGTCCCCGCAAAACACGGATGATAAAAGAGCCCTCCGAAGCAGCCCGGATTTCTCGAGGGAAGCTCCGCCTCGGCCGTAACCCCCCCCTCATCGCCCTTCCTCCTGTCAGCTTGCGCGAACGCATCGGGGCGGAACCACACCCCCCCGGGGCCCTATTGTCTCGAACTGACAGCTGCTTAAATAAGGGGGCCGAAGGTCCTGCCCGAATGCTGGGAGCAAGCCCCCAAGCGCGCCTGCACGCCGTTGCCGTAGCGCCTCTTGTCAAACGCGAGCCGCTCGTACACCCACTGTGACGGGAAACGAAGGGAGGAAAAAGAAAAGAGGGAAACGGGAATTCCAGCACGCTAGCGTTTCGATGGCTCTTTTCGACGAGTACTTTTTTTTCTTCCCCCTCCAAACTAAACATAAACGGTGATCGCTGCCTACACCCTGCCTTTGCACTGGCTAGAACATAACAGGGCTGGTTCACTACGAAGCTAGCAAGGGTGAGGACCCCGACGATGAGGAGGAGGAGGGGGGAGGGGCGTTTGAGCCCAAACACCGTTGCGGCGCTGATGTGTGCCGGGCCCGGGAGCGACGCCGTCGGCGTCTCTCGCCCACGTTTTCTTTTTTTTCTTTTCTTTTTTCCCCTTTTCTCTTGTTTCTCTTGGCTCCTTACCTAAGAAGGCAAAAAAAGTCCCGGACCAGTCGTGGTCGACGAGCTACTGCAAGGAACGGGGCTTGACATGCAAAGTGGGCGGCGCGCGCGTCCCCGTTAGTTTGACACACGCCAGCCGGCCCCAGCCAGCAAAGACGTTTCGCGCCGGCAAACACGGCCATTGCTCAACAAGGAAAGGAAGAAGCAGAAAAAAATACATTACCTAAACGACCTTTCGATCCCTTCACGCAAGACGACACTCAGCCCGCTCGGATCGACATCCACTGTCGCAGCCTCGTTGACATGGCGCGTGGATCAGTTTGGGGGGATGGGGGGGGGGGGGGGGGGGGGGGGGGGGGGGCACCACCCGCAGCACCACCTCGCATCACGACACCAACAACTTTATACGGGCGGCAGAAACTCAGCTGATATAAGCCAAGACGGCCAATCAACCGAACAAGCTTGCACCAACGTAGCGGCAACCCGCAACTTTGAAAATAGACCATGCCATCCCGCTCCCGTTCCCTTCATGTCCCTCCTCCCTCCCACAAACCCTCGGGATAAAGAAAGAAGAAAGAAAAACCTTCAGCGTCTTCACAGCCAGTGGGGGGGGGGGGGGAGGTGGTTACCGTGAAATCACTCCACAGTTGGAGAACAAACTCTGGGCGCGCGCCGGCCGACTCATGACATTGTTGCACCGCTCCCACCGCAGATCGGCGTGCGCTCTGCAACTCTGCGCTCCCATCTTCGCGGGGCTCGGCGCCCTCCCTTCCTCCATCCATCTTTTCATGAATACCTTGTACATACAACATCTTGGCGAGCCGCCTCTTTGAGGAGGGAGGGAGGGCGGCCGATCATGTATCCTGCCTTGACAAACGATCTGATTCACTACAAACGCCATTCGACCTTTGCCGTTGCTTGACATCCTTGACATGCTCGACCTACCTGGCCGAGATACAAGTGAGAGAGCCCACCGCGATTGATTCGCAGATGCAACGATACGCGTCCATGGGCCTCGCAGCCGCGCCTAGTAATTACACTAATCACTTGGACCGATCGCCCGCAGCTCCACGCATCCCTCCCTTCCCCTATCAAGCCCGGGAGGGGCAGGAGAACCTGAACTATGTACACATGCACACACGTGCTCATGGGACTGCGCTCGCTCGCGGCAAAGAGCGGTAAAGAGTATAGCCTGCACGCGCAACAGCCAACTCTATCGAGCATCTCCCGATCCCACTAGCCCATGCCCGCGCTGTACGTCACGCCCATGCAGCGAGTCAAAAGTCTAACATGCTACCCACACTCAACCACTCCCGATCACACACACACACACACGCACATGTACAAGCCTAGGGATTGCAGAGTGATTCGCAGGGTTTTGGGAGATTAGCTTTTCTTTTTAGGTACATGTAGGTCATACTATGTAAAAACTCTCGTCCGAGTCAAAATCATCAGCAACGGTGCCTTTCCCTCTCCACTCCTCGGGCCCTTGTAGATCGCCGTCAGACATCCAAGGATAAGACTGGATGGAGAGGAACCCCCCTCGAGTGCCAGGAACGTGAGAATGGCCACCGCAAAACTCATCCGATGCCTGCTTCCAAAGACCGTCAGGTAGTCCATTTGAAGGGTGTGGCCGCCCCCCCGGAGTTTCACCGCAATGTTGTACTATTTCTGGTCATTCTTTTTCTTTTCTTTTCAATCGTCAAACACCTAGCTTACAGTAGCGCGTTTATTGATTGGGGGACTTTGGGAACATGCAGTGTGCTTTGATATAGTGCCTTTGATTTGTCTTGTTTCCCTAATGGAAACTGTGCCTTTTGTTTGGATAATACACTGTAGCCCATGAGACTCGAGGTCGGGCACAGAAGATGATACATAGCTGGTATTTTTTACACGAAGAGGACATCAGCCTGTTCTGATTCCACACTGGGCCTCGACCGATTCCCGTAAGAAAGCAAGAATGCGCCACCAGCACCTGGCAAATGACAATATGTATGTAGGTGAGAAATACGACAGTGAGATGAAGGGAATTTGGTGTGGTGGTCGGTTTATAAAGCCATGATTATGCAAGAAAAAGGAGCGTCGCGGACGGGTATCAACTTTGTGCAAACAAGACAGGGATTAGAAAAGAGACAAGTGCTTCTCGGAAAGGAATGTAATGGGTCAGCCGTGATGTCGTGTGAGACGTAGGGAGCGTAAGCGTTAGACGAGTAACAGTTTCAAGAGAACAGTGAGATGAAATCTCGAGAGGTTGGATGTGTTGGACAAGTAGGTTGGGATGGAGAATGGAGCAAGTGTGGTTGGCTCCTCAGCCTCGGAACACGGCGTTGGTAAGGAAAATTGCCTCCCCGTCCGCCGGGCTATCCTTGGCTGGAGGTGAAGGTGCGCGGGGAGATGAGACGGTGCTCTTGGCATCCGTGAGCAGTCCGCTTAGAGCCTCATGGCTGCGCGCCCGATGAATCTCCTTCTGCTCGTCGTCGGACAGGGCGGCGGTGTTTTCAGGCAGGTTTGCCGCCGCGCTCATCTTGGTGATTTCGTTCTCCACGTCGGCCAAGAGGGCGTACACGTCGCTGTCGGCGTAGATGCGAATGCTTTCCATGCCGGTGCGACGATGGTTAAAAGAAGACTCATGCTTGGTGTTGGCGGATGCTTTGGGCGTGTCCTCAACCACGGGCTGCTCGACAATAGTGCTAGGGACCTGAGCGACAACCCTTTGCGGCGAAGGGGAGCTGTTGATAGTGTGTGAAGAGAATGCGTTCTTGGTGGGGCTTCGGGGAGGAGTGGAGATGTTTCCAACGCCCGCTTGTGGGGGTGGTCGCACGCCCATGGCAAGCTGCAATGACTCGCTCGCAGCCGCAGCCGCCGGAGTGGGAAGGGTAGCTGCGGCAGCAACGTGTTCCAGGAGCTTTTGGCGTACCCGTGTCCGGCGGTTCTCGGCCTGTTCCAGCTTGTTGACCCAGTCATCAATGGAAGTGTCAAGCTCCGCAAGAGCTTCCTCTTGCTTGAGGATCGAGTCTGTACTGAACCTCGCCGTCCGAGGAGAGCGGAGGTATTGGCACATGCGCGAGTGCAGGTTACGTCGGCCAGCTCGCAGAGAGTTGTAGGTGCGACGAAGGTACTCAGTTCGTTCGTCGAGCTGACGGAGCTCCTGTGGTTGCTGTTAGTCCTATTCCACATCATGTTATAGCAGGTTCATGTCTTACCCTTGAAAGGAGCTCAACGTCCTCCTTCCTGAGCACCTCGAACCTAGACGCCTGGCCAAACGCCTGGGTCTGCAGAGCCGCCAACTCGTTCTGCTCCATGTGGTTGGCTGCCTCGCCAGCTCGCCATCCGGTTGGGAGCTCCTCAAAGGCCCGGCGTTCAGCGCTCTTGTTCCGTGTCGAGCAGCTTCGCTTAAGGGGGCCATTGTTGTTTCGCACATCACCCCGCTTTCTTGGGCGTCCTCGATCCATGATACTACCGGACTCGGACTGTCCTCTCCTATGGGCGCTGACATGCGGTCTGAACGCGCACTCTGCTTCAGATGCTACAGAGGCATCGGTGTGGTGCTGGCCGGAAGCCATTGCGGTCGGTGTGCTGTTGTTCTCCCATGGCCTAGGGGATTCCCGTGCTTCCATGATGGGAGCCGACACGGGCGTGGTGGCAGACTGCAAGCTGTGGCAGGCGGAGAGCGGTGTCGTCAGCGCGGTAGAAGCAGTCAAGGGTGTGTAGGGAGTCCGGGACTGGGATCTGGGCGAATCGTCGGTTCGGGCAGAAAGCTGGCCGGTGTCATAGCCGGAGCTGCCAGATCGCATGCGACTGTGTGAGACTTGCTTAGCGAGACGAGGCACGTTGCCGATGTGAGTAGGGATGACGAGAGGGCCAGCTGCTTCGGCGAGGCTGGCTGACGGGGTGTCTGGGTTTCGGAGGCAGACCGTTGGTGTCGTTCCGGGGAGCAAGCGGGGGTTGTGTACGCAGATCTGTTGGCGTCGGCGGCGGCAATGGACGTGACGGAACCGTCGGAATGGTCCTGTTTAATGTGATGACCAGGCGCGCTGACTGATCTCTCATGCAGCGGCGGTCGTCCCGGAATAGTGGCTAGGGCTTGTCAGCCATGGTCTCTAGAGACAAAAGCGTGCACACTTACGTGAATCCATGGGAACCTCCTGGACAGTGGTCATTGGGCCCAGCTCGGGAATGCTCACTTTGCGCCGTCTGATGAGGTTGTGCTCTTTGATGCGTAACCGAAGCGAGCCACTGCTGCTGCAGGGCTTCTCCGTCTTGTCGTTCTGTCCCATGGCGAGGGCAAAGGCTTGCTCGGGGTCGAGAGTCTTTAATGGTGGCCGTTGCTGACGATCCTTGGGGAAGAGCTGGTACTTCCGGGTCTCTGGTTGGTGCATCCTCCAC